TATCCCGGGGCTAGGGAATTCGTTTTTATGTTTTTTTTTTTAGGAGCGACCCTGACTGCCATAATTATTATTTGATGCTTCGGCCCGGCCGCGTAGAAATTATTAAGGGTAAATAATGTCCGTATGGAATTAATACATGAGGATTCAAACCCGTCTGTGCTTTCTTGTTGTCGATGCTATTTTCTTTGTTAAGAATATAATTATATATATTTTGTGGCCTGGTTTTGTATTGTAAAAGGGCCTTTGAAGGAATGGGTGTTATCCTAACAACCCCTTGCGACTTCCCCCCCCCCCCCCCTTTGTTCTTGTGTGGAATTTATGACATTTGATGGCTATCTTTCTCCTGCCTTCTGACCTTTGAAGCGAAGTGTGTCATTCAGACTGTCTCCTCGACAGACCTGTTCTTCACCTGAGGATGGCTGCTTGCGTTGTGGCCGAAACGTCGTGAGAATTATTTTATTATCTTTTATTTTTATTATTTTATTATTTCCATTCTACATGACTTTACCGAAAGAACCAAGTAGATGAACTCCTTCCACTGTTTAGAGGTATTGGAAAGATGTGTGCCCTTTGGCAACATGGAGAAGCATTGGGAGAAAGTAGCACTGCTGATTTTGGGGATGAACTGTGTAGACTCGTCCGAAGGCATCAGATTCACCGTCAGCAGCACGTCGCTTCCATTTTTTTTTTTTATCAGTCCATGTATCGTAGGAGGGAACTTAATGGAAGAGCAGGTTGGCAGCAAATGGGTCACTTGGGCACAAAACAAAGAACGCTATAAGGGTGGTATCTTGTGGAGCTAGGGCCTGTTGTAGGGCATTTGGTGATGTAGATGCGTTGACCATTTTGGAGGTGAAGCGCCAAATGGACGACTGTGGGGGAACGGTCATGGATGGGGAAGCCAAGAATTCAGCAAATGGCCTCATTGTTGCTGATGTATGTTCCTTGGAAAAAAAGTTTGAGCTCATGCACACTTTGCCCCTCTGTTTTGTAAGGCAAAGACAACCATGTTCAGAGCCTTTGTTGATGTATTGGCAAACATATTTGATGGCTTTTTTTAGAATAGCAGAATTTCACATTAAAGTGGGCCTGGAAGATCTTGCACAGAAGAGGGCAGTAGGGAACGATCCACCGGTTTTAAACGTTAATTAGCGAGTTAGTGGCAGGTCTGAGCGTTATTTGCAATCCACCATGCTCAGTATTTCTGTGACGATGATAGAGGATAGCCATCAAGGGCTGACTGAGTGTCTTTTAAGTAGTTCCGTGGATACCTCTTGGTACACCCGTGGTCTTGCATACATGGCGCATTTGGATAGAACTGGCCACATTGGCCATGGACCATTTGGTAACAGACCACATAGAAAAAGGGCAGGGTGTTGATGGGGGTGAGGTAGCCCAGCACTGATAAATGTGTCAATGTGACTTGCATGAATTGTTTCCCTCATCCATAGCAAAATGTGAGCATGAGGAAGACGACGTTTTTGCCACCCAATGGTGTGCAAGTTACTGCTTGTCTATCCAAAGACACCGCATTTGTTGGTCGTAATAAGCATAATGAGGTCATAAATTTTGAGTTTTAAGACCCTCGCTAAGATGTCATGTCTGTCTGGTGGCTTTTGGTTTGGATAAAGGTAAACCTGGATCTCCATTCATTTGGGATTGCAAGTGAAGGTGATGAAGAGATGGGGCGTGGCATATTGGCTGATGTATGTCATGGCATCCTGAGTCTTCTCATGCATGTGTAATAAAGGTCGTTGAGGCGACTTCTGGAATCCGATCTTTTATTTACTTTTCATTACAGCTCTCCTTCACGCTGCTGACCGGCAGTGTGAGAGGGATAGATAGAGAGAGAGACGTGCAGCCACGTGGCAACTTGGAGCCCCACTCTCGCGTGGCCTCCTCCTCCGTTCGTTCCAGTTCTGACCACGTGTTGTTTGTCTCCACCCCTATTTAATACCCGGGTCACGTGGTACGTTTCCACCAATCCTGGTTAGCCTCTATGGAATATTCCAGACTCCCTCGTAGGCTCCCCATTGGCTGTGGCCAAAGCCAGCAAAACCAATCTTCTACTTACAGCTGTCACCTTTCCATTACATCAGGGCCACGCCCCTAGGCTTCCCCCCATTGGCTATTGACCAGGACCGGCAGAGCCAAACATCATGACGAGTTGTGATACGTCAGTGAGCCTGATATATCCTCACATTACACATGCATCTTGGTGGAGCTGTGAAGGATGAAGGCAAAATAACTAATCAGCCCACATTGTGACCGTTTGCATCTCCTTTGGCATTGATGGCATCCCAGAGATGAGCATACTGTTCACACGCAGGCGGTTTTGATTCAGTTGAATGTAAAGAAGGCGCTCACTCTTAATGTTGGCACTAATCGACAACATATTGGTGAAAGAGGTTGGCATACCATAATATGTGGTTTCCTCCTCTGTCCATGATCACGAAGGAATAGAAGTTTTTTTAGAGGAGACAGTTTCGTGAGGATGTCTTTGTCTTGCAGCTTTGTAATTGGAGGAATTTTAACGTGGTACCCATCTTGGCCTTGCGACAGGAAAATGTGTTATTGTAGGGCATCGTATGCTCTGTTAGTGTCAGGAAATTGTGCGATGGTGTTTTCTTGGTAGGAAGAACAATGTTTCTCTCACAATGTTCCTCACCCACCGTAAGAAAGCAAGGTCAGCAATATTTCCGTGCTCCCCGCTTTGGTGGAAAGTATGGGTGATGTTCCCACGAATGTAACAAAACGATAAACGAAATGCAATGGGCTGTAGCTAAGAAAGTTAAACGTATTTAGCAGTATAACATATTAATCAGCATCGCAGTACTATAGCGTGACATGAGCAATCGAAACAATAGAAATGCATTGAAGAAATAAGCTGAAATAAGTCTACATTAAAGAGCAGCAGTACGCACAGGTAATTTGAGAAGCAGGCTACAGTCTAGATTATAGACTGCCAGTAGGGTGACTCAATGACATAAGCATTGCCACAGTCTACATAAAAAGCTGGCAATATGGTCAGCAGCTAAAAAAGCAGGATACAGTCAGCATGAAAAGTTTGCAGTACACTGAGTGAGGTAAAGAAGCGGGCAACAGATCATAGACTGGCATACACTCATAATGGCCAAAAGCAAAATTAGCAGTGTAGATAATAGTGCCAGTGCACTGACGTTAATTAATCAGCAGGCAGCAGGCCACAGCACAGACTGGCAGTACTGTCGCAGTGTCATAAAAACACCTAAAAAAGGAAATACCTTATTTTCCCGCATATAACCCGTGGGGTATACCACTTTTTACAAACAAAACAAGACCCTGCGGGGTATATGGAGGTGCGGGCTATCCCAAAAATATTTTACACGTGTGACATGTCATAACTCGTAAAAAAAAATCATGGTAGGACTATCCACTATGCAACACTTACCTTTGACTAAAGCACTGCTGAATAAACCACTCACACAAAAATTGCACATGTTATCACATGTTAAATTATTCGAATTGTTTGTACAATGAAACGACAATGTTTGAAGTGAACGCACTTTGTTTACCGGCGACGGGAGAGCTGGGGGGAGAGAGGTGGGGGTAGAGAGAGGTGGGGGTTGGGGGGTGGGGCAGCTGGGGGGAGAGAGGTGGGGGGTTGGGGGCGAGGCAACGGCGTTACCGTAGTTCCGCTATTATCTGCGCAGTGCGCAATCTACCAGTGCTAAAATTGTACTTATCGACCAGTTATGTGTTACTTATTTATTGGATATTTACTTTTGTTACTTATTAACTATATTACGTTCGCTCGTTTCCGGTTAGTTTGTTTTCTTTATGAACGTTATGATTTGAATGTTAACAATTGATAGTGGAATGTATTACAAATGTAAACTTAGTATTAATATGATGGCATTAAGCTGCGGTAACGACGTTAAAGATATGAATGCATGCGGAGTAAATGGAGGTGCGGGCTATCTGAAATTTGTTTTACACAAAACGCTATTTTTGCGGGGTATATGCGTCTGTGGGTTATATGCGTCTGTGGGTTATATGCGTCTGTGGGTTATATGCGTATGCGGGCTATATGCGGGGAAATATGGTAATTAGCAACCTAATAATGAAATTAGTTTTCTGCACACAAACATTATTATTGTAATATTTGCCAAATTATTTGTTTCATAATAGTAAACAATGAACCTGAGTTCTTAGCGAAAGATTCAATAAAACTGTACTTTACATTGCCATGGTGAGGCCTCGTCCCGTGCAGAGCCCGCGGCCTCGCCTAGATTGCCCAACCGGAGGAGGTAACACATTTCCAGGCTGGGGGCTGGGCCGCACTCCCCACCCACGCTGCAATAATGCTATGTAAGCGCTTCAATATTAATATATACGGACTTTATATCAGTAACTGCACGCATTGGGTTGGTGGAGGACATAAGACCGTGAAGAATGAACCTCAGCGTTGTGTGTATATTTTTTAAGCATTGTTAATGCGAATGAAATTTTTTAGCGACCGTGTGTGCGTTGCTAGAGGCAACTTCTGTCAGCGTTTCGCGCATGCGCAATTGTGTGCTTTGTCCCGCGCCGGGCGGCAAATTTACATAAATAAATAAAAATAAATCGCACAAAAACGCTATTGTAACAAATTTTAAGGTAACGGACGGTAAAACAGAATAGGGCTTGCCCACCGCGGGGCTTCCGGTGTGGTAGCTGGCAAATTTTTGTTTACGTAAACCCCACCATTTGAGAGCCAAATCCCTCGCAAGCGCACGTGCGCCGACAGACGGACGGACAGTCAAAAAAATTATTTTATAGGTTAGATTATGCAATTGTATTCACTCAGCAGCAACATCACCCCCTACTGCAAACACTTGGCAGAACCCTCTGGAAACAAATATTCTTCAGATTCGGTAAGGCCTGCCTGGGTAAATAAGCAGAATAAAATATTTGTAACTAGGAAACGAGTCTTGGCTGTTTTGATGTGTTGATGTGCGCTGTGTGTTTATGTGCATCAGCTTCTGGCCTCTGGCTGATGAACCGGGCATCAACCCGGGCGACCTCGACTTGACCCCCCGGCCTGAGCGGAGGCTCCTGTTCCAGGGGAAAACCTTCCAGTTCCTGCACGCCAAGCAGGTGCCATTCCATGCTTGTTCCGCTCCACACGTGTTTCGTTCCAAGCGTGTGCCGCTCCACACGTGTTCCGCTCCATGCGTGTGCCGTGCCACGAGTCTCAGGGTCAGGATCATGTTCTTGGCTCGGCTCCGTCTTGGCCTCTAACTCAGCCCAGCTCAGGCCGTGAGCCACTCAGTCGTTTCCAAAGAAGCGTGAACAGGGGGAGAACATACCCTGAATTCCAGTAAGATGGAATTCAGGGCAAGCCACGGTGGCGAGATGTTAACGGCCTCGCCTGATATGCAAGAGGTCGTGGGTTCGATCCCGACCCAAACGCCTGCTGTATATTTGTAGTTTGCGTCTCTTTCTCTCCCGGTGTCTTGTGGAATTTTCTCCGGGTCCTCCGGTCATTTGGGACCAAGTCGCTACTGAAAAAGAGCTTTATAGCTCAGTGGGCGTTACCTGGTAAAAAATATTTTTTGTTTAATAGTATTTATTTTAGCCTCCAATAAGAAATAAAAATACAATGATTTGCCCAGAAAAATCCGAGCGGGGCGCAGTGCACGCATAAGAACACTTTAGTAGAAGCGACGCCGACGTGACCACGCGAAGTAGGAGATGGTGCGTGTCGTGTGTGCACCGGCGATCTTGAAGCTGCACGTGCGTACCGGGCCCTCCGCCCACGGCGCCTGCAGCCTTTGGCGTTGTCACAGGAGAGCGTTGTATGTACGCATATGTTGTGACTGTGATTGTCAGTGTGTGGCAGAGGTGTGGACTCGAGTCATGTGACTTGGACTCGAGTCAGACTCGAGTCATGAATTTGATGACTTCAGACTCGACTTGGACTTGCATAACAATGACTTTGTCCCACCTCTGGTGTGTGGTGCCGGGCTTACGAAGCCACGGCGGATAATGTGTTGGCATTATGTGTAGCCCGCTTACTGGACGTAGTACCAGCCCTAGCGGGGCTTGGGTGAGCGATGGTCAGCACGGAGACACCACGTACAGTGTGCGGTGTGGGCTCCCGGTGGGGGAGCGAGAGGGAGTTTCAGCCAGCCAGGGTTACGTTGGGGCATGATACGCTGCGTGACTTGCCGACACGTGACCGGATGATATTGGAGGGGGGGCACCGGTGGACGGGGGCCTATGGGCGGTCACGTGGTATTAAAGAGCTCTCGGGGAGCTTTCAGGAAAGACCTCGAGAGATCTAGAAGGTGGGCGGGGTGAGGGGCGGAGCCAGTCCCAGCCCAGGCCGATATAATGGGGGCCCCGTGAGGGGCTTGGGGTTCTTCTTGTTGCTGGTGATGAAGATCCACGTCAGGTAAAAGAAGCCTCTAGCCACGCAGTCCGGGACCCAGCTTGTGGTCCGGGCCGGGATAGCGAACCATGCCTAGTTCTGCCGTAGCGTGGCTAGATTAGCATTCAACACCCAAGTGTAGGTTGTGTTGTGTTATGTTGAGTTCTGAATAAATAGTGTTGCTCCCAAGACAACATCTGCGACTCAGTTGGACTCACTACATATACATTAAACTTATTTTGGACCTTACATAGCCAACCGTGTGAATTGGAGGTGCCGACGTGGGCCGTCTTCTGTGTTCCAGCACAAGCGGTTGGCGGTACCGATCGCGCTGGCGGGCGGCGCGGCATTGTGCCTGTGCTCCCCCGGCCAGCGCGCCGAGCCGCGGCACGGAGAAGGTTTCTGCGTGGTGGAGCCAGAGGCTGGCTGTTCGCAGCCCTCGTCCCAGGTGCTGGCGCAGGACGCGCGAGCGTGGGCTGCCCAAGTCGGCGTACGCCTCCGCACGTGAGTCCAGTGGCGCTCGAGGGGGCCACCGGCCGCTCGTCGTCGTCGCGCACACGGGAGGGCGTCCTCGGGAGAAACGCGACCATGCGGCGTGATGCGGCATGACTCGGCGGGCCCAGTGGAAGCCCAGCGGCGGAGCGTTCACCGCTCGTTGCAGACGTCCACGGTTCGGATCTGGCAGGCCGCCCGTGGTCAATGCTGCCGTCGCATGCCCCGCGTCATGATGCAAATTTTACCAATTAGAAAATTACCGGCAAATTACTCGATTGGGAAACACGTAGAAATCGTCGCCCCCTGCTCGGAAAAATGGCCTTGAGACTCGGTGAGGCTTTCGTGGGTAAACGGTGTCACCAGCACAAAGGAGATACACTTGCAAAGTTTGACATTCTCACAAACTTCTGACAAGGGTTTATTTATCATCATCGTCATCAGCAGCAGCCATGATCAATCCACTGCTGATATTGCTTGTATGACTGCTGCTGATGAATCAGAAGAGGTGGGTGTTTCTGGGAACAGTGTATTGAGTGCTGATGCTTGATTTCAGCATTTGGTATGTGGGAAGAAGTTGGCATGTGCTTGCGGGGCATGCGTATCATTGTTGGTATTTGTGTCTGATATCTAATAACTGGTATTTACTTTCAATATTCCTGTATATGTAGCAATATACATCAGACATTCATAGGCACCTTAGAAGTGCAGTGGGTATTCTTAGCGTTACACGCGGTTACCACTACTCACCTGGTGTAGCGTCAGCCATTGGTCAACAGGGGGTAACGGCGAGTACGGCCTGTATCAAGTAACGCCGTTAGGCCACGAAACCCAGAAGGTGGTTGGGAACCGGAGATACACACCCCAGGCCCCCGGTGGGGGCAGGGGGATTATGCAATAGTCCAGGTCCCTCCAGAAGGTTCTAGAGAGTAGGCGTGGCCAGGGGCGGAGTGACCCTGGGAGCTGTATATAAGGCGGACCCCTGAACGGGTTTGCCAGTCGTCGTCAAGCTGAAGACCCGAAGAGCCAGCCTAGACTATGACCCTGGAACCCCCGAACCTGACGTCCTTCTAAGGGCCGGGACCGAGCGGGCCAGTGGCCAGGACCCGAGGACCTTGGCTGGTCTCCCCTTGGTCCCCCTAGCCGGAGGGCTGATATATAGAGGAAGTGGTCCCAGTGAGTCGGACACGCTAGCCCGGAGGCTGTACCTGCCCAGGGTATCGGGTGGAGGGGCCGATACCCCTTTGTACTAGGGACCTCGTGTTTCAGTTGTTCCTGTTAAATAAACGTGTTGCCTCCAGAAGAAGACTGTCTCCATCATTACCACTACAGAAGTTAAACACACTGTGCTGTCCAGTCTTGTTCACGTGTTGTGTTGCTGTGTTGTTGTGACATTTCCCTCTGCAGCCTCGGCCTGCGCACGATCACGGAGGCGGAGGTTGGCCTGGCTGTAGTCTACTGCTCGACGCACACCTACTGCAACCCCTCGGCACGGCTCCCAGGTGGGGAGCCTCCCCTTCTCTCAATCCGCACCTCCAATTAGTACCGTTGGCTACGTACGGTACGAAATAAGTTCTATGTCCAACAGAAAGGGCCCTTGGCTATTAACACCTGGCAGTTTGCCAGCATTGGTTCAAGCAAACCTGACTGCTGATGAGACATGGAATCTCGAAACCGGCATTGAACCAGTACTGCTGAAATGATACACTGCCAGAAGGCCTTGTGGCTGATGGAATGTGTAAAAACTACTTGTATTTTTATGTGGAGGGACAGTGAAGAAGGAGAATTACCTGATTATTTGTTTTGTCTCTTGTCTTGAGACGGAATTTGCCCATGCCAGTCTAAACAGCCATTCCAACCAGGTCCACAGGAGCGCGTATAGAGGATGTCTCATGAGTCGACTTAACAACGTCAAGTGTTCAGTGCTTTTTGTTTATCCAGGGGGGACCACGATCGTCTCATCTGCCAGAGCTTTGCAGAATAAATCATACAGGGGAGACGAGAGGTGCCTCTACTCAATTGAACAAGAATCCACTGAATTGTTTAAATCCGGAAGCATTTCAATGGAGCTTGATTACACGCTGGACATCTCCTTCACTTGACGAGAGCAGGAGGTTTCTGAGAGGCTGTCCGGGTTTAACTTGTTGCGTGTCAGCATCTGCATGTCGGTTTGTAGCGAGTTTCGCAGCCCGAGCTTCTCCTCTGACCGCTCCACGTTTCCCGGCAGACGAGGTGAGCTGTGTGAACACGAACCTCGCTGGGGCAACGCTGTCGCAGAACCTGGCTGGGGCAACGCTGTCGCAGAACCTGGTGCTTGAGCCCAGCGAGGGCGTGGCACCCGACTCTACGCTGTACGCCGCCGACACGCAGGACTCGTTAATCCTGGCCCGGTGCGTCCACCACCACCGCCGCTGTCTATCTCTCTCGAGCGCTTTACCACAACCCTCACGTCCTCGCTCGTACACGGAGATGCTTCGACAGGGAATGCTCTCCCACACTCGCTCGAGCAGGGGCGCCGTGGTGGCGAGATGTCACTACCTGACGCCTGTATATTTAGAGTTTGCATGTTCTCCGCCTGTCGCGGGTATTTTTGTCCGGGTCCTCCAGTTTTTTTCCTCCACATTTAGAATCAGCATCACGCGTTTAGAGAATATGGCTGTTAGAAATGTTCACGTGACAAGCCACTTCGTTGCGCTATAGTTTGTAGCCTGGTCGCTTCTGAAAAATAACTATATACAGTAGAATCTCTGGTCACGAACGCTTCTGACCATGACCAAATCGGGTTCCGACCAAAAAATTCACAATTTTTTAATCTGGTCACGAACACATACTTGGGTGGCGATCAAACACGGCCGCGGCCGATTTCCCCTTCCGCGCCATTTTTTTGTTGAATTACACAAAGCGTAACAGTTATGTATGTAACTTTTGTTTTATAAAATTCCTAGTAAGATATTAATTTTGTGAGTGTAGTCATACCCCTCCCCCCTCATTCAAGCCGTAATTTAGAGAGCGAAAGCGCTGAGTACGTAAATCGCTAACATAAGAACCCGTTAATCTCTTCTCGCATCATTCCTACGATGATGCGGTGAAGTAAACATTCATACGATATTACGGTGAATGCTTCCAAAAACAATACTGTACCCAAATATTAATAATAATAATAGTTCAATTTGTAACCCGCGCAAATTTGCAGATGTAGTGGCCGCAACTCAGAGGCGCGGAGCCAAGCTCAGAGTCGCTCAAAAGCATGATTGTAGAGGTGAGTTTTTAAGTCTCTCTTGAAGGAGGCGATTGAGGTGATGCTGCGAATGTGCAGAGGGATATCGTTCCAGACTGTTGGGGCTGCCACCGAGAAGCGGCGCATAGACATGATCATCCTGGATCTTGGTATCAAGAGGAGGTCGTGAATCGCGCTGCGCAGGCATCTGCCGTGTTCTGAGCTGCAAGTTGTCAATAATGAAGAAAGGTACGGCGGGCAGGCAGATATGAAGGCATTGTGGCAGAGGCAGGCGGTCTTGTATGTGACCCTACTGGCGATAGAGAGCCAGTTGAGAGCACGGAGACAAGCTAGTGAGTCAAGACGAGGATGAGTGTGGGCAATGATGACGCGTGCTAGGTTATTTTGTAGTCTTTGAAGTTTCTTTAGGTTGCCAGCGGAGGTCCGGACTAGGACGGAGTTGCAATAGTCAAGGCGAGACCCAACTATGCAACATGCCAATGTGTTGGCAATTTCAGTATAAATGAGAGGACGTATGTGTCTAAGAGCCTTCAGGTGAAAGTTATATGAGCTGATGATATGGTTGGTTTGACGGTCGAAGGATAAAGTTGAATCTAGGATGACACCGAGGTAGCTGAAGTGGTCGGTGAACTTGATGCTGTGACCGAAGATGTGTATGTGTGTGGGGAGTGCTGCTGAATTGAGACGTTTCTTGGTACCTAACATAATGGCCACTGACTTTTTCGGATTAAGGGCTAGGTTGTGTGCAGTGAACCATTGTTGCACGGCGGTGGTACATTCCGAGAGCCTCTCGAATCCAGATGTATTGCTAGAATCGATGGCGGTGAATAGAAACGTGTCATCCGCGTATGAGTGATGCTTAACACCAAAGCTTGCAATGAGCCGGCCGATCGGGGAAGTGTAGGCTGTGAAGAGCAGAATACCTAGAACAGAGCCCTGGGGAACCCCGCATAATGCTGTTGTTTCAGGCGATGTGAACATGCCCACCCTGACTGAAGATTGCCGGTCAGAAAGGTACGAAACTATCCACTTGAGTGCTGAGCCGCATATACCGAAGTCGGATTTCAGGAGGGAAGTAAGGAGCGAATGGTTGATGGTGTCGAAGGCTGACGAAATGTCCAGACTTACAAGTGCAACAGTTAAGCCGGAATCAATGATCGTTAAAATGTCATCGAGCACTCTAGTGAGTGCTGTTTCTGTGGAATAGTTTTGACGGTAAGCTGACTGGAGCAGCAGTAGTTTGCGGAGGAGGTGATGTGTGGTTTTAGCTGGGCGAGGGCTAGTCGTTCAAGGAGTTTAGAGAGGTTCGAGAGGTTAGTGATGGGACGATAACTAGATGGGTCATCCGGATCTAGACTTGGTTTCTTTAACAAGGGAGAAACCAGGCCAGGTTTGAGGTTGGACGGAAAACACCCAGAAGAGAAGGAGGCATTTGCGATGTTCCTGATCATGATGGCGAGTTCCGGAGCACATTGCTTGAACAAGGAACCTGGGAGCACGTCGAGTGGAGATGACTTCAAATGAAGTGATTCAATTAAAGAGAAAACGTCTTTTGTAGACACCGGCTTTAGCGTAATTAGAAGAGAGTCTGGGTTAGTGCTTACAATTTTAGGTACCATGAGCGGGGTACAATGGTGCGATGTGTCGGTAGACGTGCACGAGTTTGCGACGGTGATTAGCTTATTGGTGAAGTAAGTATTAAAAGAGATGGCAAGTTTCAGTGAGGCAAGGGGATCGCTAAGGTGAGGGACCATGGTGCTACCAGGATGTAGAAGATCTTTGAGGGTTTTCCATAGAATGCGCGGTTTTCCGGTTGCTTTTTTGATGCGTTCCTCAATGTAGGAGGAACGTGAGACTAGGATCAGTTTGTTAGTTTTCCTGCAGGCGACTCTGTAAGCAAGTCGATCAGCAGGTAGACCACTGCGGGACACGATACTTTCAAGGCGCCTCCTGGTTCGCTTAGCAATGATGGCATCTCTTGAGAGCCAGTGAGTGTCGTGGGAAGACTGCCTAGCGGTTCGTGATTTTAAAGGAGCTAGTTTGTCTAGCGCCGCCCTCATGTCAGCTTCTAGTTGGAGAGCGCAGACGGTTGGATCCGATGATGGGGATAACATTGAAAGCGAATTTGCAAGGAGGTGACGAAAAGCAGAAAATTCGATACCCTTAAAATTACGCAAGTTGCGGGTGAATTTGATGGTGATTGGCTTGGGAAATTGGAGGAAAGAAAGTATGAGGCGGTGTTCGGAGTAACCAGTTTGGAAAACTCCCAGTGCAGTGATGCGTCGGTGCTGGTCAGGTTCCAGAACCAGGTCGAGCATGCTCTCAACGTTTGTTGACGAAGCTCTGGTGGGGCCTGAGTTTGTGATGACCAGGTTATGGCAGGCCAAAGTTGACTCAAGGTGACTATCGATGGAGGCTGGGGTATTGCCGGGGCAATTAAAGTCACCTGTAAGCACGAGCCTGTGAGATGGGTTAGGAATCAGATATAGGAATTCCGAAAGCTCATTTAAGAAGGTGTTGATGCTGCCATCTGGAGGGCGATAGATGGAAATGATGGAAAAGCACTCGTTAGTAGTAAGGGATACGGACTGGACCTCGAAGGTGGCAGGAGCCATTGGTAGATAGAGCTCTTTAATTTTCAAGTGAGCATTGTAAACGACCGCTAAGCCACCACCCCGCTGGTTAGTTGCGCGAGGTTTATGAAGAACCTTGTATCCTGGGGGCGCAACTTCCAGAGAGATGGCTGGCGGGGAGTCTTGCCTGCACCAGGTCTCAGTGATGAGCAAAAGGTCGATGTGGTGGTCCGAGATGGTGTCGTGAATCAGGGCTTATTTATTGGTGATGGAGCGTGCGTTGAGTAGGCCGAGGCGGATGTGTGAAGGTAGATGTGAAGATCCGTGCAGGTGAGGCATCGAGGGAATAGAGGAGTTGGCTGGTTCGAGGTCGACCTGTGAACGGCGGCCCCTACCACCTCTGCAACCACGGTGCCGATGCAGTCTCCGACGTTGACCTCGGAGAAGCCCAAGGACAGAGAGCATCCTCAAGATCGTGGGTTCCAGGTGCAGATGATGAAGAGATGGTGCATGTCGTAGCCCTATTATATCAGCCCGTGCTGCACCGATGGTGCTGATGAAGGGGCCCAGATTCGGGTGGACTCCAATCAGCGGCTCTGCTGCCCTGAGCAGCAAGTCAAGGTGGCGTTGTCCAAGCTCCACACTGTCAGCAAGCACTTCCCCGTACGTAGCGGATGCAAACACGCCCGTGTAAACACACGTTGAGCGCGTACACGGGCGTACAGAACCACGCAGGCGGGGCGTACAATGGAGCAGCCAGAAGAACACGAGGTCTAGTGGATTGGCTGACCACGCACTGTGCTCCAGCTCGCAGGTGATGCAGCAGGATGGACGAACCTCGCAGAGCTCCCGTTCACTGGTGGTGCTGGGCAGCAGGCAAGCCAACTCTCTCGTGTTGAGGAGATGACAGTCTGCTCGCGTTCCCACTCGCTGATGGTGGTGAACATTGGACGGAGCACGTAGATCTCCCACTTGCTGGCGATGCTGGGGCACGCCAAGCTCACACTCGCTGATAGAGGAGGAAGAGGTGCCTTGTGATGACGTTGCTGGTAGAAACCGTACCCGGGGCCGCTGTTAAGCCGCGCCGCATGAACAATACAGCCAGCGTCCTCCAGCTTCGTGAGTCGAAGCAGCAGGCCTCGTTTACTCGCACTGCCCAACAGCTGTGCGATGCGGCAGTTTAGGCGGGTTGTGTGACACTGCAGTAAACGACATTTGTCAGCTGTTGTAGCGCCGCGAGGCGTGTGCAGTGAACACGGAGGCGGGCGGGTTTGGGTGCAGGGATCTGCCGCCACCCAAAACTCGGGCGACGCCAAAGTAATAATGAAAATAATGAAACAAAATAAATTATATGAAAAATGTAATGGAAGATGAAAGTAAGAAGAGCGGTGGTGAGTGAAGAAGGACGAGGGTAAGGTACGAGGTGTGGTTACGGTTGATAAACTGTGAGAGCGATCCGGGACTGCAGCCAGCTGCGGCGCTGTCAACTTACTTTCAATAGAAACATGAATTGCTCATACGAATATTCTCTCTCTCTCACAGTAGCAGACGAAACAATCATCTTGTTGAACAATTCTAAACCTTGCCGCGGCAATGTTAGTTTTCTCTGTTGTTCAAGGTTTTCTCAGTGTTATTCAATGTTTTTACATTTAGTTTACTATTACACTGAATTTTATGGCATAATTAACTATTTTTGTCTTAAAAATCTTTAAAAAACAATATTTATATACAGTTCGTAGGAGTCTGGAACGGATTAATTGTATTTACATATAATCCAATGGGGAAATCAGGTTCGAGTCACGACCAAATCGGGTTGCGACCAAAGTTATGGAACGAATTATGGTCGTGACCAGAGGTTCTACTATAGCTCAGTGGGCCTTACCTGGAAAAAATACATTTGTTTATGGCCCTCCAAAGCATACACAAACAATATGCAACACTTCAGTTATATAGAAACAAACAAGGGCATTCAAATGGGAAAATGCTGGTAACTCATTTACCATTCTAGTCGTAGTTCAATAACCTTGATGCAGCCCTGGGCACGTTGCTCCCCCCCGGGCTGCGGGAGCCCCCCTGGCGATGCTGCTGCTGCCACTGCTGCCACCGCTGCTGTGTGATCCCAATTTAGTAATTTGCAGGTAATTTTTCAGCATTGGGATGTTTGGCCAATACTGGTTTACATTGTGTGATTGAAACCCTTGTAGAGCAGGGGGAGAACGTGCAAACCGCACACAGAAAGTCGCCCGAGTCAGACCCAGGTCATTCTCGCTCTGCCATCCTGCCGCCCAACCTAAGACCGGTCATAACTGATGATGTTTGCTAAAAACGCCACACTCTGACGTCACCGAACGTCGCCGGGCATGCGTGAAGGACGTTTCCACTCGGCTTATCTCCTGTGTGTGTCCGATGCAAATAGCTGTCATATGAAGTCGGCGAGCGGCTCCCAGCTGCAGCAGGTGGATGAGACCCTGGATAAGAGGTCGCTCATTCCCATGGAGGCCACCAGCATGAGCCGGGACCCGGGACGACCAGGAGTCAGGGTGAGTCTCCCAGCACCAACCACATCGATTAGCACGGTTGGCTACATACGGTGCGAAAGAAGTTCAACATGCATACAACGGGTGAAGAGGTAGCCCATGACATCGCTCCGTGCCGTCACTTCTACCAGAGCCACGAGGGAATCTGACAAGATTTCAAAGTTCTGTGTGTGTATGTTCACTGGTTTTTTCCCATAACTAAAAAAAACAAAGTAACTAGTATTGGCCAAACTTCTCAAAAGCTGAAAATTACACTTCAAATGACTTGATTTGGATTAGACAAGAACATCGTGCCTTACTGCTAAAACGTGGCAGTAAACAAGCTCGGTAATATTAATGGTAATTAACGGGAGAAGCCGGAGGAACACCCACGCAGGACAGGGGGAGAGAGAGCACACAAACTCCACATTGAATGGCTCCTGAGTCGGGAATTGACGCTGTGCCACCACCCTGCCGCTCCTTGGGCGGCTCCCTCGCAGAGGGGTGGCTCCCTCCTGCAGGGGCGGCTCCCTCGTAGAGGAGCGGCTCGTCGCTCCCCTGTAGACAAGTGGCTCGTCACTCGCATGGCCGCACCGCCCGCGGTGCTGTGACGGTTCGTGTTGTGTGCAGGCGGGCACCACGGGAGCAGCCACCGCCGCGGTCCTCCGAGACGACGAGGAAGAGGCTGCGGACGGCTCCTCCTTGTCCACGAAGAGCCAGCCCAGAGGGCCGTGCAACAGCGCCGACTCTGCGCAGAAGCCTGCCGCTCGCGCCAAGGCCACGATCACCAGCTACTTCCAGCCGTCGTCCAGAAAGAGGTGACGCACAGAGGGGGCCGCCGAGCTGCGGCATTGCGCTACGTGGCGCGGTGGTACCGCCCGTGCCTCCCAACACGAAGCCCCTGGGTTAGATTCCCGACTCGGGCACCTTTCTGTGGAGTTTTTATGTTCTCTCCCCCGTTCTGTCGAGGTTTCCTCCGGGTTATCCGGTTTCCTCGCATAGCTACAAAGATGTACAATGCAAACGGTATTGGCCAGACATCCCAGTGCTTAAAAATTACTTGAAAATTACTCAATTGGGATCGCACACTGCAACAACATCGCCCACTACTGAGAAAACTTGCCAGGACCTACCTGAACAAGAGTCTTGAGACTCAGCGAGGCTCCCCTGTGTAAATAAGTGTACGAATAATAAATCCCTTTGGGGCCAATAAAATGAGCACCACTTTGTGGGCAACTCAACAGCACGTGTCCTGTGGACAAACAAGCCCCAGCCATAGGAATATGTAATTTCCACCACTGGCCCCAAGCAGCAGGTGAGTCATTGAGGCACCTTCGATTTGCACGGTTGGCTACGTACGGCGCGAAAGAAGTTCAACGTACACACGTATGTACGATGGTGGCATAGAATCGTGTTGGGCAGGGTGGCTGGCTCAGGCTAGCGCCGCCGTCGCGGTCTCGCGCAGAGCTCGCCACGCCGGCACCGACGGCGACGACGAGGGCTCCGCGGTGCCCCCCAAGGTGTCGAGAGCGGCGGAGCAGCCCCCCCCCACCCTGACGTGGCCGGAGTCCGGGGATCGCACTTCCCGCACCTGCAGCCTGCCCACACAGCCATACCCAGGTAGTCCTCCTGCCATGGGCGCCTCACTGTGCATGAGCCCCCCACCTGCAGCCTGCCCACACAGCCGTACCCAGTAGCGCGCCGCGCGCCTGCCGTGTGGCACGCCCCCTTTCCCCTCCTCTCCACGCCTGGCCGCTCTTGGCCGACATTCTTGCGCTGTGTTCCGCGTTGAAGCGGCGCTGACAATTCGCCTCCTTCCCCTGTCTCTCCCTCTACGTAAAACAAACACGTGCCTTTTACGCATCCCATCAGCCACGCGGCCTCCTCTGGTAGTGCCTAATCTCACAGCAGCTTTAGCTCAAAGCAAGCCTGGTTGTGCTATTGAGACGCTGAATGTCAAAACCGGTCCAGAGTTTGCTTTGCTTGAACCTATGCTGCTGCAATTATGTATTCCTAGAAGGCCATGTGGCTGGTGGGATGTGTAAAAAAATGACGTAAAGACACGAATACGAAGGAGGCGTATCGTACGTCTCATTTAGTCGCTTGTGTTCTGCAGAAGCACGCCGATGATTATTTTGTGCTTCAAGGTGGAGATGCCCAGCACGAATGTGAGGATCGCACCACATGCCTTTGTGTAGACAACGGAACAAGAGGGGAGGACTCGCATCAGCCGGCTCCCCCAAAGACGACTGCGGGGACACCCAGGACCCCAGCGGGCGAGCTTGGTGCGCGGGGAGGAAACGCGGAAGGCGTGCCGGCACCGGTGAGGCCGGTGCTCGGGGCGTGGGTGGAAGAGTTCCCGCGGCATCGCAGTGCACCAGCGTCTCGCTCTGCGCCAGCACCTCTGTGTGCCACGCAGCTCACGGTGCTGGTGGAGTTGCTGAGCGTGAGGCGCACGCTCGCTGTGCTCCGTGGCCCCTGGGCCCCGAGTGCGTGCGGCTCCACACGGGCCCTGCCACCGCCTCCCTGTGGCTGTGCTGCCCCGGCGGCCGTGCTGCCCTTGGCCCGTGACACGGCACTGCGGAGGCAGCAGGGAGCGTTGGCGGATCACACGCACACGAGTTCGTGAAACACACACGGGCTCGTGAAACACGCACGAGGTCGTGAAACTCCCAGCCTACCCTGGGCCTCGAGGTCTCCAGCTCCTGGCTTATGACCAGGATATGCTGGCAGTACAACTAGCGGGTTAATTTACATCTGTACAGCGAGGTAAGTGTTACCCATCTAGCACGCTTGGGTTTACTCCGCGTTCTCCGGTTTTCTCCCACGTGTGTGAACTCTCGGGCATGGAGTTGGGCAAACATCCCAATATAGGACCACAGATCTTGGGCAACTGTTGGCACAGATGCTGGCTGCCTTCCTGCTGCTTCCAGAAACTGTGCAGCGCGTTACATTTTCTTTTGTTGTTGATTTTTAAGTGTCCGTCTTCAATGGTGAAGCAACGTCACTGTGTAGGACACTCAAGTAACTATCGTCTGCCCAGGATGAGTAATAAAAATATGCTAGGGCACCGCTCATTAGTGCACACCTCATCTCAGCTTCATCTCGGCTTCATCTCCGCTTCATCTCAGCTTCATCTCAAGTCGTCCAATGCAGAAACTGGCGTCTGCCATGGGAATTAAACTAAAACTAAACTATTTTTTGTTTAAAGGTAAGGCCTACTGATTTATATAGCTCTTAATTAAAAAGCGACTTGGCCACAAATGATAGCTCAATGAATTGGCTTATCGCGTGGAAATCTATAGCAGCCACATACTCTTAAACACGTGATGTTGATTCTAAATGTGGAGGGAATGACTGGAGGACCTGGAGAAAAATCCACACGACCACGGGAAGAACATGCAAACGGCAAAATATACAGGCTTCAGGGTCGGGATCGAACCCACAACCTCCTGTATACAAGGCGAGGTAGTTAACATGTTGCCACCCCTGGCTCAGCGGTGGAGTTGGGTGCTGCCATGTTGTTCATCGGTGCGGGGAGCCTCTGACTGAGCAGGGAGCCTCTGACTCTCTGCAGGGTCCCCCACCTGACAGCCGATTTGTGTTCACAGTCGGAACAGAGTCACACGCAGACGACGGCGACAAAGAAGAAGAAGGGCTTTGAGGAGTTTGCCATGGAGGAGCCGAGCGAGGAGGGGGAGACGCAAGAGGGAGCTGGCGGCCCAAGCGCAAAGCGGAGGAGATGCGCGGACTCCCCGCCTGTGAAGCAGGAGCCTGTAGTGGTGAGACGCCTCCGCACGCGAGCCCCCCCATGGCCGCTCCACTCTCAAGGAGACCTCCGTGGTTAATCTGCATTGTGTGGGTGTACGTACGTTGAACTTCGCACCGTGCATAATCGGAGGTCGTGCTGTAGGGTCTTGCGTCAAACTCGGACTCGCGTCCAGCAGAGAGTCTCCTTGCCTATAAACATCCGGCAGTTCGACAGCATTGGTTCAAACCAGCCTGGCTGCTGATGAGCCGCTGAATGTCGAAATCGCTCCAGATTTTTTTTGTCTTGAGCCAATGTTGATGAAATTGTGCACTCGCAGAAATCCGTGTGACTGATGGAATGTGTAAAAAAAACGTTTTATGTGGAGGGATAGAAATACAAGGCGAAATGGTGTTGCTGATGGCGGCGGTGTTGATGGCGGCGGTGTTGATGGCGGCGGTGTTGATGGCGGCGGTGTTGATGGCGGCGGTGTTGATGGCGGCGGTGTTGATGGCGGTGGTGTTGCTGGCGGGGGTGTTGATGGCGGCGGTGTTGATGGTGGCGATGTTGATGGTGGCGGTGTTGCTGATGGCGGTGTTGATGGTGGCGGTGTTGATGATGGGGGGTGTTGATGGTGGCGGTGTTGATGGTGGCGGTGTTGATGGTGGTGGTGGTGGTGTTGATGGTGGCGGTGGTGGTTTTGCTGATGGTGGTGTTGCTGTGCGCGTTGCTCGAGGCCGGGGACCCGGAGGATGTGACTGCCCCCACGGCGCTGCTGCTGTGTGAGTTCCGCTCCCTGGTGCTGGCCAGGCCCACCGCCTCCCCCCACGCGGGGCTCCTGGACACCTCCACGCTGCCCAGCGGCACCCCCCGCAGGAACTTCAAGACATTCAGGAAGGTGAGCGCGCCCGAAGGAGCCAGGGCGCCTCCGGTGTGGGACGGGTGGAGTTCGTCGCACGCCCGCGTCCAAACGTACAGGTGTCACGGTGGCAAGGAAATGTTATCTCCCTTGCCTGGTGCGCAGGAGGGCATGAGTTTTATCCCAGACCCAGGGGATCGATGCCTGTTGTAAATTTCGAGGTCTCGTGTTCTCTCGCCTTGGTGGTAAAGCTCCCAGTGGCTTCCTAATATTGGAAGGAAGAACGTTCCAGACGGCCGCAGAAGCACATCTGAAAATGCGCGATGCAGTGATCGTCATTGTTCGATGGTTAGCCAAAAGCTGTTGTGAGGATGACTGGAGTTTGCGTGCTATTAGTTTGTTCCTTCATGAGATCAGCAAGGTATTGTGGTTCATTTGTGGCAAGCACTTTGTGTGGAATGAGTGCGACCTTATAATGTATTTGTTCGGCAACCGGCCATCACCGGACGGACACGATCGGACCTTGTAGTAAAATTAACACGAGGGAAGGCGCCGGCTGCTGTGTTTCACAGACAGTCTGCGGCCGCTACACAGTCGAGGGTGGTGTTGCCGTGTGCGATCCCAATTGAGTCATGAGCACGTCATTTTGCACCATGACGCCAACATGTAGCAGGCCACACTTTCCGTAGAAACCGTGAGATCTCGAAGGTCCACCGCGAAGCAGCCCGTGTGGAGTATTTTACAGCGCCCGCAGTAGTAACCAGGGCGAACCGTCGGATTTGAACCACGAACCTCTGAAACAAGAGGTGAACACGCTGCGGCCACGGCGTCATCATCGTCGGTAACGTGAGGGAGCGCGGTCGATCGTGCGGCGTGCAGGCCGCCCGCAGCGTCACGTCCACGCTGCCTCGCGTCGTCATCGCCGTCTCCGATTTGTACCACCATGAGGAGGAGACCGACGACCACGCCTGGATAGAGGTGACTGGAGGAGCAGACACGGGGACGTGGCGTTGTGGGGGACGTGCGGGACGTGGTGGTGTGGGGGACGTGGTGGTGTGGGGGACGTGGGGGACGTGGTGGTGTGGGGGACGTGGGGGACACGGTGGTGTGGGGGACACGGTGGTGTGGGGGACACGGTGGTGTGGGGGACGTGGTGGTTTGGGGGACGTGGTGGTGTGGGGGACGTGGGGGACGTGGTGGTGTGGGGGACGTGGGGGACACGGTGGTGTGGGGGACGTGGTGGTGTGGGGGACGCGGTGGTGTGGGGGACGCGGTGGTGTGGGGGACGCGGTGGTGTGGGGGACGCGGTGGTGTGGGGGACGCGGTGGTGTGGGGGACGCGGTGGTGTGGGGGACGCGGTGGTGTGGAGGACGCGGTGTTGTGGGGGACGTGGGGGACGCGGTGATGTGGGGGACGCGGTGGTGTGAGGGACGCGGTGGTGTGGAGGACGCGGTGTTGTGGGGGACGTGGGGGACGCGGTGATGTGGGGGACGCGGTGTTGTGGGGGACGTGGTGGTGTGGGGGACGCGGTGGTGTGAGGGACGCGGTGGTGTGGAGGACGCAGTGTTGTGGGGGACGTGGGGGACGTGGTGGTGTGGGGGACGTGGGGGACGCGGTGATGTGGGGGACGCGGTGATGTGGGGGACGTGGTGGTGTTTGGGGGACGTGGTGATGTGGGGGACGTGGGGGACGCGGTGATGTGGGGGACGCGGTGATGTGGGGGAGACGCGGTGGTGTGGGGGACGCGGTGTTGTGGGGGACGTGGTGGTGTGGAGGACGTGGGGGACACGGTGGTGTGGGGGACGTGGGAGACGCGGTGGTGTGAGGGACGCGGTGGAGTGGAGGACGCGGTGGTGTGGGGGACGCAGTGTTGTGGGGGACGTGGGGGACGTGGTGGGGTGGGGGACGTGGGGGACGTGGTGGTGTGGGGGACGTGGGGGACGCGGTGGTGTGGGGGACGCGATGGTGTGGAGGACGCGGTGGTGTGGGGGACGCGGTGGTGTGGGGAGACGCGGTGGTGTGGGGGACGTGGTGGTGTGGGGGACGTGGGGGACGCGGTGGTGTGGAGGACACGGTGGTGTGGGGGACGCAGTGTTGTGGGGGACGTGGGGGACGTGGTGGTGTAGGGGATGCGGTGATGTGGGGGACGCGGTGGTGTGGGGGACGCGGTGTTGTGGGGGACGTGGGGGACGTGGTGGTGTGAGGGACGCGGTGATGTGGGGGACGTGGGGGCCGCGGTGGTGTGAGGGACGCGGTGGTGTGGGGGACGTGGGGGACGCGGTGGTGTGAGGGACGCGGTGGTGTGGAGGACGCGGTGGTGTGGGGGACGTGGGGGACGCGGTGGTGTGAGGGCCGCGGTGGTGTGGAGGACGCGGTGGTGTGGGGGACGTGGGGGACGCGGTGGTGTGAGGGACGTGGTGGTGTGGGGGACGCAGTGTTGTGGGGGACGTGGTGGTGTGGGGGACGCGGTGATGTGGGGGACGTGGGTGAATTGGGGACGTGGGTGCAGCGGGGGACGTGATGATGTGGGGGACATGGGGGCACATTTGTCAATAACAACACTGTGGCCTTAAAAAGGAAAACTATCCAATCGGTGACATGTCTTGTCATGGTGCTTCTTTTGCACAGTGGACAGAGAGACCAGAGTGGCAGTTTGGGCTGTGAAGGGTCGATACCCAAAACGTAGTCTGTTAGTTTTTGTGAGACCACAGTGTTGCAATTGACGAACGTGTTGAGTTGTTTTTGTTAACTGCCCTTGTGCACCGCTGCCAAAGCAGCAGCAGCACCATCACCAGATGGTTTAATACGTCTTGGGGAAGTGTGCAGCGTTATCGTACGTTTGTGCATTCCGTTTGGCGTGCCCCATGATTTTCTGTCATGTCGCCTTGTGCAGGAGAGTCAAAGAACCCAGGAGGAAGTCTTAGCGGACAATCTGTTTGGGTGAAAGGGCGTGCAGCAACTGCACATCTCACCGGTCGCCACCTCTTGGTAATCTTTGATGGTGGCTGTTGGCATTGTGCCATTACCCCACTCGAAGGTCTCACGGTGAGGCCTGTGCCACTTGGGCCAGAGGAGTTTGGTTTATTTCGTTTGAACGAGTTGAGAACTCGAGAGACCAGCATGAGCCTCGTTTGTGACACGACACACTTGGGTCAACTTAATGGCAAAAGGAAGCACGCAAAACCGTGAAGCAGAGATCTTAAGCTAAAAACACCAAATAGAAATCTGAGCACAAACACCCGCGTCAAGAAGAAAACGGTGCCGAGACATATTAAATACATTTCCTGAAACAAAGGTTTGCTCAAACGACGTTTATAAACCATAGTAAAGTTAAGTTACAGACATGAAGAATGTGGCCCTTGAAGGTCTTGAACAGGAGATGAGTCTAAACTTAATTTTAACTAAAATATTCTTATTTTACCAGGTCAGGCCTACTGAGCCAAACAACTATTTTTCCAAAGCGACATGGTCACAAATGACAGCTCAAAAAAGTGGTTTATCTTGTGGAAATTTATAGCAGCCAATTACTCTAAATGTGTGATGTTGATTCGATATGTGGGGGGAAAAACCAGAGGGCCTGGGGAAAAGTCTACGCGACCACGGTGAGACACGCAAACTCCAAAAATACATATCTATGGGACCTTTTTTCCAGTATCAAAAATTATTTAAAATAAGAATATAGGTTTAAAGCTTTCGTGACTGCAGGGATTCATCTTCTTGGTTCTTTCGGTAAAGTCACGTAGAAAGGAAGTAATAAAATAATAAAAATAAAACATAATAAAATAATTCTCACGACGTTTCGGCCACAACACAAGCAACCGTTCTCAGGTGAAACCAGGTCTGTCGTGACTTTACCGAAAGAACCAAGAAGAAGAAGAATATAGGTTTTACACTTTCTGGCAATGAAACAGGTATTAATATGTCCAAACACCAAATATAAACCTGAACACCTGTTTTGTTGCCAGAAAGGGTAAAACCTATATACTTATTTTTCATAATTTTGGATGCTGGGAAAAATGTATCTCATAGATATAACTTCTCGACCCGAGCAACAAGTGTTCAGATACTTTGTACTGTTCGCCTTTTGGCGTTCTCTGGTCTCACACTGGTGGTGAGACAAGGATTTAAAGTAGTCTGTCTTTGGTGTAGGCCAATCAGTTTCAAAGACAATGCCATATATTATCAGAGCATGTTTGCATATTTTGCCACAAGTATGTGTGAGTAATGCAGATGTCATGCCTTGGAAAAGGTATCTATCTGGTGTTTGATAATCTTAACACCTGTTTTATTGGCAGAAAGGGTAAAAGCCTATTCCCAAATATACAGCAGGCATCACTGTTGGGATCAAACCCACGACCTCCTGTATACCAGGCGAGGCAGTTAACATCTCATCATCGTGGTGCCCAGTCGGCAGCAGCCGTGTATTGGCTTCACCCCGGAGGGTTCCGTGACGAGATCAACTTCACAGCTGCTTTGTTTAGTCCTCTGGAGGCAGTCACGTTCAGGGAAACCCAACTGGGCAATTAGTGTTGTGCCATAATTGGAAGCCAGGGTGAACCTATCAAGTTGCTGACTGTGAAACACCCAGTAACTTCCCCGGTGGCTGCCTGGGTTCGAACCCAGTTGTTTGCAGCGGTGTCTCAGCGCTCCAATGCGGTTGTCAGCTCCACGACCACTTTTCATTTGTGCCACCGTTCAATTCCTGGCCAACGTCCAGATAAAGTTCACATCCGTAAACTTCCATAACACCTATTAGCATATGATGCCACCTTCACATCTGGCTCTCCACAACAGTACTAAAAGTCTTGTTACACTTCCCATCACCTGCACGGCTTTCTCGGGCTTCAATATTTTGTCTCATCACCAATAATGGCTTGCTTTAACACAATGGACTGTCCTTGCCTATAATGGCAGTTCACCATCAGGCCTGCTGATGAGGAACCGGCCCAAAGTTTACTTGCTTTGAACTAATGCTGCTGAAATTGTGCATCTCCAGGCCACGTGGCTGATGGGATGTGTACATTTTTTTAGTATTTGCTGCTATTAATGTGTAATGGGTTCCGGAGACACTTGTAGAGGTAACTTCTTTATTACAATACAACACTCCAACAGTCCTGATACTGTTACAGCCTAGGTACACAGCCTAGATACACTACTCTGGCTATGCTCTGGGGTCCTCCGGCTACAATTACCCTAGGGGGAGGCTAATCTGACCCGACCCAGCCAAGGTGCGGGTCTGGACTCTGGCTTCCTCGGAACTCGCCCTTACAAGGACGTAGAGCCGGGAGTCCCAGAGTCCCACCACTGGCCCTCACAGTGTCCCGGCCCTTACAAGGACAAGCGAGACGAGGGGGTCCAGGGTCCTACTCTGGCTGGTCTTGGGTCTTGAGCTACAACTGGCCCCGATCGGCCAGGGAGCTGCCCTTTTATGCCTCGTCCCCAACGAGGGGTGGGGTTGTGTGCGCCCCCCAGATATTCCACAGAGCACACACAGCCCCCCCCCCCCCGTTGGTGGCGCCAAAGGGCTTAACTGGCTGGGGTGCCTGGGATCCTAGCGCCTGGCGCCAAGGCTTATCTGCCTAGGATCCCAGAGTCCCCAGCAGCCCCTCCTCTCTTATGGCACTACAAATGTACACGTGATAAGCCACTTCTTTGAGCTATAATTTGTGATTCAGGTCGATTCTGAAAAATAACTACAATAGCTCAGTGGACCTTACCTGGTAAAATAAAAAGTTAATACTTATTTTTACGCGGCACCAGATGACAAGGTGGTGTCGACTGTTTATTTTGTAATAATGTTCCACGACACGGATAATTTTTGTGTAACTTGGCATGCTCCCATTAACGGCCCTGATTGCTCGGCATGCGCCGTCATTGTTTATTGACGGCGACTGGATTTCATGCTGAGTATGGCCGTCGGTATCACATGTGTACTGCAGGTCGTGCGTCCCAGCAAAGCGTGATGTGCGGAAGACTGGGGCGACTCCAGCCCCTCACGCCACCTGACCTGGGCCCGACTACAGAACGACTGGGAAAGGGGAGTCCGCCAAGACTTGGCGTTACTCTCGAGTCAGTAAGGGAGTTCGCAGAGGACTTACGGGCAGTCCGTTTAACTTGTAAGCCTATTGTGAAGGCAAAAAAAATAAGTCAATCCATAATTAAGGAAATAACGTTGACATGAATATTAAGCAACCACATTGTATCTCACATTCCCACAGCTTTGCCGTCTCACTTGGAATTTCTTGAACGTTTTCTCACATCAGACCTTCCCAGCCACAGGCTGCCAGGGTGGTACCAGCGTTGTCGTCGGGCCCTGGATCTCCATGCATTTCCTCCACTGTCCCCGCACCTTGAGTCTAACTAAACCCATAGCTTGTGACTGCTTGCATCTCTTTAGTTTTCTTGTGCACGTTAATATTATACAATACATGCAAAACTGTAAAATAATTGGAAATTGAGAAACTCACAAATCCATGCTCCTAATAATCCATCAATTCAAAAATCTGCGGTGCCCATACTGTTTGCAGCGGCTAATCCTGAAATTCCAAAACTCACGAGATTTCTTGGATCTTGCCAGGGCTGAAATCTCCAATATTCAAGTACATGGATTATAGGAAGGAAAACTCGTAAAATTCACGAGGCACCGTGATGGGATGGTTGTGTTAAAGCTGTGGCTTTTGAAGCCCACCATATTTTATTAACTAAAGGCCAGGCATAAGGACGACTCTTTAATACCAACTCATGGCAAGGTCTGGTGAGTAGTGAAGTCAATAAATTCATGTTCTCATGCTTCGTTGGGTTTCCAAGACTTATTTTCCACAATCGTGGATGCATGCACCACAGGGCCAATGGAATTCCCAAGGATGCCCTCCATCCAATTTCTTTCAGAACTGTTTCCCAGTGCCATTGAAAGTGTCACCACGCATTTTCAGATTAGAGCAGTGTTCATCACCAAGACCCCACAGGCCACCCCCAACCAACACACGTGAAAACCCAATGGTGTGAAGTGTGGCAGCCCTCACACTTGTTTTGACAAGAGCCTCCCCTTTTGAAAATTGGTGAACTTGCTGAGGCTCAGCTATCAAAAGTCGTTTGGCTTTCCTTAATAAAGCCGCTCATGCCCATGTGCTCTCCTGGAGAGAAACCTTTGGGTCCACCACTCTGCCCAGCCGTAGAACATCAGGCCATCAGCACCTGTTGCTGGCTGCTTGCTTACCCATGAAAGCCTGGCTGAACCTCAACTCTTCTTCATGAGTCCAGCCATGATTGCAGTGGGAATGCTAGTTGAGTAAATTTCAGATAATTTCAGCATTTACACAATTGCCCAATACCTAAGAGATTGTACATGCGGTTTTAGCTATGGGAGGAAACCCATGCAAACCAGGGACAACGCATTCTTCTGCACAGAAAGGCACCAGTCTAAAGTTAAACCCAGGCCGTTCTTGCCGACACACAATCACTGCTCTACCTTGCCCACAAAATTGGCTGCCGGCACTCTGCATCCGGGATTGCAACGACACAAATCAATCCACAAGTCAACTCAAGGCAAATATTTATTTAAATATTACCACTCAACATTAAGTTCCATGTCGAGTTCACAGCAAGTAGAATACAATCATGGTTGCTTTACATATTTTTAATATATATACCACTTGAGAACCTATTCTTGGTTCTTTTGGTAAAGTCACATAGAAGGGAAATAATAAAAAGAAAACATTAAATAAACATTCCTACTTAGCATTTGCAGATAGACATCTCCTAGAGGAATGTTTAGTCAATTCCCAAGTGTTGATATAAACACGCAGCCAGGTGGCTTGGCAATAGCCATCAGCTCAAGTTTGCAGGTTCAAATCCTGGTTGGGGGTTGACTCAGCCATAACTGGCTCAGAGCTATAAACAAGCACTACCCCAATGCTCATTTGAGCAGTAAATCATTGAAGCATCTTGTTGCACCAAGGAAACAATTGTGTTCCACCTGATGTACACAGCGCCTTCAATCACAGCAGCCACGCCCGGGTGAAATGCAGCCAACCGCAGGCTCACCTAGAAACAATGCAATGGAGACATTATTATTGCCACGATAAAGTGTTTGTTAAACAACGATTAGCAGGTGTCAAGATAGAGACGCCATCGTCACCAAAGCTGTCAATGCCCCCCACACAGTCTACTCCAATGCCGGTCTTATTATAAATTGTATCCATCAAACTATTGTTTACCATTAACTTTTTAAGAGACCTGGCCACAAATGATAGCCTAACAAAGTGGCTTATTCACGTGGAAACAGCCTGCCTCAGCAGCAGACCATGCTTTCCCACCTGATGACAGATGCTTGTGTTGCGCCCGAAACGTTGATTTATTTTATACCTACGTGACTTTACCGAAATAACCAAAGAGTATGGTCATTTATAGCCGTGAAACTCTAAATCCACGACATGTATACCAGGTGAGGAGGGAGTTAAAATCACCACTCTGGCACCCCACATCTCCATGCATTGCGACAGCACACTAACCAGTAAAGCAAACCCAATTCGAGTGTTAGGCGAGTATTCGCCCCATAACGTATACATGCCGCACTGCATTGGGTCACTTAGTGCCCATCCTCTGCACTGCGTTGCATAGCTCATGTTCAATGGTCAAGTTGTCCGACTTCGCAAACTTCCAAATGCCGTAGAGGGGCAGCACAACCGCCTGGCGGGCATCTAGAGTGAATCAAGCCATTTGCTCTCCGACAGAACTAAATCCTGCTGCTATGGCTTCAAGCAGCAAGAGGAACGCCTGTCGAGACAAGCTACCAGCAAGAGCTGGATATGAGGAAACAAGAGCTAAAAAATGCATCAACGTGTTTATTAAAAAGAGCACAGGCAGACTGGCCATTAGTGTCAGAAAGTCTCTCACCGTCTGGGAACAAGGGCTCTGGGTACCCAGATGCCGATGAGGAATGGAGGAAAGTGGCCAATGTTTCACACCCTGAGAATACAAGAGAACAACATCAGCGGTGCACAGGAAAACGGAAACCACGGAGTCCTGCATCTACCCTTGCTCAGAAGCAACAAGTAATCACAGGCAATCATGTGAAACACGGAATGCATATCAGCTCATCATGCAAGGGCAGCCCTTGGCTCTGCACTACTGTAGGGCGCTGCTCACCTGCTTGGGGGTCTCTGCGCATGCAGGCAACGCCAGGTGCCGCCCTGCACCATCTCACCGCAGCAGCGCCAACGAATCGTCCAGCTCCTGGCAGCTGTGGGCACAGGCAGGTGGTCACCACACGCATCCTTACAGTGAACACGTCCATGACAGCAGCGTGGAGGATCACGCGGCACCCTCTCGTTACCGTCACAAGCGTTCGCATCAACAGCGGCAGCAATCTCTACACACAAGTCCAAACCGCCTCCTAATCTGTAACATGGAAATCCAATTCCGATACACTATTACTATGCAAGTCATTGTCTGAATACACAAGTGATATCATGTTACTCAAATATATTGTGCTCCAGAGCAAATGGTCACATTCATCTATCAGGGACCAGTCTATTGAGAAGACAGCCACTGTTTACATCTCACAAAGTGCCACTTTTACTAACCACTGAAGGACAAGGCTGAGGGACCATAAAGGAACTATGCAGAGAAAGTGTGATAATTTTAAACAAACCACAACATTCACGGCCTCAAATCGCTCGACAGTGGAACACTACCGGATCCACGAGGACTTCATTTGAACAGAGATGGTCTGGGACTCCCTCAGGGCGGGGCAACTTAATGAACATAATTCTCCTCTGCTGCTTGAGCACAGGAGGTATATGTAGCAGGCCCGGTGACCGGCAGACTCACAACAGAGGCAGCCAGTGAATAAAGGCGCGCAGATTTCTTTGCGAGTGCTTTAGCATGTGGAGGAGACGCAAACCCCAACACATGACTCTAAGCCTCACGCGACAACTCTGGGACTGACGAGCCCACACGTGAGATAATCACGCCAACACCACGTCGTTACAGCAAGCGATGCTATCCGGGAATTTCCGTAGAGAAAACGGAGAAAAGTGATAAAAGTGTCGCCCAAAACCTGGAGCCTCACAGGAACAGTGTTGCCTCTGTAAATGTGTTGAAACCGACACGGCTAGAGTCGTTATTCACAACCTTGGGACCTTAAAACGAAAATGGATTCCAGTGGAATGAAGTCACCATTCATGCACCCATTGGCAACAGACGGGCACGGTGGTCTCAGTTACCACGTGGTCTAGATATTTGCACGTTTCAGTTTTCAATATTACGAGCGCTATGGAGACACGAACCCCACCACATGACTCTAGGCCTCACACACACCCACCCCCCCTATAGCTGCAGCTCCACACATGGAATCAGCCACAACAAAATCACATCAAGGCCACTAGGCCGAGGCCTTAAGTCAAAACATTATTTCCCTGCCCGGTAGCGAAAGCAGCAACAGTGCAACGCTGCGAACCTCCAAGTTTGCTCACCTCCAACTCAATGGCCAAGCAGCGTTTTCACAGGAACGTGCATTCAAGCAGCTTCCTGACGGAGGACCACGTGCCTGCGCATGAGAAACACATGCAGAATGTGGTCAGGCTTCCAATACCATCGTGTGTGCACTTTCTGCTGGTTGCAGTTCGTGCAGGAGAAGTTTGGCATATCAAGCATGCACTCTGTATTGATAGAGCAAAAACACATGAAGTGCCAAATAATAATGGAGGGGAAATGCATTCTGGAAATAAGCGTTATACGAGTATTGCTCTATCAGAAGACCCACCATCGCGTTCACAAGGATAATGTTATTGAACCTCAGGTCAGTTACCAAATGGACACCCATTCGACCACTTATCCATAGCAGAGCACAGAAAGCCACGAAACTGGAGGCCAACCATTATACAAGCTTAGGAAGTGACAGTGGCTGCATACTGTACGTAAACAAAGTCTCTTACCGTCTGGGAACAAGGACTCGGCATACCCAGACACCGATGAGGAACGGAGAAACGCGGCCGAGGGTTCACGTCCTGAAAGTACAAGGGAACGTCAGCGGTGCACAGGCAAACGCAACCGCAGGTGATCCGGCATCTGCCCTTGCTCAGAAGCAACAAGTAATCACAGGCAATCATGTGAAACACGGAATGCATATCAGCTCATCATGCAAGGGCGGCCCTTGGCTCGGTGCTGCAAAATTCTATAAAATCGGACACCGACGAAATCAGCGATCTGCCCATACAAGTCGGCGTGGTGTTGCCTGAAGGGGCGTGTCTTTGCCCATATACGGTCCGGTGGATCGTGGTAATTGTATAGATTTTGCTCAGTCGATCCGGCAAGCCAGCTCAAAGTCGATCGTACTTTGTGGGTTAATCGGTGTCGATCCCGTGCCAATAGATCCATGGATCGAGTGATCCCATAGGTTAGTGTAGCGTCGTGCGACACGCTCGCCTTATTTTGATTGGCTAATATCTGCGCTATAGGCGATTCCATCGAAGTAGTCCATCAACTGCGTTACAGCCCCAGTGCAGGGCGCCGCTCACCTGCTGGGGTCTCCGCGCGCGCAGGCGGCGCCAGGTCCCAGGCCTGCACCATCCCACCGCAGCCACGCCGACGACTTGTTCATAGCTTGTTTATAGCGCGTGGCGACTGTGGGCAGGCAGGGGGGGGGGTCAACCACACACCGGCGAGAGGAACAGGCCACACATTACAGTCCACCACCACCACGCAGACGGTGACGCTTGCCCGGGAAAGCCGCGGAGTCTCAAGACTCGCTGTCAGGAGGGTCCTTGCCAAGTGTTCACGCTTGGAACGATGTTTATCCGATGAGCTGTGAAGCTTTTTTTCACAGAGCAATTTGCCGGCTATTTCTCAGAATCAAGCTGTTTAGCTATTGGCGGAAACCCACCATGCAGCAAGGTGGAGTGAGAATACAAACTGCACAAATAAAAGTGCCCGAGTCCGGAATTTAACTCGGCCAACTTGTTGCGAGGCACGAGATGCCACCACCCTTCATTGTCAAGGGACAGTGGGCGTCGCGGTGGCTGTGGGCGTCGCGGTGGCTGGGAGATGGCAACCACCTCGCCCGATATGCAGGTCGTGGGTTTGATCCCGACCCTGACACCTGCTCCATGTTGAGAGCCTGCGTCTCTCTCCCCGTGGTCGCTTGGCCCTACGGGGTTTCCCCTCCACATTTAGAAACACGTGTTTAGGCTGCTATACATTTCCAAAGCCACTTTGAGCTATCACTCGTGACGAGGGCGCTTCTGAAATGTATCTACACAGCTCAGTGGGCCTTGCCTGATAAAATAAGTGTCGCTTTAGTTTATTGTAGCAGGCCCGGTGACCGGCAGACTCACGACAGAGGCAGCCAGTGAATAAAGGCGCGCAGATTTCTCTGCGAGTGCTTTAGCATGTGGAGGAGACGCAAACCCCAACACATGACTCTAAGCCTCGCGCGACAACTCTGTGAATTACGAGCCCACGTGAGATAATCACGCCAACACCAAGTCCTTACAGCAAGCGATGCTATCCGGGAATTTCCGTAGGGAAAACGGAGTAAAGTGATAAAAGTGTCGCCCAAAACCTGGAGCCTCATAGGAACAGTGTTGCCTCTGTAAATGTGTTGAAACCGACACGGCTAGACTCGTTATTCACAACCTTGGGACCTTAATACGAAAATGGATTCCAGTGGAATGAAGTCGCCATTCATGCACCCATTGGTCTCAGTTACCACGTGGCGTAGATATTTGCACGTTTCAGTTTTAAATATTTTATTCCGTTCATTTCCCCAAGCAAACCTCGCCGAATCTCAAGAATATTTTTCAGGAGGGTCCTGCAGGTTTCCCCAGAAGGGGCCAAGTTGCTGCTACGCACTAACATTTTTTGCGGGTAAATTTTTCAAATTGGGCAGATGTGGTCCATGACGCCGCCACACAATGGCCTCGCTCTCGAGAACGACGTCACGGAGTCTTTAACGTCCACCGTCATCAAATCGCCGCTACACCCCATGGTGTAGCACCCGCGGTGTAGCGGCCTCTGGGGTCGATCTGCCGTCTCCCCGCGACCACAAAGCGGCAACCGCGAGGCCACTGCCCACGTGGCATTGCTGCGCGGCAAACCGGTAACCGCCGGGTTTGTCGCGAGGTTTTCAAGCGGTTACCGGTTTTGTAAAACATTTTTATAACCCAACTAACCCCGCAGTGCGCTTGAAAGGCAATAACGCGCATTCACCAAGTTTCATTTTTAACCTCCCGAGCTTGAAACAATCCGCTTTGGGGTACACGGATTTTAAGTTGCGTTCTTACTGGGTAATCGTTTACAAAATAATCGTCCGCAGGTCTCGTCGAGACGGGGGGGGGCATCGGATTGCGGCTCTGGCGGGTAGGCCGCGCTCTGTGCCGGGGGGCGCGTCCTGGCGCGGTCCCCGGTGCTAAACAGATTCAGCAACTCCCGGACAGCAGCTCTAGATCACGGTGAAGGTCCACAAGGGCGCTCTAGCACACAGCACGGGGGGGGGGGGCTTCTCTCTCACCTCACCACGGCGCGTTCAGAGTCCTCGTGTCGCCTCGTATCCAGGCCGCGTGTACCCATGTCGCGTCTCTCGCCTCGTGTCTCCGTCTCTCTACCCTCGTCTCTCGCCCCGTGTCTCCCCTCTTCCAGTGTCTCTCTCCCAGCCCCCCTCTCAGTGTCCCCGTCGCAAAGAGAGCGTCTCCCCACGCGGCGATCCGTTTTATATCCCTCCCAGCACGCCGCGTGCGCGATGACGCCCATAGAGGGGCGTGTCGATGCCGCGTGCGCGATGACGCCCATAGAGGGGCGTGTCGATGCCGCGTGCGCGATGACGCCCATAGAGGGGCGTGTCGATGCCGCGTGCGCGATGACGTCCATAGAGGGGCGTGTCGATGCCGCGTGCGCGATGACGTCCATAGAGGGGCGTGTCGATGCCGCGTGCGCGATGACGTCCATAGAGGGGCGTGTCGACGCCGCGTGCGCGATGACGCCCATAGAGGGGCGTGTCGACGCCGCGTGCGCGATGACGTCCATAGAGGGCGTGCCGATGCCGCGTGCGCGATGACGTCCATAGAGGGGCGTGTCGATGCCGCGTGCGCGATGACGCCCATAGAGGGGCGTGTCGACGCCGCGTGCGCGATGACGTCCATAGAGGGCGTGCCGATGCCGCGTGCGCGATGACGTCCATAGAGGGCGTGCCGATGCCGCGTGCGCGATGACGCCCATAGAGGGGCGTGTCGATGCCGCGTGCGCGATGACGCCCATAGAGGGGCGTGCCGATGCCGCGTGCGCGATGACGCCCATAGAGGGGCGTGTCGATGCCGCGTGCGCGATGACGCCCATAGAGGGGCGTGTCGATGCCGCGTGCGCGATGACGCCCATAGAGGGGCGTGTCGATGCCGCGTGCGCGATGACGCCCATAGAGGGGCGTGTCGATGCCGCGTGCGCGATGACGCCCATAGAGGGGCGTGTCGATGCCGCGTGCGCGATGACGCCCATAGAGGGGCGTGTCGATGCCGCGTGCGCGATGACGCCCATAGAGGGGCGTGTCGATGCCGCGTGCGCGATGACGCCCATAGAGGGGCGTGTCGATGCCGCGTGCGCGATGACGCCCATAGAGGGGCGTGTCGATGCCGCGTGCGCGATGACGCCTATAGAGGGCGTGTCGATGCCGCGTGCGCGGTGACGCCCATAGAGGGCGTGTCGATGCCGCGTGCGCGGTGACGCCCATAGAGGGGCGTGTCGATGCCGCGTGCGCGATGACGCCCATAGAGGGGCGTGTCGATGCCGCGTGCGCGATGACGCCCATAGAGGGGCGTGTCGATGCCGCGTGCGCGATGACGCCCATAGAGGGGCGTGTCGATGCCGCGTGCGCGATGACGCCCATAGAGGGGCGTGTCGATGCCGCGTGCGCGATGACGCCCATAGAGGGCGTGTCGATGCCGCGTGCGCGATGACGCCCATAGAGGGGCGTGTCGATGCCGCGTGCGCGGTGACGCCCATAGAGGGGCGTGTCGATGCCGCGTGCGCGGTGACGCCCATAGAGGGGCGTGTCGATGCCGCGTGCGCGGTGACGCCCATAGAGGGGCGTGTCGATGCCGCGTGCGCGGTGACGCCCATAGAGGGGCGTGTCGATGCCGCGTGCGCGATGACGCCCATAGAGGGGCGTGTCGATGCCGCGTGCGCGGTGACGCCCATAGAGGGGCGTGTCGATGCCGCGTGCGCGGTGACGCCCATAGAGGGGCGTGTCGATGCCGCGTGCGCGGTGACGCCCATAGAGGGGCGTGTCGATGCCGCGTGCGCGGTGACGCCCATAGAGGGGCGTGTCGATGCCGCGTGCGCGGTGACGCCCATAGAGGGGCGTGTCGATGCCGCGTGCGCGATGACGCCCATAGAGGGGCGTGTCGATGCCGCGTGCGCGATGACGCCCATAGAGGGGCGTGTCGATGCCGCGTGCGCGATGACGCCCATAGAGGGGCGTGTCGATGCCGCGTGCGCGGTGACGCCCATAGAGGGGCGTGTCGATGCCGCGTGCGCGATGACGCCCATAGAGGGGCGTGTCGATGCCGCGTGCGCGGTGACGCCCATAGAGGGGCGTGTCGATGCCGCGTGCGCGGTGACGCCCATAGAGGGGCGTGTCGATGCCGCGTGCGCGGTGACGCCCATAGAGGGGCGTGTCGATGCCGCGTGCGCGGTGACGCCCATAGAGGGGCGTGTCGATGCCGCGTGCGCGGTGACGCCCATAGAGGGGCGTGTCGATGCCGCGTGCGCGGTGACGCCCATAGAGGGGCGTGTCGATGCCGCGTGCGCGGTGACGCCCATAGAGGGGCGTGTCGATGCCGCGTGCGCGGTGACGCCATCACGCACGAGGAAACGCTCCGTGGCCTGCGCGGTGACGTCACCACGCAAGGAAGCGCGATGGCGGCGGCCTCTGCTTCCACGTCGCACCGCGACCGGGCCGCCTTCACCTCCTCATCCTCCGCGCTGTCGTGGGAGGCGATGCGCGGCCTGGCCGAGCTCGGGCAACTGCAGCGCGACTACGAGCGCCTGTGTCGCGACGAGGTGCCCGCTGACGCGGGGCCAGCCCGGCGGTCGCGCGTTCGCAGCGTTGAGATTCGCGGTTCCATTCCGACCGGCCGCCCCGGTTAATGCTGCGGATGTATCATCGTCGTTCGTCAACATAGTTATTGTTGTTATTTCACTCGTTTACCCGGGAAATCTCTGCAGAGTCCTCAAGACTCTTGTTCAGGAGGCTCCTGCCGAGTTGTTCGCAGTAGGGGGCGATGTTGCTGCTGCTTCTGCCGTCTGATCCCAGTGGAGTAATTAGCAGGCTCATGTTTAGCGGTGGGAGGTTTGGCCCATAGCAGTTACAATTGTGTTCGTTATTAACCACAAGAGACGCGCTCTCCGGAGAACTCGGACCGCTGTCTAACCGTGGATGTTAAAGACTCCGTGACGTCGTGCGATAATGAGTTGGCCGTGACGACTCCCAAACCACTGTCGCGGGGAAGCGGCAACCATTGCCCTCCCCGTTGCGAAGACGGAGCAGGGCCCCGCACCAAACCACAACTCGCCGGTCACCACTCCCCCGATGCTCACCGAACTCCACTTGGCACGAGCGCCCCTCACAACCCCGCACTGTCGTTCGTGCATTGCAGCCAGCAGCAGGATGTGACCCACTCGTGGCAATTATCAAGCGGCGGTGACTGCTTTTAGACTTGAGTTACACACGATGGGGCGTGCATGCCGAGTTCAGGTTTGACACCAAAGATCCCTGAGCTCTCGCTGCTCTCGGCGCGTCAAACGTGGCTGGAGTCGATGCTGTGACAAGACTGCACGCATGGCACCGACCCTTGATCAGCATCCACTTCCCCATTGCCCCTGCCCTTCCACATTGCCCCTGCTCTTCCCCATTGCCCCTGCCCTTCCACATTGACCCTGCTCTTCCCCATTGCCCCTGCCCTTCCACATTGCCCCTGCCCTTCCACATTGCCCCTGCCATTGACCCTGCCCTTCCCCATTGCCCCTGCCCTTCCACATTGCCCCTGCCATTGACCCTGCCCTTCCCCATTGTCCCTGCCCTTCCACATTGCCCCTGCCATTGACCCTGCCCTTCCCCATTGCCCCTGCCCTTCCCCATTGCCCCTGCTCTTCCCCATTGCCCCTGCCCTTCCCCATTGCCCCTGCCCTTCCACATTGCCCCTGCCATTGACCCTGCCCTTCCCCATTGCCCCTGCCCTTCCACATTGACCCTGCCATTGACCCTGCCCTTCCCCATTGCCCCTGCCCTTCCACATTGACCCTGCCCTTCCCCATTGCCCCTGCCCTTCCCCATTGACCCTGCCCTTCCCCATTGCCCCTGCCCTTCAACAGCCCTGTCCACCACCTGGGTCAGTGGCTTAAAACTACCATCAAGGTCGTTGGCTATAGACCACAAAATTGAGTTGGAATGAGCCCTCATTAGGCGAGTGTATTGTGTCATTGGGTGAGTGGGCGACACAGTGGGTGGAAGATATCTACCTCGCCTGGTATACAGGAGGTCATAGGTTCGATCCCGACCCAGATGGCTGCTATATATTTGGAGTTTGCACGTCTCCCTGTGGTTGCCTGGATTTTTCTCCGGATCCTCCGGTTTATCCCTCCACATTTAGAAACATGCATTTAAATTATTTGGCTGCTATGAGTTTCCACATGATAAACCACTTCGTTGATCTATCATTTGTGGCCAGGTCGCTTTTGAAAAATAGCTATATATCTCAGTGGGTCTTACCTGGTAATATAAAACATAATTTATTGTTTTAGTTTATAGAGTATTATGTCGACGGACTGCAGGAAGAAGTCACAGCTGAACTGGACTCATTGCTGGAGAAGCAGAGTGGATTGGAGTCAAAAATGGGCTCTCTGCATCGCATGCGGTGAGTGTAGCTCTCATTTATAACCTTTAAATATAGATTAACATTTCAAATGCATAGTGTATTTTACAGTTTTTTACGTACAATACAATGCTTCTGGCGCTGCCATCTGTCAGACCAAACTTGCAGCTGATTGAAGGGGATGCCTCTCAGCTCGCTGGAATGATCAACTTTACCTGCAACCTGGCCGAGAACATCAGCAGCAAAGTCCGCCAGCTGGACCTGGCCAAGGTGTGGGCACGCCTGGGCACACATCATCCCCACCCACACCCTGCAGCAAGTGTCCCTGCTGACTGCACGATGGGTTTGAACTCTCAACACAACAGTGCAATGCATGAATTGGCTCAGGTTATTCTATGTTGGCAATGCTGCGTAAGAAGCGTTTCACCCAGTTTGTGATAAATGAGTGTCGGTTCCATCGTGCGAAAGCGGCAGAGCAGATGCAAGGAGTCGGAGCACAGGAATTTATCTTTGGTGACCAATCGGGCGCCGATCCATTTGACAGATGCATGTGTGTGTTAGCGTGACTTGAAGAGGTGTTACTGTTTACACGTGTGCACGCAGGCACACAAAGATGCAAATATCCCCTCTAGCCTTAACAGACTGTTGGGGCAAGGTCCATTAGCAAGCACTTATGAAGGCCAACACGGCACATGGGAAAGGTAGTGTGGTCAGCACCATGCCCAGCTGCCTTCGCCTCCCCATTGGTGACATTGTCATACTGCACTAGGTATTCATTAAGGCTGAGTCGACCTAGAGGAGGCCAGGGATTTTTGTCACTGATGCATAGCAGACTAGGTTAAAAAAAGAACGGTAATTTCAACATTCCGCATTTTTCCTAACTGTCACTGAGTGGCCAATGTTTTCCTCCTCACAAATAAACCTTGACTTAAAGCTTTTGTGACTGCAGGAATTCATATTATTTCGGTAAAGTCACGAAAATAGAAAAAAGAATTACAATAAAATAAGAAAATTTTAATTAGGTGAATAAAAAATAATACAAATATCACGACGTTTCGATCGCAACACAAGCAATCGTCATCAGGAGAAAAAAAGGAGAAAGCTGCTGAGGCAGGCTGTTTTAAAGGTTTGAAATGGGTGTAGCTCAAGGGTCATAAACGAAGTGGGCGGGGCTAGTGATGTTAAAGTGAGAGATGAGCCTGTCAATGTAAGATCGCAGAGCTACCCCCACGACGGGGGCGCGGAGGCTGCCACTGCACCGTGAGAGATGAGCCTGTCAATGTAAGGTCGCAGAGCCGCCGCCACACCGAGGACACGAGCGACGGCGGCTGTGCCAGTGCGAGACATCCAACCTGTCAATTTAAAATCAGAGAGTCGAAAATAACCGCCAACATCGGAAGGTAGGATGGAAACATCACAGCCAGTTATGACTTAAACTGGTTAACAACGTCTTTCTAATGATTGCTCAGTTTGTACCCATCTTCTCGGTTGAAATTGTCTTTGTCTATATATCTGGATGGCTTCATGAACGAATCTTTGTTGATAGCTAGTGGGTTTGCAGAGTACCTTCGTCTTGGAGAAATCAATTTCGTGTGAGCCCACCGCATAAAAAAATGTGATTATTTTTTCTATTTACGTGACTTTACCGAAAGACCCAAGGAATACATTGAACCTGTTGTTAAATTACTTTACCGAAAGACCCAAAGAATACATTAAACCTGTTGTTAAATGACCCTGTATTTTAACACACATGCTTACACGCATGCAACAACAACTGCTGCTATTTGCTTCTTTCAGGGGGTGAACAATGAAGCAAATAAAAATCAAAACAAAAACAACGGTCATAATAGGGTTTTCCCCTTTTTTCTGGCAACAAAACAGGTGTAAAATCGGTGTTATATTACAAATAAAAAACTGCACAAACGTAATATTAAATAAAATACATTTTGTTTGGCTCAATTTACTTTAAGAAATAACAGTAAAATGATTGAAACATCAATTGGTGTCACTATTACGTGAATAATAATTTGGCACATCTGGTATTCGCACCATTGTTATTGAGAAAGGGGATCACGGAGGAAGGCACTGCTGCGTTTCTCAGACACAGCCTGCAGTGGTTTCACAGTAGGAGTGGTGGTGCAACTGCTGTGTCTAATCCCAATTGAGTGAGCGTTGTGTATGCAAACAGACAACGGTATACACGTGAAATACATCGACTGCAAGTGAAGTGCGGCACGCATGTGTATGTGTGTGCACAGACGCGCGTGTACCAGGCGATCCAGCGCGTGGACGATATCCTGGACCTGGCACTGTGCACCGACGGGGTGCAGGCCGCTCTCAACAGCGAGGACTACGAGACGGCCGCGGGCCACGTTCACCGCTTCCTCTCGCTGGACAAGTCCGTGCTAGAAATGAGTCGCGACGGCAGGGACGGTGAGAGGCCTCTCCCACGTTGGTTTCTCATCTCGACACCACTCATGTGTCTTCAGCGTGCAGAACGGTGCACAACATAGCGTGGGGGCATTGCGATGGGGTATGTGCAGTTATTACGCTATTGCTCATTTCATAAAGATCAGAATCAGAATATTTATACTGGAGGAATCCAATGAGCTGTTAAGCTCTTTATCACAGATGTCCAGTAAGGTATGAGGCGCTGCACTGATCTGTAGGTTGTAGTTATACAGACCTTTACACCTGACACCCTCGCTTGCTGACCTGCTTTTGTTTCCTGTATTAGACACCAATTCGTGTTTTGGATGCCGTAACAAATGGAACTAATGTGACTATCGAGTAATTTTTGCCTTTCTATTTTTTCATGGGTGGCAGGGTGACGCAGTGATAGTACTTGTGCCTCAGGGCTAGAAGGTCCTGAGTTCAATTCCCAGCTCGGGCGCCTTTCTGTGTGGAGTTTGTATGTCCTCCCCCTGTTCTGCATGGTTTTCCTTCAAGTTATTCGGTTTCCTCCCATAGCTAAAAAAACATTGTAATGCTGAAAAATTTCACAGAGCAACATTGTCCCCTCCTGTGAAGGCTTCGCAAAACCTTCCTAAAATAACTTTCCTGGGTAAGCAAGCGTAGAAACAAATATTAATGATGAAAGTATAACAAGTGATTCGGTAATAATGCTCACTCTGAACACGGCGCCATGTGCCATCGTTTTTAAACCAGGTGGGATGGCGGACACGAACCTCGGCCTGCTGCAAGACGCCGAGAAGAAACTGAAGGCCATCGTGGTGGTGCGGTTTGACGCGGCCATAAAGGAGGGAAACCTTCCGCAAGTGGAGCGCTTCTTCAAGATCTTCCCCCTGCTGGGCCTTCACGACGAAGGCCTCAGCAAGTTTGCGCAGTACCTCTGTGCCCAGGTGCGCCACTGCCACCCGGCTGAGATGCCAACTTCTCCTGAAGCCTGTCAATGCTGCGGGGATGGACGTTGTTACTTTTGCATGAGCTATGTGACATGGCCCATCGTTAACGCGTTCGCCTGTTGATGCGAGGGTCGCAGTTGATGTTCAAGATGCAGTGATGTCTGTCAAAAGAACACACCTTCGTGTGTGTCGGTGTTATGGCTCAAACTTCTCAAATTACACAAATTTCTTGCAAACCACATGATTGGGAGGCACAACAATCATCACCCCCAACTCTGACAACTTAGCAAGACCCTGAAAAAGAGTTGGGACTCGGGCTGTCGTGGGTAAGCAAGTATAATAATTATAAAGGTGCAATTGGCAGCGATGTATGTATGTTGAACTTCATTCTCACCATACGTAGCCAACCGTGCTCATTGATGGGCATGCTGTTTGTCCAGATACATAACATGGGCCCTAAACTAAATAGGCAGAGGGCCATGCCGTCAGTGCCACCGATTAGATATCCATCTTATTGGCACTTCAAACACATCCCAATGCTTATCAGTGTGAGTTTGTGCATGCGAATGGTGTGATTAGCCACTGACACACACCTGGGGCTGTGACAAGCTCTTCCCACGTGAGACCAATGGTCCTGGCCCTTGCCGTGTGGCTGTGCAGGTCGCCATCAAGGCGGAGGAGAACCTGCAGCTCGCCATGACCACGGATGTGGGCGATAAGCGAGCTGGCGTCATTTTTGCAGACACCCTCACCCTGCTCTTTGAAGGTGCGAGGGAGTGAGGGGGGGGCCTTCATACATCGGGTGATGCCAATGATGCCAGGATAGAGATGTTTGATAATATAGGAAGATTGTTTGTCTTTATCAAGTTCATTAACACACTTGGCTTCGTTATTTTTCTCGTATTTCTGCCTTTTCCAAAATTGCTGGATAGTTTTGCTTTTATACATATGAAATGACATGATGACACCTGCTGGCTGGGAAAGGGAAGCACGGGTATGGGCACCGCTAAAGACAACATCCAATCTGGAAGGGAGAGGTATCTGGGGCAAAGGTAATAGGCGGGGTTGGCCGAGATGCTCCGGGAACCTGCTCGAAGGTTCCACGAGAGGGCGTGGCCGGAGGTGGAGCCTAGCCGCGCCTGGGGAGATACAGTATAAGCGGGGACAGATCAGGGCTCGGGGTTGGTGTGTGGATTCTTGGGTCCGGACTGCGTTGCTCTCTCCGTCGTCCGGCCACGTGGAAGATCCCCTGCGGGCTTCCATCGCCATCCTCGTCACGCCACCAGCCAGCGGCGTAGCCGAGTGATCGGCCGTGTGTGTAGCCAGTAGAGACGTAAATATCTCAGTGTGTACTCAGAGTGAGAAGGATCAGGTTGGCCCGTGTTGTGCCCGTGTCAGAATAAAGAAGAAGTACCCTCTACACGACGTGTCGCGGAATCGCTCATTACATTGGAGTCAGAAGTGGTTAAAAAAATATATTAAACAGAAGAACTTGTGTTAAACAGCGAAGATTTCAGTATGTTCAAACATCAGAAGAAACGGAACCCACCTGTGGCGTCTTCCGACGATGAAAATGCGACCCAAGACCTCCTGCCGACCCCGGGAACCGTGGTCCCGGTTATTGAAACCACGGTGGGGGAGTTGGCGGTCGATCCAGACGCAGCATCTCCGCACCAGCAGCCCGAAAACGGCTGGAAGAAGGTGCCGGAGCAGCTGGACTTGTTGCGGGTGGTGGTCGTACAGCTGGCGTTGCTCGTCACGGAGACTGCGGTGGTGGGGCGCTCAGCGCTACACATAGACCGAGCAGGCACCTTTTCTTGCCTAGATGGCCAGCAGGTCTCTCTGAGCGAGGCCGTCCAGGCGAGAGGGGAGGGCAGGGGTTTGGGCCTCCCAGCCTCTTATTAGTGCACGAGATTTGAGTTAAATGGTTCAGTAACATGCCACTGTGGTGCAAAACTGAAATCAATAAAGTTTCAGGGTTAAGATGTTCCAGAATATTTCAAGAATGTAGCAAAGTCACACACCTAAAAGTTGTACCATTTAACTTCAAATTTTGTGGGCGGTGATTATGTTGCTTGTGGCCTGTGATCCAGCACTTGTGGAGGCAGCAAGAGTTGGTGGATCACACAAATGTTGTGAAGCTCCCTACCCGTGGGGCTCGAGGTGCTATACCCTGGCTTGACAGGAGAAGGCTTTACAGCAACTTGATTAATCGCCATCTTATGGGGATGGAGTATTGTCAGCCTCACATTCGTGGATTTTCTCCGGGAGCTCCAGTTTCCTCCCACACGTATAAATACTCATTACTTGGCTGAAAACATCTTCATATATAGAGGATTGCAGAGCTTGGGCATTTATTGGCACAGGCTCACTGCCTGGCTGCCTTCCTGCTTGTCTGTGATTCCTCACGCCTCTGAGTCAGCTTCAAGAGCAAGCGAAAACTGTGTTACAAGTCTTAATTAATATCATTGCTTACACCTATCTATCTCGGGTTGGGTGCCAACCCTCTGTAAGGCGTGGCCGGATAAAGGCACAGGTCTACACGTGTAGCCTAATAACGTGAACGTTTCGTTGGCTGCAGGAATCGCTCGCATAGTGGAAACGCACCAGCCCATCGTGGAGACGTTCTACGGGCCCGGCCGCCTGTTTGTCCTGCTCAAGCACCTGCAGGGGGAGTGTGACCGGCAGGTGCAGCGCGTCGTCGACAGATTCACGGAGCATCGTCACTACGAGCAGAAGGTGGGTCGTCAACTACAGCCCCATCTGGACGAGGATTGCTGCTCATCGCTTTGAACAGCCCTCTCCCTCTCTCATTCAAAGTCGGTGATTTCATGCTCAAATGAGCATTGGTGCAGTACTCAGCTGCTCTATACTGCCCTGAGCCAGTGGCGAAAAATGTATATTCCTACTTCTGGGAAAAGTAACCGTAGGACAAATGCCGTTGACTTCCCCACAAAGTGGTAAGCATTGTATCAACCCCAGAGGGATGATGGGCTGAGTCAACCTCCAAACAGGATTTTAACTCGCATCCTTTCGATTGTGGGCCACTCGCTTGACTACTGAGCCACCTGTCCAGAGTCCTCAATTACTTACTCTGAAAACCTAAAACGCAATGTTTGATTCCTGGACTGACTGAGAATCCCACTAATCCGTGGTTCCTGTCAACTCCCCTTCCATGAGAGAGAAGGGTGCTCTTTGCGTCTCACTGAGACCAACTATGTCGCAATTTAACAATATCCCAGATTATTTCTCTTGATCTCTCCAGTTAAACAGAGTTTGATTGTCCAGATAGATTCCACGTGTTGTATGTAGTATGGTCAAATCGAACAGGTCCCTTGTTCTTACCCAGTGATTCCATTTTTTTCCTAATCACGGATCAGATACATAAATGCTGAAAAAGTACGCAAAGGAGCACGGAGAAACGCACACTTGTATGTATGTTGAACTTCTTTCGCACCATACGTAGCCAACCGTGCTAATCGGAGGTGCGGGGGAAGGACAAAAAACTAAACACAAAAAGCAGTTTTAAAGAAATAACTTTTCAATTTAGATGAATTAATCGTGCATAGCTACAGCTGCTTCCGAATATCGGAAGGAAGAGCGTTCCAGACGGCCACAGGAGCGTATCTGAACGCGCACGATGTGGTGGCCGTCTTTGTTCGAATCACACTGAGAGACAGAACGAGAAGCATACAGTGAGGGAAAAAAGTATTTGATCCCCTGCTGATTTTGTACGTTTGTCCACTGACAAATAAATTATCAGTCTATAATTTTAATGGTAGGTTTATTTGAACAGTGAGAGACAGAATAACAACAACAAAATCCATAAAAACGCATGTCAAAATTTTATAAATTGATTTGCATTTTAATGAGGGAAATAAGTATTTGACCCCTCTGCAAAACATGACTTAGTACTTGGTGGCAAAACCCTTGTTGGCAATCACAGAGGTCAGACATTTCTTGAAGTTGGCCACCAGGTTTGCACACATCTCAGGAGGGATTTTGTCCCACTCCTCTTTGCAGATCTTCTCCAAGTCATTAAGGTTTCGATGCTGATGTTTGGCAACTCGAACCTTCAGCTCCCTCCACAGATTTTCTATGGGATTAAGGTCTGGAGACTGGCTAGGCCACTCCAGGACCTTAATGTGCTTCTTCTTGAGCCACTCCTTTGTTGCCTTGGCCGTGTGTTTTGGGTCATTGTCATGCTGGAATACCCATCCACGACCCATTTTCAATGCCCTGGCTGAGGGAAGGAGGTTCTCACCCAAGATTTGACGGTACATGGCCCCGTCCATCGTCCCTTTGTTGCGGTGAAGTTGTTCTGTCCCCTTAGCAGAAAAACACCCCCAAAGCATAATGTTTCCACCTCCATGTTTGACAGTGGGGATGGTGTTCTTGGGGTCATAGGCAGCATTCCTCCTCCTCCAAACACGGCGAGTTGAGTTGATGCCAAAGAGCTCCATTTTGGTCTCATCTGACCACAACACTTTCACCCAGTTGTCCTCTGAATCATTCAGATGTTCATTGGCAAACTTCAGACGGGCATGTATATGTGCTTTCTTGAGCAGGGGGACCTTGCCGGCACTGCAGGATTTCAGTCCTTCACGGCGTAGTGTGTTACCAACTGTTTTCTTGGTGACTATGGTCCCAGCTGCCTTGAGATCATTGACAAGATCATCCCGTGTAGTTCTGGGCTGATTTCTTACCGTTCTCATGATCATTGCAACTCCACGAGGTGAGATCTTGCATGGAGCCCCAGGCCGAGGGAGATTGACAGTTTTTTGTGTTTCTTCCATTTGCGAATAGTCACACCAACTGTTGTCACCTTCTCATCAAGCTGCTTGGCGATGGTTTTGTAGCCCATTCCAGCCTTGTGCAGGTCTACAATCTTGTCCCTGACATCCTTGGAGAGCTCTTTGGTCTTGGCCATGGTGGAGAGTTTGGAATCTGATTGATTGATTTCTTCTGTGAACAGGTGTCTTTTATACAGGTAACAAGCTGAGATTAGGAGCACTCCCTTTAAGAGTGTGCTCCTAATCTCAGCTTGTTACCTATATAAAAGACACCTGGGAGCCAGAAATCTTTCTGATTGAGAGGGGGTCAAATACTTATTTCCCTCATTAAAATGCTAATCAATTTATAACATTTTTGACATGCGTTTTTCTGGATTTTTGTTGTTGTTATTCTGTTTCTCACTGTTCAAATAAACCTACCATTACAATTATAGACTGATCATTTCTTTGTCAGTGGGCAAATGTACAAAATCAGCAGGGGATCAAATACTTTTTTCCCTCACTGTATGTCCCCGGGAACAAACTCAAATTGCAGACGTCACATGCGCTGCTACGAAACGCAAGTGGGCTTGGGCAGAACGCATCGCTGGAAGGGACGATGGCTGATGGACAAAACTAACAACGGCATGGTAGCAATGGGCGAGAACACGCACGAGCGAACATCCTCCGTGGAGAAGGAGCAATGAAATTGGCTCGTGTGCAGGTGCCAGGTGGATTGTTGCATCGTGAGAGGTGTTAAAGACTGGGGGAGACCTTCACTCAGCAGTGGATAGATCGTGGCTCATGATGCGATTGTCCGCTTGTATTCATTCTCTGCACAGATAAAGTGTTAAGATGTTTTCATGAATCCCAAGACGTGATGTGGAAAACCATGGCAGATCCTCACTGGAGCGGTGTGCCTGTGCATGCTCCATGTGGAGTGTACATGCTGCATGCGTTTGTGCGCGACTGCATGGAAACTTTGCGCTTGAGTTGAGATTTTATTTTCAAACACCATTGGAAGTATGCTCCCCGATGACCGATGGTAGAGTGAAGCTATTGTTCAGAAATATCGCACATAAGTGGGTGAGCCTTTAGTTATCATTCCAAGTGGCGTTTTCTGATTACTTGTTTGGATGTCAAGCATGGTGCGCGTGCCTCCTGTGTGCACAGTTGAAGCGCGTGGAGGGCAGCTTGCTGAGAGGCTCCCAGCTGGAGAGGATCGCGCCGAGGTATGGCCACGCTGCACAGACATCAACGTCATGCAAGTGTCTGTGTGTGCGTCTCTATGAGTTTGTTTCATAGGCGTTCGCTAACAGCGCTTGCTCCAACAGTCTGTTAAAGCTATACGGTGATCTTTGTAGTTGTTTGTGTGTGAAAGTGGGGAGCGGTAGTGTAGCGGTTAACGTGCTGCACTATGAATCCACCGACCTGAGTTCGATTCCTGCTCACGGCCAACATTGGAGACGAATATCTGAACCAGTCCTGGGTCTCCCCTAGGTCGATTCAGCCTCACTTGAGTACCTGGTGCCGGGTGTAAACATTGTCACTAGGGGACAAAGACGGCCCGAGCATGGTCCTGGCCACCTACCCCCACATGTACCGTGCCGGCCTCCATAGGTGCTTGCTAACAGCAATTGCCCCAAATGTCTATTAAGGCTATACTGGGGATATTTGTCTCTCTGATCAAGTAACGGAGAGTGTGTCATACGTGAGAGTGTCTCTGTGTGTGTGAGAGCAGGGTAACACGTGAGAGGCTGTGTGTATGTGTTGCGCAGGGAGCTGGACACGATCCTGGGAGAGATGAGCGTGATGAACGCTCGCGCCGAGCTCTACCTGCGTTTCGTGCGGCGCCGCGTGCTCGCCGACCTGGAGGTGTGCGACGCCGACGCCAGCGAGGAAATGCGCAACGGTGAGTGCAGAGCACGGTGCAGTTCACACGAACGGTGGGCACAGAACACGGCGCGGTTGTCACTGTCATGTTTCCTCTCAGCCTTTCATTGAAAGCATCTATGCACAATAGCATGGACACTGGTCATACAATTCTTGATGATGGTGATAGTCCCAGTAGTCCTAAGTATAAATCAAATCGGCACAAACAAACCCGAGGTCGGTTTCGACATTCAGTGTCTCTTCGCCAGAGTGTGGCTGACGGGGTGTGCAACAACAAGACTTGTACTTTACTCATACAGAGGGGCAGATCTGTGAAGGAGGCGTACTGTCTGCTTAATTGTTTTTCTTGATGTAGAGGTGATACGCGCTGGGATTAGAGATCGTATGCCAGCGCGTAATGATTGGCTGTGTAGGTGGTGACGTGCGCTGACGGTGGAGGATCAGGGGTCAGCGCGGGGTCGTGGGTTACGGGGTACTGATTGGCTGTGGACCGGTGACGTGCTGAGAGGGAGTGATCGGGTGGCAGCGCGGTGGGATTGGTGGAGGAGTGTTAACACGCGCTGGGGAAACCGGATCGTAGAGAGAGTGCGTCGTGATTGGTTCATTAAGGAGCGATGCTCATGCTGAAGTACGCATCAGCTCCGCCTCTCGTGAGCAGGGGCTATAAAAGGGGATGCACACAGGCGTGAGGGCAGTGTGTAACCAGCGAAGAATGAAGACGGGGATGAAGACCTAGAGCCCTGCGGTACCTAGCCCCGCTGTCCTAAGGGGACCGGGACTCGGTGTAACCCAGAGGCGAGTGTAGTGTGTGTAGCCATAGGTCTACACGAGCCGAATGTATTGTGTGTAGCCAGGGCATAGGGTCTACACGAGTCGAGTGTATTGTGTAGCCAGAGGCATAGGGCTTACACGAGTCGAGTGTAGTGTGTGTAGCCAGAGGCATAGGGGCTACACGAGTCAAGTGTATCGGGTGTAGCCAGAGGCCTAGAGTTTACACGAGATTAGTGGAGTGTGTCGTCGGAAGAAGGAAGACCACACGTTGTATTGTGACACGTAAAGATTTAATAAAAAGTGTGTTACCCGTCAAGAAGTTCCTGCCGTCAATTCCCATACTTCATTAGTATTAATGACAGCTGTTTGGTCCACCGGTCTCCAAGCTCTCAGGGTCGTAAGGTCAGTCGCAGCTCGACTCTGGCTCGGCCTCGCTGTTGAACTCAGGTTTGAGCCACTCGGTGGCTTCCAAAGAAGCAAGTGAGCGGCTCAGCCGTAACACGGCTCATGGGAATCCTGAGCATGTCCAGGACCATGCTCGGAGCTGAGTTAAGAAGATGGTTCTGTGCTGGCTCAATTGAGTCAGAGCCAAGGCTGAGGCGAGTCCTGACGGGTGAAAGTGCATGTGCGATATAGAGCGTGACTCCATAATAAAGATTTTTTTGGGTTAGATCGCATAAACATATGTCCATACTCTTTGGTTCTTTCGGTAAAGTCACATGGTTAGAAATAAAATAAAACAAATCACGACGTTTCGATCGCAACACAAGCGGTCGTCATCAAATCAAGATATAAATATGTCATGAAACCCATCACCACCTGACACAGCCAATTAGTCAGGTTTGTCACATAAACAAAACATGCCAATTAGTTACTGGTTCAGCACAAAGGTGTGTTGGAGAGTAAGCCCACAATATTTACAATTCAAGTATCGTGACGTTTCGCCGGTGATTACAACAACCAGCCTCATCAGGCTATCCCCTGATGAGGCTGGTTGTTGTCACTGTGAGCCTATTGGGTTAATGTAGTCATACGTTACAATGGATTTTTTGTGATGAGAATGTGGTGTTTGTCAGGGCACCTGTCTGCGCTGGAGAAGCTGATAAACAACTGCGTGCTGAGCCGCAGCATGCAGGAGCTCATGTGCTCCTACATCACCATGGAGGAGTACTTCATGCGAGAGACCGTCAATAAGGTACCACCTAGCGCTCCCTCCTGGGGCTCGGCAAGGATGGTGCAGTCGTTCTCCGCAATAGTGACGTTCTTGTTTTGTTGCTGTGCTCACGCAGCACCACGGATCTCCCTCCTAAAATAGACGGGCAACTGGCTAAACGGGACCACCCTTGTGACAAATCAAAATAAACTTAAACTCTTTCCATTGGGCGGCATCGTGTTGAAGTGGTAGCGCCTGTGCCTCACAACAAGAAGGCCCTGGGTTTCATTCCCAAATCATGCACCTCTCTATATGCTGCTTGTCTGTTCTTCCCTAGTTTTGTGTGGGTTTCCTTGGTTTTCTCCAGATTCCTACCATAGCTACCAAAAAGCCATTGAGTGTAACTGGTATTGGTGAAACATCCCAACACTGAAACTTTCCTGCAAATAATTCAATTACACAGCAACATCGCCCCTTTCTGCAACAACTCGGCAGGACCCGCCTTCGCTGGGCAGCGGTGGCTTTGCACGTGGCCTGTAACCCAGCACTGTGGAGGCAATGAGGGTGGGCAGATTGCACAAATGTTGTGTGAACCCCTTTCCCGTGAGCATCAAGAAGGTGCCATACCCTGGCTCGCCAGTAGAGGGCGGTACAGCAAGTTGTAGACTCCACCTGTTCCATCTGTGTTCAGCATATTTGATGAGGCCAGGAAAAATCCGATGAGCTGCTATGAAGCTCTTTTTGCACAGATGTCCAGTCGGGTCTCGCATGCGCTTGTGCCTCCTCACGCCCGAGTCGTTTCCGCTGTCTCTGTGGGAGCAAGCAAACTCTGTGTGGTAGTGGCACGTTACACGTTGATGTCATTATTCTTATTTTAAAAAATGTCCTGAGACTCGTGAGGCATTCTTGGGTAAACAAGTGTCGTAATAATAACAACTCAATAAAGTGGTGCTGCATGCTGGTGGCAGGCTGTGGCGATGGACACGGTGGAGAAAGGGCAGCTCACGTCCAGCGTGGTGGACGACGTGTTCTACATCGTCAAGAAGTGCATTGGACGAGCCATGGCCAGCTCCAACATTGACTGCCTGTGTGCCATGATCAATCACGCGACCACACTGCTCGATGAGGACTTCCGGTGAGCTTGGCTGCTTAGACAGCACCGCAGCACGGGCCCTTGCTTTTTGTGCATGTGTGTGTGGGATTAGTACACCGGGGGTGAGCGGTAGTGTAGCAGTTAGCGCGCTGCGCTACGGCCAACACCAGTCCTGGGTTTCCCCTAGGTCGACTCGGCCTCAAATGAGTATTTGGTGCGGTGTGTAAACATCGCCACTAGGGAGACAAGGCGACAGGGCGTGGTGTTCGTCACCCACCCACTCGTGTGTCGTGCCGGCCTTCATAGGTGCTCGCTAACAGCACTTGCCTCAACAGTCTCCTAAGGATATACGGGGCATCTTTGTGTTTGTTTTGTCTCTGATCATTAGTGAGTAAACGGCACCACAGCATGGGCTGTGTGTGGGATTAGTGAGTATACAGCACCACAGCATGGGCTGTGTGTGTGTGGGCTCTCGTAGACAGAGTAAATGCATTAACGCTTTCTACCTTGGTTGGAAAACGTTCAAACTAAACTATTTTTATTTTACCAGGTAAGGCCCACTGAGCTGTGTAGCTCTTTTTCAGTAGCGACCTGGCCATAAATGAAAGCCCAATGAAGTGGCTTATCATGTGGAACTTTATCGCAGCCAAACATTTTAAACGCATGTTTCTAAATGTGGAGGGAAAAACCAGAGGACCTGGAGTAAAATCCACGCGGCCATAGGGAGAGAAACACGCAAACTCCAAATATAGAGCAGGAGTCATGTTCGGGATGGAACCCATGACCTCTTGTCTACCAGGCGAGATAATTAACATCTGGGTTCCTGTCATACACCTGTGTTAAACTGCTCTATAAATGTAAGCTGTATTGCACGCAGTGCACTTTGTTTTTCTCGAGTGCACCTCGTTGTCGTGTGCCCAGAGCAATGGAGCTGTGCCGGTTTGTCGCGTAGGGAGGTGCTCAACACGAAGCTGCGCGTGGGCTTCCCAGCGACGACGCTGCAGGACATCCAGCGCGGCGTCAGCAGCGCCGTGAGCCTCATGCAGAGCAGCCTGCAGCAGGGCAAGTTCGAGGCGCGCGGCATTGAGAGCACCGAGGAGGCAAAGCAGTCATTCCTGGTGAGCCTGCACTGCCTAGGCCCCCCCCCCCAGCCCCCCCCAGCCCCCCCATCTGTGTGTGTGTGTGTGTATCTGTGTGGGGAGCAATAGTGTAGCGGTTAGCGTGCTGCACTATGAACCTGGCGACCCGGGTTCGATTCCCGCTCACGGCCAACACCAGTGACGGTTATCTGAACCGGTCCCGGGCCTCCCCTAGGTCGACTCAGCCTCAAATGAGTACCTAGTGCGATGTGTAAACATCGTCACTAGGGAGGCAAAGGCGGCCGGGCGTGGTGTTGGCCACCCACCCCCTCGTGTGCCGTGCCGGCCTTCATAGGTGCTCGCTAACAGCACTTGCCCCTACAGTCTGTTAAGGCTAAATGGGGGATCTTTGATCTTTGTATCTGTGTGTGAGGAGCGGTAGTGTAGTAGTTAGCGCGTTGCACTACAAACCCGGCGACACGAGTTCAATTGCTGCTCACGGCCAACACCAGTGATAATTATCTGAACCGGGCCTCCCCTAGGTCTACTCAGCCTCAAATGAGTAACCGGTGCAGTGTGTAAACATCGCCACTAGGGAGACAAAGGCGGCCGAGTGTAACGTTGGCCACCCACCCCCTCGTGAGCTGTACCGGCCTTCATAGGTGCTTGCTAACGGCACTTGCCCCAAAAGTCTGTTTAGGCTATACGGGGAATCTTTGTCTTTTGTGTGTATCTGTGTCTATGACCCACGGGTTTATATGCGATTTTTTCCCAAGTGGATGTAAGCAGTAAAATTGCGGATAACCTTCGGATACAACAATCCACAATATTAGTCCCCTATACTGGTCCCCGATAGAGTTACACATTTCACAGCGTTTTGAAATAAGATCTGCATGTGTGGAGTTATATGTAAATAAACTTCTCTAAAAAAGTTTTTTAAAAACAACGGTTTTATTAACAACTTCGTTTAACTCACGGTCGAGAAGTACATCAATGGCGTCTGAGACACGCGGCGCCGGATTTTTGTGCGAGCCGATTCCACAGTTTAGGGACCGCAGTGTTTTTGACCAATACAAAAATATATAATTAATAAGCCGTCCATACAAAAATTGTAATTGGTTGAAAAGAGGCAATTAATTGATGAATTGATGCCGATACAGGCATGCATTGTCACCGGATCTGAGTACGCGTGCAACATTTGGAATTGATTGGACAACTGGAAGTAGACTAACTTTTGATTACAAGATTTGACCACGACAAACACAAGTGAAATATTTTTGGTTCTTTCGGTAAAGTCACGTAGAAGGGAAATAATAAAATGATAAAAATATAAACCAATACAATTTTCACGACATTTCGACTGCAACACAAGCAATCATCATCAGGTGTGAAATCCACAACAAGAACATTTTAAAAAGTGGCGTTTTTTTCTTAACGTCAGCACCACGGACAGCGATTTGGCAATTGGTCAGATGGACGAGTCCATCTATGTTCGTGTAATGCGAGCGTAAGCGGGGTTCACTGCTCGGCTCTGGGCCAATCATACGGCCCAGGGTATTTGGGGGCGGGGCCCAATATGGGGGCGTATGTGAAGGTACACCGCTCACCTCGGGTCCAATCGGATGCGAGGTGAGCAGGGGCGGAACCTAAAGGCGGAGCCGGCAAGGCGCTATGCGGAGGCCGGATCTGGAAGGTTTGGTGAAGGGCGTGGTGAGAGGGAGGAGACAGGATCACGTGGTGAAGGGGATATAGGTGGGATCCCGGAAGGGCTCCGGGTCAGTTGGTAGAGTCACGAAGCTGGACCACGTTGGGTGGCCGGAGGGGATCTGCACCATCAGCCACGTGGCTGGAGGAGCTTCGAGCACACCGTCGGCCAGCGGCGTGCGGGAGCGGGGGAGCGGAGTGACTGATGGGAGAGCGCGTGCGGGGGACGCGCGCGAGGAGCAGCTGGTCCGCTGTCGGGACCAGTGGAGTGCGAGCGTCAATGGGAATAAAGAGTGACGGAGACCAAGCAGTGTGTCGGCGAAGTCCTTTATTACATTCGGAAAAGAGGAGAGGGGAGAAAAAGAGAATTGAATGCGATCTGAAAGTCACCGAGGAAAAAGAAAAAATGTGAATTGTTATTACTGTATATGATATATATTAGTTCGTCACTTAATTTTATGTATATCAGTTCTGAGGGCACTAAATCTGGTTTATTTAAACTTTTTACAGAGTAAGTAGTGCAATCACCCCTCAGATTGGTAAGTTCTGCAGTATCACCTTCCCAGCGCGATACAAATGAGTGAGTGTGAATGAGTTTTAATGTGATCCCATGCAAAAATACCCCCTCTTGGGGTCATCTCACTGGTCACGTGAATTATACTGCTTTCTGTATTTAACGTGCTCACCTCCGAGTGTCAAACAAGCGCGGAGTGTCACTGCTATACCTCCCAGTGTCAGACAAGCATGGAGTGTCACTCTGCTTTCTCCCCGTGCGCTCAGGTGACACTGAACAACACGGAGGTGTGCAGCGACAACATTCAGACCCTCAAGAAGACGCTGGAGGTAACGTGCTTGGTCACGGTTTTTGAACGTCGGGCAGCCGTCGCCCGTGTTGAGTTTGTGTGCACCACTGCCAACGCAGCTCTGCAGCGCTTACAGCGGTGGCACGGTCTGGCGTGCCCCGCTTGTTGCAGAGGTTCGTGGATTGAATCCAGCAGGCTGCCCTGATTAATACTTCGGGTATATTTATCCATAATGCACGTGCCCTTTGCTTCACAGTGGTTGATAAAAGATCCTGTGACATAATTCGACGAACATTAAGCTCTTGTGTGCCAGCATCACGGTCCACATGAGCCACATTGATCACTACCTACGAATCACTTAATTTGGGAACACATAGCAATCACACATAGCAATCACACGTAGAAATCACCTACTGGAGATCTGTGAAAAAAAGCTTCATAGCTCATCGAATTCCTCCTCCAGTTTAAAAAAATATTCTGATAAAGAAATATTCATAGCATCATCATTGTTGTCACCCCATACTGCAAAAACACAGCAAGACCCTCCTGAAAAAGTGTCTTGTGAGTCACTGAGGCTCCCCTGGGTAAGTGTGTGTGCAATATAATGTTTTATTGTACCATGTCAGTTTAACATGTAGGCTTTCGCGACTATAATCATCCATAATATAGGTTTTTTTGGGTTAGATCACGTAAATATAAATGTGTCGTTAAACCCGCCACCACCCAACACAGCCAATTCGTAAGGTTTGTCACGTAAACAGAACATGGCAATTCGTTACTAGTACAGCACAACTGTGTGTTGAAGAGCAATTCTACAATATTTACAATCTGAGTACGACGTTTCGCCTGTAATTACAACTAGGTGGACAGACAGATTTGTGGTGAAACGTTATTGGATTGTACCTTGTGTTTGCACTTACGTGCTTGTAATGGTGTGCCTCTGTGTGTGTGTTTGTACCCAGGCTGACTGCCAGATGTTGCTTAATCAAGGCACCAAGAGTGAGCAGTCCCGTGCCAAAGTGGACAGCTGTCTCTCAGACCTGGTGTCTGTCTCCAACCATTTCAAGGACCTCTTGCAGGTAAGATCTTACAATATTAATAATCCAGGAGACCGTAAGACTGAGAATATCTTAACTTACACTGTAATGTACAAACCAGCCAGGTGACTCAGCAGTAGAATGAGTGGCTCGCAATCAGAGGTTGCAAGTTCAAGTCCTGGTTAGAGTTGACTCAGCCCAACACCCCCTCGGGATTTAAAAATAAGTCCCACTTTGTGGGGAAGTCAACGGTGGTTTTCCTATAGATAATAATTATATTTATATCGCGCTTTTGACTGCTTGTGTTGCGGTTATTGCAAACATGATGCCTTGTATAAAGGTGTCAGTTTTGTACCAGTTTAAAGGGTAAAAACCTACTACTATAGCCTGCTGTATAATTGGAGTTTGCGTGTCTCTTTCCCCGTGGTTGTGTGGATATTCTACAGGTCCTCCGGTTTTTCTCTCCAAATGTAGAAACATGCGTTTCGAGTATTTTGTTGCTTTATAAATTTTCATGTGATAAGCCACTTTATTGGGCGATCATTTATGGCCACGTCACTTCTGAAAGATACCTATGTAGCTCAGTGGGCCTTGGTAAAAAAAACATTTGTTTATAGTTTTAGTTTATTGTTTTAGTTATTATTTAAGCAGAAAATCACTTTGACTTGGACTGCAATTTCTACAAGTGCCCTGTTATTTGACAGTTCTCCCTATACAGGCAAACCTCGCTTAGCGTGATCCCTTTTAGCTCCGATTTGGGTCATGCTCACTTTTACAGGAACGCATCTTGAGCGTTAAATGAGGTCTGCTTGTGCTTGTAATGGTCGTAAATATTCACCAGCGAAAAGAAGGCGGCTTACGAAGTTCAACCAAAAGTCAGTGCTATGGTATGCATGTTGAACTTCTTTCGCACTGTACATAGCCAACTGTGCGAATTGGAGGTGGAAAAATGCCTCACCGAGTCTCAAGACTCCCTTTCAGGAGGGTCCTGCCAAGTATTTGCTAATCGGAGGTGCGGGGGGAAGGATAACAAACTAAACACAAAAAGCAGTTCCAAAGAAATGAGTTTTCAATCTAGATTATTTAAAAGCGCATAGCCCCACTGTCTTCCTAAAATCGGAAGGAAGAACGTTCCAGACGGCTGCAGAAATGCATCTGAATACGCCGCCCGATGCGTTTTTGTTAGTTGTGCACCACTATCACCACAGTGGCGACGCAGTGTCACCGCAGTAGCGACGCACTGCCACCGTGGCGACGTGCGTCTGTAGAACATGGGCGCTTGTAGGCCCCGTTTGCAGGCCGTGTGGTGCGCACGGTGCCTGTGTACACACCAGCTGTATGTGCACATAGTCTGTCCATGCATGCAGTCCGTCCGTTCACGCTGTCCGCCTCACAGGAGGGTTTGGCAGAGCTGAACAACGCAGCCATCATGCCGCAAGTGAAGCCTTGGATGAACGACTTCCTGCTCGTCTCGCACAACATCGAGGAGGTGCCGCTCCACAGGCCGAGCCACAGCACCTGGCACACTCACGCCAGACGGCCCCCCACCCCCCACCCCTCACCCCTCACCGTGTGTGTGGAGGGAGCTGCGTGCATCGGGTATAGAGCCCCTGTCGGGTCACTTGTCAGAGGCATTTCATTCTGTTCAACCGGGTGAGAAACCCAAGAGACCAACAGCAGTCTCATTCCCAGGAGTGATGTAAATGTGATGTAATCATGAGTAGACGTGTTTACTCATGAAAGCCTCACCGAGTCTTGGCTCTTTTCAGGAGGGTCCTACCAAGTGTTCGGAGTAGAGGGGGGGGGGGGCGATGTTGCTGCTGTGCGTTATCCCAATCGAGTGATTTGCCGGTAATCTTTTAACATTAAGGTGTTTTAACTAATACCAGTAACATTAAATGTTTTATTAGATATGCGAGGAAAACCATGCAGAACATGGGGATAATTCCAACCAAAAGGTGCCCGAGTCAGGTATCCAACCCAGGTCCTTCTTGCCGTGTGGCACAAGTGTTACCACTGTGCAACCCTGCCGCCCAAAGTGACTAGGGTAGTATTTGCAAGAGTTGACTTACAACTTTAGTTTTCGATTTGAAGGGTGTTGCCATGGTGCATTGGTCAGTGCACTGGACTTGCAATCCAGAGGTCACCGGTTTCGATTCAATCTCCCGACACAGGAGTTGAAACAATGGGGCACGTTTCTTAAATCGGTGTATTCATGACTAAAATCCTACTGGAATCCGTTTTCCGGTTCCTGACTGCCTGAACCGGTTACCAATTTTGGAAATGGTGACCGGTTTACCGGTTATCTTTAACACATAGGCTTTCGCGACCAATATTATCCATAATAGATGTTTTTGGGTTAGATCGCATAAATATAAATGTCATTAAACCCGCCACCACCCAACACAGCCAATTAGTCAGGTTTGTTACGTAAATAGAACATGCCAATTTGTTACTAGTACAGCATACCGGTGTGTTGTAGAGTAAATCCACAACATTCTATAATCTAAGTACGATGTTTCGCCAGTAATTACAAATCAGTAATTACTGATGAAGCTAGTTATAATTACTGGTGAAACGTCGCACTCAGATTGTAAATGTTGTGGATTTACTCTACAACACACCGGTGTGCTGTACTAGTAAAAAATTGGCATGTTCTGTTTACGCAACGAACCTTATAAATTGGCTGTGTCGGGTGGTGGCGGGTTTAATGACATTAATATTTACGCGATCTAACCCAAAAAAAACTTGTATGGATTACCGGTTATCGTTGCACAACCCTGACAATGAGTGAATAAACAGCCACAAAGACTTAGCCATGGTGGTGACGCTGCGGTGGCGTGCGTGTGTACGTCGCGTTCCAGGAGGAATTCAATGACTACGAGGCCAACGACCCCTGGGCTCAGAAGTTCATCGTTAATTTCGAGCAGCTGATGGCAGAGTTCAAGGTAAGCGATCGCAGATTGGGCTCCTGCATGTAAAATGCAATTAGCTCGTGCTAAGAAGTCTATAAAAACTTCTTTTTTTTAACCAGGTGAGGCCCACTGAGCTATATAGCTCTTTTTCAGAAGTGACCTGGCCAAAAATGATAGCTCAATGAAGCAGCCTGTCATGTGTAAAATTTATAGCAGCCACATACTCCAAATGCATGTTTCTAAATGTAGAGGGAAAACCCGGAAGACCCGGAGAAAAATCCACGCGGCCATGGGCAGAACATGCAAACTCCAAATATACAGGCGTCAGGGTCGGGATCGAACACAACGATATCCTGCATACCAGGCGAGGTAATTAACATCTCGCCACCCTAACGCCCGGATCTCTGCAGCGAAGCAGAGTTGAGCCTGGATAGTGCTCGTATGGGCGGCCACCGCGAACAGCAGATTGCTTTTGGCTGCAGTGGCGCTACGTGGTGGACAGCAGACAGGCAGCGCAACACATCCATCATTGTACTGTAATTCTCTGCTGCTACTTCTATGCTTTACCAACCCAGACGAACCCAGTGCGGTGAAGTATGGTCAAATAACGGCCACAACCCACCTGGCGTGAGGAGGCCCTCATCCAGCAGTGGATTGAGAAAAGGCTGTAGACACTGGAGCGTGGATTATGATTAACGTACATTTTCTTAAACATGCTTGTACAAAAGAACGTCTCTTATAATACCTGCCGTGTAATGGGGCCTCGCTGGCCTTCGTATTGTGGCAGGCGGCCGTGTCGCCCTCCATATACGACAGCCTCATTGGGCTCGCGACGGGCCTCATCAGCCAGGAGATGGAGCGCTGCGTGCATAAAACCACATTCAGCCGGGTGAGTGCCCCGTGCCCACTGGCTGGAGTGGAGACGGGAACCCACTACCACTGGGACAGCTTTATTATTGTTGTTACGCTTGGTTACCAGAGAAGATTTACTGAGTCTCCAGACTCACAGTCGGGGGCAATGTAGCCATGTGTCATCCCATTTGAGTAATGTGCTTGTAATATTTCGGCATCGGGATGTTTGGCCATTACCGGTTACATTGTTTTCTTTAGCCATGGGAGGAAGCGGGAGAACCCCGAGGAAACCCATGCAGAACGGGGAGAACATACAAACTCCATACAGAAAAGCTGCCTGAGTTCGGAATCGAACCCAGGATCCTTCGTGCTGAGGCACGAGTGTTACCACTCCGCACCTTCGATTAGCATGGTTGGCTGCTACATGCGGTGCGAAAGAAGTTCAACATACATTTAGCCGTATATACCACCATCACCCTGCCACCCTGTACAATAAAACAAGCAGGGCCGACCTTTATTTTGCAGCTGGGAGGACTGCAGTTTGACAAGGAGCTGAGGGCACTGGTGGCCTACCTCACCTCCATCACGACCTGGACCATCCGTGACAAGTTTGCTCGGCTCACACAGATGGCCACCATCCTCAACCTGGAGCGGGTGAGGTTCAGCATGCCGATCAGTAATGAAAGAACATTTTAGGAGTTGCTTCGTACGGAAGGGAATGTCAGTATTCACTCAGGCACAAATTATTCTGCATGTTTATCCTGCAAGGTCTCACTCAGGGGGGACCTGCCAATAGGGGACGGTGTTGTTCTGTATAATCCCAATTGAGTAATTTCTAAGTAATTTTTCATAATTTGGATGTTTGGCCAATTCAAGTTACAATTAATGCATTTTTACGAAGGTGCTAGGTAAGTGGAGTTATAATTCTAGCTTTCGTGACTGCAAGGATTTATATTCTTATGTTTTTTCGGTAAAGTCACGTAGGTGAAAAATTAAAATTAATAAAAGTAAAATAAAAATAAAATAAAAATCACATTTCGGAGGCAACACAAGCTTCCTTCTTCAGGTGGAACCGTCACAGCATGATAGCTGTATCAAGTGAGAGAAATTCCAAGAAAACAGTCCTTGTATATATACTGGTTGAGGGTGGGAGGTGCCAAGGTAGGCCTTGAATATTATTTTTGTGAGGTTCGGTGCGGCTGAAGCACGCTGTTAGGAATGAGCCTTTGTTGTGTAAACTAGGTGCGGATGATGTAAAGGTGCGTGTAAATGGGACTGAGGCTTTTGTAATGTAGAGGTGATGCGGCTGAAATCGCTGCCAGGAAATTAGTCTTTGTTGTGTAGAATGGTTGACTGAGCCTTTGTTATGTAGAGGTGGTGCAGCTGAAATCACTGCCAGGAATGCTCCAAATATGTGTAGTTAAATATTTTTTGCATGGTTAATGACTTTCCAATGATTACTTAGTTTGTACCCATCATCACGGTGGAAATTGTCTGTGTTGTATATTTGGATGGCCTCGTGTACAAACCTTTGATGGTAGCCAGGAGGCTTGCAGAGTACCTTGGTCTCGGAAAAGACAATTTCATGAGAGCCCACAGCGTTGTAGCAATGATTGGCAACGGCGGAAGAATCAGTTTTGCCGTGTTTCAGACCTGATTTGTGCTCGCGGACACGATCAGAGATATGACGTTTCGTTTCTCCAATGTAGCAATCACCACAACTGCAACTCAGTTTGTAGACTCCAGGGTATTGTAAGTCAGGAATGACATCTTTCACAGATGGAATTAGATCACGGATTTTATGTACTGTACTGAATCGGACTAGGATTTTATGTTTGTTTAGAATTTTGGAGATCTTTTTGGTCACGCCTGCTATGTATGGCAACGTGATAGTTTTGATCGGAGTTTCATGTGGCTGTTTCTGTATGGTGGATGGTGCGGTAAGAGTATCCGTTCATCCTGAGGGCCCGATGTGCATGTCTTAATTCACTGGCCAGGTGGTGTTGGTCAGAAATGCCATGAGCTCTGTGGTATAGCGTTTTGATGAGAGAATTCTTTTTAGATGGGTGGTGGTGGGAATCCGGTTTCAAGTAGGAATCTGTGTGGGTGGCTTTTCTGTAGACAGAATGTCCCACTGATCCGTCAGGTCTCCTCTCAAACAGAATATCTAAGAATGGTAGTTTACCATCTTTCTCCACTTCCATGGTGAATCTGATGGATGGGTGTCTGGAATTGATGTGGTCCAAGAAGTGGTTCAATGCTGGGAGGCCATGTGGCCAAATGACGAAAGTGTCATCCACATACCTCTTCCACAGGGAAGGACGCAGGGTGGATGTCTGGATGGCGTCTGATTCAAACTTTTCCATGAACATGTTGGCTATCACTGGTGACAAGGGGGAGCCCATAGGGGTACCCTCATTCTGTTTGTAGAAGGTGCCATTCCAGGTAAAATAAGTGTTGGTGAGGCAATGCCTAACCAGTGCAGGTACATCCGAATTCAATCCATGTTGGACCAAGTCCTCAATTATTGTTAGGGTGTCAGGTACTGGGACTTTGGTAAACAGAGATACTACATCAAAACTGACGAGGATATCATCAGGAGATAGTACCATGTCCTTGACCATAGAGACTAGTTGGGTTGAATTGAGTACTGCCGAAGAGGTCTTGCCTGTGAAGAGAAGCAGAGTATCTGATAGAAACCGGGCCAGTTTGTACGTAGGAGAGTTGATCGTCGACATGATGGGTCGTAGCGGGGTGCCTTCTTTATGGATCTTGGGAAGACCATAGAGTCTGGGAGGTCTTGCCGCTGATGGTTTTAGAGAGGGACGTTTGGTTGGTTCGATTAGGGAAGTCGAACTCGTGATGATTTTGTTCGTTTTTGTCGTTAGGCTGTTAGTAGGATCGTTTTTAATTTTGGAGTAACTCCCATAATTAAGTAGGTCCAGGATTTTGTTGTTGTATGAATTTTTATCCATGATGACCGTGGCATTGCCCTTGTTTGCCAAGAGGATGACTATATCATCTCTCTTTTTTAGGTCCGCGAGTTCAGAGCGTTCGTTTTTGCTGATGTTACTAGTGGGTGTCTTAGCATTCTTAAGAATAGTGGCTATTTCAGCTCTTGCCACATCCGCATGGATGTGTCCTATGCCTCTGAGGGCTACATCAATCTGAGAAATCACATCCTCTACTGGTATATATTTAGGGGTGACAGCGAAATTTAGTCCTCTGTCTAGTACCGTCTTCAGATTGTCAGAAATTGGGATGTTACTCTGATTAATAACGGTCTTGTTGACATCCAGCTTTGTGATGTGTGGCTCTGGTTTCTTCTTAGATAGGAGGTTGAATTTAGAAATCAGGTTAGCTTTGCATTTGGCTGACATTGAGTCAGCAGAAGCAGAAGTCATGTTGTCAACGTGGTTCCAATCGGAAGGGGACATTTTTTGTGTTAACATTAAATGCGTTTGTAAGAGAGTCTTGTCTAAATTATCGAGTTCAGATCGGAGTAACTTTATTCTCTCCGAGATTAGTGATAGGCTAGCTTTAAATAAAATCTGTTTAGAGTTTGGTGACGACACAGCAGCAGATGTGTCAGTTTACTTTTATTAATTTTTATTTTAATTTTTCACCTACGTGACTTTACCGATAAAACCTAAGAATATAAAGTGGAGTTATACTTTGTGTGAAGTACAAAATGGATTTGTAAACTTAAAAGTGAAGTGGATAATGCGGAGAAGTGCTTTTATTGATGTTACAAGTTTTCGCCCCCCTCAGTGGCCAGGTGAAACATGATACACGCTCCACGGGAGATCATTCCCTGGTTTTTCCATCACCTGCGCCGCCCAAAACCGCTTCCCCTGTGGACCGTGTCCAGGTGACGGAAATCCTGGACTACTGGGGTCCCAACTCGGGGCCACTAACGTGGCGGCTCACGCCCGCTGAGGTGCGCCGCGCCCTGTCGCTGCGCGCCGACTTCCGCAGCGAGGACATCAAGCGACTGCGCCTCTGAGCGAGCGGCGGGCCAAGACCTGACGAATGTTACCTCGAGAGCTCGTCACAAGCACACAGAAATAGTGCATCACACACAGCAATAGCACACCACACACACACAGCAATAGCGCATGCACACTCGGTGCACAAAAGCACGCCACATCATGGCAGTCCACAGGGCATTGGTCACCTAGTGCGGTGCACAATAGCACCCCGACATGTTGCATTACGTGACACTACACAACCACAGAATTTCAGCTCTGAAGTTCTATATTTCTTTTGTTATTATATTTGTTTACCCAGGAAAGCCTCACTGAGTCTCAAGACTCTTATTCTGCCGGGTCCTACAAATTTTTTTGTTGCATTAGGGGGTGATGATTGCTATGTATATTCCAAACAAGTAATTTGCGGCTCTTTTTTTCCGAATTTGTAACATTTCGACCAAGCCGCCAACACACGATGGCCCACTTGTTTCAAATGATGTCAGGGGATCTTAAATGTCCACTGTGAAGGGGACAAGGCGCATATTTATTGGTGAAAATTCACTTAATGCATAAAAATGCATTCATCCAACATGATGTGCACTACATAAAAATTTTGTTGCAGTCGCAGAGAAAAGTTGTGGCAACAGCTTTTCACTCACAATGCAATTACCCTACTGCACGAATCGAGATCCGTCCGCAAGGGGGGAGAAATTGTCCTCGGGTTATTTTATAACTCTGCCCATGGTCTTTGTAATCTCAGTAAAGTTCAAATCAGTGTTTGTCGCTTTCAAAGAAGATAACCAAATCCTCAAATGCATTCAACGTTGAAGAAATTATCGTGTACTGTGTTTTCGTTAGCACAGTGTAACAAGATTTCATGCTTTGGTTTATGCCATTTGGGGAAAGGGTTGACAGAAATTTCGCAACAACATCCATTCATATAAGATTTTTTTTTGCACAGGTCCAGATGATTAACTGTAATTTTCTTAGTCCCGTACAAAGTAATATTGTTTCATCTTCTTGGTTCTTTCGGTAAAGTCATGTAGAATGGAAATAATAAAATAAAAAAATTCTTATTTTATTTTTATTATTTTATTATTTCCATTCTACGTGACTTTACCGAAAGAACCAAGAAGATGAATCCCTGCATTCACGAAAGCTTTAAGTCGAAATTTAATATTGTGTTTTTTTACAGGTCAGGTGTAGCAAATTAGGTTAAGCAGAAGTCAGGATTCTCGAGTTCCAGAGGTGGGAGGGTGATCTGGAGAGAGTGGGGGTGACTGGCGTTCAAAAGAGGTGGATGTGAGGAAGAGGAGAAATCGAAGAGGTATAGAGGATGAGTGGAGTTAGGGTGGGGCATACGTGTGTACAAGAGGGTGAGAGAGCGGGGAGAGCGTGAGAGCAGAGTGGCGCGAGGGCGAAGAGGAGGCAGAGATCACAACAGGAGTTCGACACGGACGGGTTGCAGAGTTGGTGACGCGGCGGTTGAGGAAACACGTGCTGTACAAACTCTGCACTCGGGGCTGAAAAAAAAGGTGTAACGAACCTCGCAGTGATGGGAAGCGTGCATTTAGTTCTTTATTTGTTCCTCCGATTGTACATACGTGAGTGTGTACATAAATTCCTGAATAAAGGTGACGGCTGACAAAGAGTTTTACATTGCATCGATTGCAGAGGACTGAATGAGTGAAGTTCACGAACAGTAACCATGGCACTCGCGATAGAGATAACTGACCGCCAGTTAGCGAGTGAACCGGTGAGTGTTGGATCATGAGTCAACCTGACCGCTGCTTTACTCTTCCATCAGGTGCAGTGAAGTTTAGACTCTTGGGTACCTCATCCCAGAATGACAGTTTCCAACTTTTGCCTGTGCTGTGTCGTAATAATGTTGAGAGCTGCAGAGGCTTTAATATAGAAAAAGAAAACCAAGCTTCTTTGATGCGTCCTTAGGCAGATGAGTAATATAACCAATCCATGACAGGTTCATGACGTGCCATACAGCAGACACGAGAGAAGGTGAAGGCCGGCTAACCTTTATAGAGCAATCAGGTGGCAGGCATTACAATACGGGATAATCATCAATGTAAGCGCATGTATCTGCTATATCACTGATATATCTGTGGTGTAGCTATATCACTGTGATATATCTGTGATGTAATAGTACTGTCAGACGAACACAATTGGGTTAAGCGAGGAGGATGTGGAACTGAGTGGACTTGCCGATGACCGGTACCAGTAGTGTCCAGGTCGGCCTCTGTGGAGGACGCTGCTGCTGTTGCGCAGATGGAGGCAGTCGCCCTCCATCAACAACGTCGGGCAGCGGAGCGACGCTCAGAACAACGAGCGGGGCGCTGGGTGGATAAAACGCCAAAAGTTGGCACAGGTGGTGCATCTGCCAGTCATCTCAGTCAGCCAACCCATGGCACATGTACCGTGATCTCCTGCCAGTGGGCCTTCGACACTTCACGTGCCCTCAAAGTGCACGTAGCCTGGTACAATCGCCGTGGCCCCTTGGTGGCCACGTGATCGTTATTTTCCGGGCGACCACTCCGCCACGTGGAGCGCGCGGCGACCGCGTGACCGCGCCGCCAGGCAATGGCGGCTCGCGCGTGCCCACGGCGACCGCGTGACCGCGCCAGCCAATGGCGGCTCGCGCGTGCCCACGGCGACCGCGTGACCGCGCCAGCCAATGGCGGCTCGCGCGTGCCCACGGCGACCGCGTGACCGCGCCAGCCAATGGCGGCTCGCGCGTGCCCACGGCGACCGCGTGACCGCGCCAGCCAATGGCGGCTCTCGGAGGCGGTGTCACGGCGACTCCGTTGCGGCCTCGCGAGGGGAGACGCGGCCCGCCTCGCGGGTAACAGAGAGGGAGACGCGGGGACTGAGAGGGAGACGCGGCCCGCTTCGTGGGGACTGAGGGAGACGCGGGGAGACTTGGGGAGGGCGAGGCGCTGAGACTTGCAGGGAGTTGGGCCCCCGGCCATGTCGGCGGTGCCGCTGAGCGCCGCTCCTCCTCCTGCTCCCCCCCCGCGGCCACGCTGCAAGAAGCGGCCCGGGAGCGGCGCGGCCTTCGCGGTCGCGGCAGCGGCGACAGCAACGAAACCCAACATCAAGAAACGCGCGGTGAGGGTCGGGTGAGGGGTGAGGGGCGGGTGAGGGGTGAGGGTCGGGTGAGGGGTGAGGGGCGGGTGAGGGGCGGGTGAGGGGTGAGGGTCGGGTGAGGGGTGAGGGGCGGGTGAGGGGCGGGTGAGGGGTGAGGGGCGGGTGAGGGGTGAGGGGCGGGTGAGGGGTGAGGGGCGGGTCAGGGGTGAGGGGCGGGTGAGGGGTGAGGGGCGGGTGAGGGGTGAGGGGCGGGTGAGGGGCGGGTGAGGGGTGAGGGGCGGGTGAGGGTGAGGGGCGGGTGAGGGGTGAGGGGCGGGTCAGGGGTGAGGGGCGGGTGAGGGGTGAGGGGCGGGTGAGGGGTGAGGGGCGGGTGAGAGGTGAGGGGTGAGGGGCGGGTGAGAGGTGAGGGGCGGGTGAGGGGTGAGGGGAAAGTGGGGAGAGTGAGTGATGGGTGAGGAGTGAGTGAGGAGCGGGTGAGGGTTGAGGAGCGAATGAACGGTGAGTGAGGGGTGAGGAAGAATTAAGGAGTGAGTGGTGAGGAGCGAGTGAGGGGATTAGGAGCGAGTGAGGAGCGAGTGCGAGGTGATAGCGAGTGCGGGGATGGGAGCGAGGACACGTGGCATTGCATCTGTATTCACCCAGGGAAGTGCAGTGCAGAGGGCATACCTGTAACAAGCACGACAGTGGTGCGTGATGCTTCTGTGCATGGCTGGTGCTCTGTGTGATGATGCAGCTGCAGCAGCCGGGAGTCTCAACTTGCGAGGGGGAGGTGACGACGGCGACAACGACGGCGACGACGGTGGAGGAGAAGGAGGCGGTGCCGGTGCTCGTGTCGGCAGAGCCGGCCGTGAGCAAGGCCCTTCCCTTCAAGAACCCCAGCTTCACCGTGGGTGGCTATGAGTCAGACCCGGCTCCTGCTCCTGTCGGACGGAGCGTTGGGCAGTAAAGAAGTTGTGTGTGGGGGGGGGCGGCACCGTGACCAGCAGTCTGCGGCTGCCATGGACTTGAGTGGCATCAAAGGGACCACCACTACTGGTGGTGCTGGGCCCAGCTCCCGCCTACCGCCAGCCCTGTCCCTAACGCGTCTCAAGACATCTCGCACCTCCTGCTGGTCTGAGGCGTCATGGTGGCGAGATCTTAACTACCTCGCCTGGTGTACAGGAGTTCGTGGATTCAATTTCGACCCTGATACCTGCTGCTGTATATTTGGAGTTTGCACGTCTCTCTCCCCATGGTCCCGTGGATTTTTCTCCGGGTCCTCCGGTTTTCCCCTCCACATTTGGAATCAACATCATGCGTCTAGAGTCTTTGGCTACTGTGAATTTCCACGTGATAAGCTACTTTGTTAAGCTATTTTTTGTGGCCAGGTCACTTCTGAAAAAGAGCTATATAGATCACTGGGCCTTACCTGGTAAAATAAAATTGTTTAGTTTAGGCATCAGCATTTGCCTGTTCGTGTTGAAATGACGCTTATCGCCAAACTAAGTGGTTAATTTTGTAACCTCTGACTTGCAGGAAGGGGGGCAGTGGTTAACGCACTGGGCTTGTAAACCCTGTAACCCGAGTTTGATATATGACCATGGCTAACATCAGTGGCAAGTGATATATCAATCGGTCCTGGTCCTCCACTTACTGAGTGGTGAGGTATGGCCATGATCGGCACGGCTTAAAGAGTCCTTCATCCAGCAGTGGATACGTATTTGTCGATGTACACCCTGAACAGCTGTGCAAACAAAGTGTACATCTCAAAGGCTTTCCCATGTGAAATATTTAAAACAAATTATTGATAACATTCACAAAGGGGTTGTACATTATTATTGATATCTTGGCATTAGGCCTCAGAAAGTAAAAATTTTTAAAGTCTAAATATAGGTGGCAATTAAAATTATTCCGTAAATAGTTTGTAATCTGAGGTGGAACCTGTAACCCTACGATGCGCCCCACCCTTGTGATCGACTTAAACACCTTGATTTGTCAAGGTGAGGGTCGTGCCAGTGGAATCCCCTTCGTGTATTATCCCACACGAGGCACATGTGAGAAATAGACAACAGTCCTTCCCACATCTGCCTCTCCACATACAAAATAAGTTTATTTACACATCCCACCAGCCACGTGCCCTTCTGGGAGTAGCATCGGTTTATTACCAGCATACTGAACCGGTGTCGCAATTCAGTGTCTCATCAGTGGCATGTGTGTGTGTCCTGTAGCACTCAGGTCTGGGTGGCGTGGGAGTTCGCAAGTCGCGCGTGTGGAAGAACCTGAAGCAGATCATCGCAGCCGAGCGCAGCATGAACTGGAGCCCTGATGATGCCACATGTGCGTACGGCGTGACTCGTCACGGAGCGGACTGGTGACAAAGTTACATCAAGGATTTGTGGGGAGAGACGGTGAAATTGAGTGAATACTGGCGTGTGCTAAAATAAATGAGTAGACAAAACGCCTCCCCATATTTGCCACTCTTCATAAAACTTAAAAGTATTCCATCAGCCGCACAGCCCTCTGGGGGTGCTTAATTTTAGAAGCATCTTCTTGGTTCTTTCGGTAAAGTCACGTAGAAGGAAAATAATAAAATAATAAAAATAAAACATAATAAAATTATTCTCACGACGCTTCGGCCACAACGCAAGCAGCCGTCTTCAGGTGGAGAACAGGTCTGTCGAGAAGACAGTCTGAATGGCACGCCCCAGGCTTGGAGTGACTATTTATGCTGGGATGGAGGGGTGAAGAGCGTCTTGACAAAATAATTTGCATATCAAGAGGAATTTCGCATATTTATGGAAAATGCAGATATGCGATTAGTACTACTTGTGAAATGCGTAGGAGGATTGGCGAGGGGTTTAAAGTCATTATGCCCATGCATTATGCAGGATTAGCAGTATCAAAGGGAGGGAGTAAGGTTAGAATTAATAAAGGGAAGGAATGTTAATAATATGGCGCCGCAGAAACTAATATGCTTATAGACTTTACATTGTAATATTACACTGTATTATTCTACCCACCCAACTGTATACCACACTGCTATATATTCACTATACAATTACGATACTATATATTACCTTAAACATTGTATTAAACATTACACTTTAATACTATTTATTATTATACAATATGCTATACACTATACCATTGACCGTCGCGTGAAAGGTACTAAGAGGAAGCAACGAAATATGTCAATGGGAGAGTGGTGGTAGGAAGCTTGCTGCGGAGCAAAGAATCCATTCCCTGCGGAGTGCATATCAAAGAGGAATTTAGCATATTTATGGGAAATGCAGATATGCGATTAGTACTACTTGTGAAATGCGTAGGAGGTTTGGCGAGGAGTTTAAAGTCATTATGCCCATATTCTTAGGTTTTTTCGGTAAAGTCACGTAGGTAAAAAACATTAAAAAGTAAAATAAAATAAAAATCACGACGTTTCGGAGGCAACACAAGCTTCCGTCTCATTATGCCCATGCATTATGCAGGATTAGCAGTATCAAAGGGAGGGAGTAAGGTTAGAATTAATAAAGGGAAGGAATGTTAATAATATGGTGCCACAGCAACTAATATGCTTATAGAAAATACATTGTAATATTACACTATGTATTATTCTACCCACCCAAATGTATACCACACTGCTGTATATTCACTATACAATTACGATACTATATATTACCTTATACATTGTAATAAACATTACACTTTAAAACTATTATTATACAATATGCTATACACTATACCATTGACCGTCGCGTGAAAGGTACTAAGAGGAAGCAACGAAATATGTCAATGGGAGAGTGGTGGTAGGAAGCTTGCAGCGGAGCAAAGAATCTATTCCCTGCGGAGAATACAAGATATATAGTCAATGTCAGTGAGTGGACTGCGGTCTGAAAGTCACCGTAAACGTGAACACAATCAGTTAAGATCCGAAATGGTTTATTACGTCCTTCCAATGATTGCTGAGCCAGAATCCATCTTCTCGGTTGAAATTGTCTCTGTGTTTGAGTTCACTGGCAATGTGTTCCTGGTCGGAGATGCATTGGGCTCTATGGTATAGAGTCTTGATGAGGGAATTCTTCTGGGATGGATGGTGGTGGGAATCCGGATTTAGGTAAGCATCCGTATGGGTGGCTTTCCTGTAGACAGAGTGGCTCATTGAACCATCAGGTCTCCTTTTAATTAGGACATCCAAAAAGGGTAGCTTGCCATCTTTTTCGACTTCCATGGTGAATCTGATGGCTGGGTGTATGGAATTGATGTGGTCGAGGAATTGGTCTCGAGCAGGCCGGCCGTGTGGCCAGATGACAAAAGTGTCATCTACGTACCTCTTCCATAAGGTCGGGCGTAGAGTGGCAGTCTGGATGGCGTCAGTCTCAAATTTCTCCATGAAAACGTTGGCTACATCCGGAGATAGGGGGGAGCCCATTGGGGTGCCCTCAGTTTGTAGAAAGTTCCATTCTAGGTGAAGTGTGTGTTGGTTAAGCAGTGTCTCACCAGGGGGGGTACCCCAGTATCCAGTCCTTGATGAACCAAGTCTTCAATGATTGCGATGGTGTCAGGTACAGGAACTTTGGTGAATAAGGAAACCACATCAAAACTGACAAGCAGGTCGTCTGGGGACAGGGAAATTCCCTTGATTGTCGAGACCAGATCAGTAGAGTTTAGTACCGCAGAGGTGGTTTTTCCAGCTTTAAATCGAAATTTAGAAGCAGGATAGAGAGGGGGTGGGGCATAGATAAGAAAGGGGCTATGCGTAAGACAAGGGGGAGATCGGCGGCAGGGGGAGAGAGAGGGGGTGGGGCATAGATAATCGGTGGCAGGGAGAGAGAGAAGCTGTGACTCAGAGAGTCGAGAATAGCTGCTAACATCGCCAGGCAGGAAGGGGGGGCATCATAGCCAGTTTTGACCTAAACCGGTTAATAACATCCTTCCAATGATTGCTCAGTTTGTACCCATCTTCTCGGTTGAAATTGTCTGTGTTTATATATCTGGATGCCTCATTGACAAATCTTTGATGGTAGCCCGAAGGTTTGCAGAGTACCTTGGTCCCGGAACAAACAATATCGTGTGAACCCACCGCGTTAAAACAGTGATCAGCAACGGCAGAGATATTGGTTCTGCCGTGTTTAAAATCTGCCTTGTGTTCACGAACACAGTCCGAGACATGTCGTTTCGTTTCCTAGATGTAACTGCTGCCGCAGACACAACTTAGTTTGTAGACACCAGGGTGTTGCATGTCAGGAAACACACCCAATTGTATGGCAAGGTAATGGTTTTGGTTGGGTCCTCAGATGGTTCTCTCCCCATGGTTGGGGATACAACTTTGTGGATTGTGCGGTCTGAATGTATCCCCAATCATGGGGAGAGAACCATCTGAGGACCCAACCAAAAGAATCACCTTGCCATACATAGCAGGTGTTATAAAAAAGATTTACAAAATCTTGAACAAACACAAGATCCAGGTTCGATTCAACACAGTACACAAAATCCGTGATTTGATCCCATTTGTCAAGGATGTGATTCCTGACATGCAACTCCTTGGACGTGTTCATTAATTAATAATGTACACTTAGAGTAGTCATTTGTGCATTGGTTTATTTTATATTGTGATAGGTGTGTTTACTGGTAAAGAGGCCTTTTTTGTGTAAAATTTAAACCTTAATTTAAACAAATGTTTGCTTTGTTTTACATCTTACAATATTTTTACAGACAGCAACATCGACGCTCCTCCATCGTTTAAGCCAGCCAAGAAGTATTCAGACCTCTCTGGTTTGCCTGTAAGATATACGCAGACTCACTACACAATACAGTAATTCGTAAATTGTGCTACTTGCATGATATATTGTCATCTATTCCGAATATAATGTAATTAATTTGATTTAAGAATGATAAAAATAATGAATGTAGGTATGTATACAATTTTGGCACACCCAGCATAACTGTTGTTGTTCACATTGATATTGGAAGAGTAGAAGTTTGGATGACATGTGGCAGATGGCACGGCAGCATGGGTTTCTACTGCTGAATTCATAATTGGAAAAATGCATTAAATGTTTCTATTCTGTGAAAAAAACAACAAGTCTCCAAACACCCAATTGTAGTCACGTAGGTATTTAAAAACATATTTAAAAGGTGTACATTTTTTAAAAGTTAATAATTTAAGGCAGTTGTCAAACTTTCTCATCAAAAAAAAGTATTGATTTTCTTTCCCGCTACATATTATCTCCGAAAAAAATATTCACCAATCTTGACCATAGCTACAGTCTAGTGGCAAAATCTGTAGAAGGGCTGCTGCCTGACGTTTTAGGACCGTGGTCTATGCGCTATGAAGAAGGGCCATTGCCTGAACAATTGCCTATTTAAATTTTCTTTTTATGGCCACTGTAGTTGACAAATGTGTTGATATTGGCTCTATCAACTTCAAAATCAATTAATAATGTACTCAGATATTATTCATCAACCATAGCAACCTTTCGGTGTTGTGTCTGGTTGCAGGCAAGTTACACGGACCCACAGAGCAAACTCCACTTCAGCAATGCCGAGGAGTTCTCCCAGGTGCGCACGCTGCCCATGGACATTGTGTCGGGTTACCTGGCTCTGCGCAAGGCCACGAGCATCGTGCCGTAACAACGTACAACTCTCCATGTGTTAGCGCGACTTAAGCGAGGTTGAGCTACGCTGCAAACCACAAGCACGAATCTTACACACAAATTAAATACAGTGTACAAAGCTTACGGTGTATAAAGATGCCATGACATGCACTGGTTGGTGCTGTTTCATCTTTTTATGAAATCTTTGAGAGGAAGTCACCGCCCTCGGGCTCCTCCACCTGCGTGTAGACTTTCCTCCCGCGCTAGCGCAGGCTGCAGGGCGAGGGAGTGTCGCGCGGATCGCCGGGAAGAGATCTCAACTTGAAACGTTCAGTAATAATTGCAATGGTGAGACGATCCACTCTTAAGTCCAAACCACAACCTGCATAGAACCCTCTTTTTTGTAATTAATGGCAAATGTCATTGGAATGTTGCCAAAAAGCGGTCATTATGGGTGTGATGATGCATTGTTTCGTCAATCTATATCGGTTAAGGTTTAGTCATCGATAACGTTCCATTAAGTTCCATGAAAATGATATGTGAACATTAATGTATTGAAATAGAATGACGGAGAAAAGAGAGAATATAAGAATTACGAATTGGTTATTGAATCGGATTTCGGCTCCGAAATCGAGAGCGTGTATCACGTCGCTCGGCGGAGTGAATTGTTATTGCCCTGTAGGTCACAGCTGATGCGATTCAACTTAGTCTTTCTTTGTTACATGGAAAATCCCTTTTATCCAGTCACCCAGCTAGTTTCCAAGGTAGATGTAGGAACAAGAACAGCATCAACATTATAGAGAGGAAGAGGCAACATTGGAATAACACGTTGGAGGTACAGGCCAAAATAATGCAGAAAGAATAACAATCGACATAAAAAACATCAAAAACGAGGTAATGAATGGTGGGAGAGGAGATGTGCGTGAGGCAAAGGGAATCCAAGCAAATGAAACAACCACCACGGGAATACGAAAAGTAACGGCCAAGAGTTTATGTACAGGTGCAGTCGAACTGTCCATGCTGAGCTAGAATTGATATGAAACGATGTAGGGAGGGGAGGGAGCTGAGCCTATGCCGAGAGGCGAGGACATTCCAGTAACGTGGGGCAGCAGCGTGGAAGGAAATGTCGCCATACATAGTTGCAACAGCCGGCATTTTTTTGTAAGATCAGGGAGGCACTTCTGATGTTGCAGCGTGCAATGGGCGAAGTTTTATCCTTTTGATGCCACTGTGCCATTGCTCCATCTTGCAAATCGTTGGACAATTCTAGTTATGTCTAAATTGGCACTTGCTATAATGGTAATAACCACTGTACAAGCGTTTGTCTTTTTTATGGGGGCATTGCAGTTCCATTCTCATTCCATCTCGTGGTTGAACTGCGCTCTCTGTGTACCTCCTGCTTATCATCGAACTCCAAGGCTGTCACAGAGAGCCAGTTTCGTATGTTTGTGTACACTTTAAATACAAAATATATGTGAAGTGTGTAATATATTTATTACAATTTAACATAAATTTGTCTTTCCGTTAAGTGCTTTAGATTAATTTATATTAATGTTGAGCCCTTTGGCAATCTACCGCTGAAGCCTCCGCATGCTATGTTGGTCTTTGGGGACTGTTTAACCATACTTCACTCGGCTGGTCAGTACGGGTTGATAACGGGGTGCGGACACTGGACGGTTTCAGATGGCACTCGCCACTGATGTTAGCCATGGCCAGGAATAAAATTCAGGTTACCGAGTTCCAAGTGCAGTTCGCTATCCACTGTGCTACCACTCTTCCCCCATGTATTGAGGCATAAATAACACAAGTATACATCGTGGTGATCTTGATTATTCCAGCAGTATATGTAAGTTTCTTACATTATTGCTTTAATCATACGCAGTGAATCCGAGTACTGATGCTCATTTTGTGTTTTTTTACGAATCTACTGGCACATTCGGTCTCAAAAATACCCATTACCACTGATAAATGTTCTTATTTAATAACGCATCCCCTATTCATCGACGACCAATTCCGTAAAAACACGACCATTTCGCCACGTGCATGGCACAATTGTGTAATCACTCAAAGTAAGTGGTAAGGACAGTCGACAACCGTGGAAAGTATTGGGAATGGCGTCAATCATCATTTGGAGTGGGCCTGTGTGAATCGTTGGGAGGGCTGGTGGTCATTCCACAGACGTGAAATATTTGTCCAGAGACTTTAGAGAAACTTACATTGTTACTGAAAAGTTACAGCTGTCTGCCAAATGCTGGAAAGCCGACTCGCGCGCACTCACGTGTGAAGATGGCAGTGATGATGCAAATGAGACACAAATTATAATGATAATGTTGATGGTAATAATGCATGACGATAATTGATGGTGATAATATTAGCTATAATAAATGATGGTCATGATCACCATCATCAACCATAGTCCACTGAATTTCAATTTAAAGCTTTCGTGACTGTAGGGATTCATCTTCTTGGTTCTTTCGGTAAAGTCACGTATAAGGGAAGTAATAAAATAATAAAAATAAAACATAATAAAATAATTCTCACGACATTTCGGCCACAACGCAAGCAGCCGTCCTCAGGTGAAAACCAGATCTGTCGAGGCGACAGCGTCTGAATGAAACAGCACACGTGCTTGGAGCATATATAAGCTGGGTTGGAAGGGGGGGAAAGGGCGCCTTGACAAAAGAATTTGCATTTCAAGAGGAATTTAGCATATTTATGGGAAATGCAGGTATGTGATTAGTACTACTTATGCCCGTGCATTATGCAGGATTAGCAGCATCAAAGGGAGGGGATATGGGAAATGCAGGTATGTGATTTGTACTACTTATGCCCGTGCATTATGCAGGATTAGCAGCATCAAAGGGAGGGGATATGGGAAATGCAGGTATGTGATTAGTACTACTTATGCCCGTGCATTATGCAGGATTAGCAGCATCAAAGGGAGGGGATAGGGGTAGCATTAATAAAGGGAAGCAGTGTTAATAGTATGTAGCTGCAGTAACTAAAACCACCACGTAAACAACTAAAGTATAAACTACATAGTATCATCAGTATACTAAATATACTCTACAATAAGCTGAGTTACTAACAGTAAGTAATACATTACAATTCTACGTCGTAAAAAATATAATATGCTTCCATCTAAACTTTATTCTCTTACATCACACGAGTCTACACCGTACTATATACTGCCATAGACAAACCCAACATTAAATTATATACTACATTACTATACACCACCCTATACCTTATACATTGTAATATTACACTATGTATTATTCTACCCACCCTAATGTATATCACACTGCTGTATATTCACTATACAATTACGATACTATATATTACTTTGTACATTGTATTAAGCATATAAATTGTTATACTATTTGTTATTATACACTGTACCGTTGACCGTCGTGTGAAAGATACTAAGAGGAAGCAACGAAATATGTCAATGGGAGAGTATAGAGAGGAAACTTGCAACGGAGCAAAGAATCCATTCCCTGCGGAGAATACAATTGTAATAAAGGACTCTTTCTCAGTGTCGATCTCCGTTGTCCTTTATTTGGGTTCGTAGAATCTCGCTCACACGGCGTCCTCGCTCAGGCCTGCGTCTCCTCCGACGATCACTCCACAGCCACTCTGCTGCTCCGTTCTGCAGCCTCACTGCTGCTCCGCCCTGCAGCCACACTGCTGCTCCGCTCTGCAGCCTCACAGCTGCTCCGCTCTGCAGCTAGCCTTCCACAGCCCGCTAGCCCTCTGCGTCCTGACACCGATGGCCGACGGTGCCGACGTCTCCCAACGCGTGGCGATCGCGCCACTCTCCCCGTACTGCCCAGCGTGGCCTCCTCCCGTTTCACTCCGTCTCAACTCCCTGAACCCCTTCCGGTTCTCTCCCTAAATCCTCTCCCCCACGTGACCCTAACTCCTCCCTCTCCTCACGTGACCCAGACTCCACCCCCCTCAATCCTTGCTCGCATTACACAATGCCAGTGAGTGGAACGCGGTCTGAAAGTCACCGTAAACGTGAACACAATCAGTTAAGATCTGAAATGGTTTATTATTGCTAAGCCAGAATCCATCTTCTCGGTTGAAATTGCCTCTGTGTTTGTATATGTGGATCGCCTCATGAACAAATCTCTCATGGTAGCCAGATGGCTTGCAGAGAACCTCTGTCTTGGAGAAGTCAATATCATGTGAGCCCACTGAATTGTAACAGTGATCTGCCACGGCTGACGTGTTTGTCCTAAAGTCTGCTTTATGTTCACGGATGCGGTCCGAGACATGTCGTTTGGTTTCTCCAATGTAACTGCTACCACAGAGGAAACTTAGTTTGTAGACGCCAGGGTATTGTATGTCTGGAACCACATCTTTTACAGACGGGACCAGATCACGGATTTTATGTACTGTGTTGAATCGGACCTGGATCTTGTGTTTAATCAGGATTTTGGAGATCTTTTTTGTGACCCCAGCAATGTAGGGTAAGGTGATGGTCTTGAAAGGCTCCTCAACAGGATCCTTCTTGATGGTTGGAGTGATGGCTTTGCGGATTGTGTAGTCGGAGTAACCATTAGCCTTAAGAGCTTGGCGTATGTGTTTGAGTTCACTGGTAATGTGTTCCTGGTCGGATATGCATTGGGCTCTATGGTATAGAGTCTTGATGAGGGAATTCTTCTGGGATGGATGGTGGTGGGAATCGGGTTTTAGGTAAGCATCCGTATGGGTGGCTTTCCTGTAGACAGAGTGGCTCATTGAACCATCAGGTCTCCTTTTGATTAGGACATCCATAAAGGGTAGCTTGCCATCTTTTTCGACTTCCATGGTGAATCTGATGGCTGGGTGTATGGAATTTATGTGGTCGAGAAATTGGTCTAGAGCAGGCCGGCCATGTGGCCAGATGACAAAAGTGTCATCTACGTACCTCTTCCATAAGGTCGGGCGTAGAGTGGCAGTCTGGATGGCGTCAGTCTCAAATTTCTCCATGAAAATGTTGGCTACAACCGGAGATAGGGGGGAGCCCATTGGGGTGCCCTCAGTTTGCTTGTAAAAAGTTCCATTCCAGGTGAAGTATGTATTGGTTAAGCAGTGTCTCACCAGGGGGGGTACCCCAGTATTCAGTCCTTGATGAACCAAGTCTTCAATGATTGCGATGGTGTCAGGTACAGGAACTTTGGTGAATAAGGAAACCACATCAAAACTGACAAGCAGGTCGTCTGGGGACAGGGAAATCCCCTTGATTGTCGATACCAGGTCAGTAGAGTTTAGTATCGCAGAGGTGGTTTTTCCAGTGAAAGGCCGTAGGATTTCAGACAACAAACGAGCCAGTTTGTAGGTGGGGGAGTTGATAGTAGAGACAATGGGACGAAGAGGTGTATCTTCATTATGTATCTTTGGCAAGCCGTATAATCTTGGTGGCCTGGCTGCAGAAAGTTTCAACGAGAACTGTTTGGTCTGATCAATTAATGCGGTTGAAGCAGAAATGATTTTGTTGGTTTTGGAGACGAGGCTGTTGGTGGGGTCTCTTTATTTTTGTATAGCTGCCATCGTTGAGTAGTTCTTGAATTGTGTTGTTGTATTCTATTTTGTCCATGATGACAGTGGTATTGCCTTTGTCGGCTGAGAGGATGACAATGTCATCCCTCTTTTTTAATTGAGCTAATTCAAAACGCTCATCTTTGCTGATGTTGCTAGCAGCAGAGGTGGGACAAAGTCATTGTTATGCAAGTCCAAGTCGAGTCTGAAGTCATCAAATTCATGACTCGAGTCTGACTCGAGTCCAAGTCACATGACTCGAGTCCACACCTCAGAGGTGGGACAAAGTCATTGTTATGCAAGTCCAAGTCGAGTCTGAAGTCATCAAATTCATGACTCGAGTCTGACTCGAGTCCAAGTCACATGACTCGAGTCCACACCTCTGGCTAGCAGGCATCTTAGCGTTTTTGAGGGTTGCAGAGACATAGTCCACTGCTGAATAAAAGCTGACCTTTGTCCTGCACTGTAACCATCCTGCACCTCCGAATAGCACGGTTGGCTATGTACGGTGATAAAGAAGTTCAACATACACACATCCATCGCCTACACACGAGCTGATGCTCCTACGTATCCAAAGTGGACGTCCCCTGGTGCACGGGGCGTGCCCTTGCTGGCACCCCGAAGTGGACTCCCTTGGAGCACGGGGCGTGCCCTTGCTGGCACCTCGTCCTTCGTTTCAGCCACCGGCCACCATCCCCCATCCCTTCTCGTGCTCTGTCCCGCCCAAGTCCACCGACTTTTCTTAAAAGTCAATATGCCTCTTAATTAATTGTATCTATTTTTCTGTCTCATGGTTATTTCAAGCATGCACCTCTCCATCATGCCTACTTGCACTCCTGTCAATTTTCCGTTTTCTTTGTCAAAGTTCACGGGCGGGACTGAGTGGTTGGGTGGAGCTACCCAACCAGTGGGCGGGGGATAACTGCGTAATGGGCGGAGATGTATGCAGTGGGCGGGCTAGCCACCATCCTGCCCAGATATTTGCTGTACTGTAGCACCATCTACCGCCTAGCTTCCGAATTTACAATAAAACGTCTGATTTCATTACTACACTGGATTTGACTCCGATATCGATGTTGCCCTTGACGTCCCCATGCAACTCATCATTGACACCTGGACATTAACTCAGATCTCCCTCCTCCTGGATATCATGGGATACCACCACTGGGCCTGTCTTAATCCTAATAGGCCTCTTAAGAAAATGCACCAAATACCTAAATTACCACTTAGTTCCTATAACTTTCGTATCCTCAGAAGTGCCTAGGTAATCCAATTATACATTCTATTTGTTAAATCTTGGTTTGGTAAAACGTCTTCCTGCGTTTCTGGAAGACCCTTTCCACTCCTCTACAGCTTTCCCTGGGTTTGATCTTCCACGAAGCACATGGTCCACCCTAAACCGTAGCCACTGCACACACCATGACAGATGTGGATACCCGATGCACAAATGGAAAATTAAAAACTCTCCAGTGTGCGACTGGTCATCCAGAACAGACCCTACAGCGTATCACGACACAATGCCCGATTCATAAATACGGAGACCGCAGCGATGATACAACTCCGCTGCTCCTGCCCTGATTGTCTGGGTTGACCACCTGAATGTGAGATTGTAGTTGGTGCTCTGCATCTACATCAGCAGTCATACGGAAGAAGACGATCTACAGCTTAGTTTGTTTCATTCACTCCCGCTCTTTATGTCCAATTTATGCCAAATCAACGAGCTTACGTGCACCCATACCAAACTTTCTGACGCCTCTTGCTCATGATATTTGCACTTTCGATTTGCATGTTTCGTTTACGACTGTTAAATGCCTCGTTTGAGCGTTGTGCAATATTCCTTAAGATACTGTATTCGTTCTCTGCATTGTTGATGTTTTAGTCTTTGTTATTGCTGCTGTACTCACGCACCACCTTGTATAACAGCCGGACAACCGGCTAAACGGCACCATCCGTGTCACTCATCTTGAGGCGGTGAGGAGGCGGCTGCTCTCTCTGTGTGGGCGGTGCTTGTGGTTGAGTGGGGCGCTTCTGAAGATGGGGAGCGGTGGTGCAGCGATTAGCGCAATGCGCTACGAACCCGGCGACCCGAGTTCGATTCTCGCTCACGTCCAATGACGAATATCTGATCCGGTCCTGGGCCTCCGCTAGGTCGACTCAGTCTCAAATTAGTGCTTGGTGCGGTGTGTAAACATCGCCACTGGGGAGAAAAAAGGCGATTGGGCGTGGTACTGGCCACCCACCCCCTCGTGTGCCACAGTGCCGGCCTTTATAGGTGCTCGCTAACAGAACTTGCCCCAACAGTCTGTTCAGGCTATAGGGGGATCTTTGTCTTTGTAGCAATGTAATGTGTTTCAGGCCGAGGCGGTCCGGCACAGATGCCATATTCTCTATCTGCACAACAGAGATGTAGGAATTTTAACTGGACCTACACCTATGCTTTATTTACCTGATCAAGGCCCATGATACCATCAATAGACCAGGGCTATATGTTGTTCTTTGTGCTTTCGGGGTCCCAGACTCTATGCTTATGATGGTGAGCAGGCCAGGGTAAAGCTGTGTGGCCAGGAGTCCGAGTCATTCCCTGTTTATCTTGGGGTGCGACAGGGACATCCTCCGGCTCCCACATTATTTAACATCTTCTTTAACTACATAGTTCGAGAGGCTTTCCATGGCTGTACTAGATTAATTTATATCTGGGCCAGATACAATGGGAGGGATGATCGATGCCCGTGTGCAATCAAGGGATGGCTCCCTATTGGTCAACCATGTTCCGTATGCTGATGATTTGGTAATTGCTGCTCACTCTGAGGAGTTGGAGGTTTTTTTCCTGGGGTGTTCTGCTAAGAGGTGGAGCCTTACCATCAGCCCCACCAAAACGAATCACCTGCCTGGGTCATTTGTGTAATGCAATACACCACCCCCTCAACTCCCCATGAATGATCGGGCAGTTGTGAAGAGAGTGGAGAGTTTGCCATACATGCGCAGTGTGCAGTGTGGTTATGACCAACTCCGGCTTGGCAGCAGAGGTCTCACTCCGAATCAGTCGAGCGGCATTATCTTTTCATCAGCTGGGTAAAGTGTGGAAGCTACCTGGCCTGTCGCTCCATTCGAAGCTCCGGATCTCAGCCACAGTTATGCCCTCCATTCTCTATGCTTAATAAACGTGGAGCCCTATAAAGGGAGATCTGTGCCAGTTTTACTCATTCAGGCTGGCCTGCCTATGATCCATCCTGGCTTTAACCAGACTGGATTGTGTGAGGAGCTCACAGATCCTTGAAAGATCTAGACAGTATCATTGGTGTCGTCTTGTACTCCCGTCCCCTTTATAAAGCCACATACGCAGAATCCAGAGTGGTCCAGATGTATTGTGACTCCCAATTAATGGGCCCCTAGAACATTTTTCATTTGCATATTCATTTCCGTTTGAAATGAACTTAACTTTTACCTATACATGTCATTGTTTGTCTGTCTGTGTGTGTGGGGTTTAGTCAACGTCACCTTGCAAGGATTATTCAACATCGCCTTGCTAGGCACGCTGAGGAAAGGTTTGCGGAGCCCCAATGCGGTTTCAGGAAAGGGCGGTCCTGCACAGATGCCGTATTTTCTCTCCGTCTGCTACAGCAGAGGTATAGGGAATTCCAACAAGACCTACATCTCTGCTTTATTGACCTGGTCAAGGCCTATGATACCATCAGTAGGGCTGGGCTCTGGGTTGTTCTTCGTGCTTTCGGAGTCCCTGACCCTCTGCTCACGATCATGAAGGGCCTTCATGATGGTGAGCGGGCCCGGGTAAAACTACGTGGCCGGGAGTCAGAGCCTTTCCCTGTACACCTTGGGGTGCGACAGGGATGTCCTCTGGCTCCAACATTATTTAACATCTATTTTGACCACGTAGTTCGTGAAGCCTTCCATAGCTGTACCGGGGGAATTTCCATTTGGTACAGATATAATGGGAGGCTGATTGATGCCCGGGTGCGATCAAGGGATGTTATGTAGGCCGATGATTTGGTAATAGCTGCTCATTCAGAGGAGGAGTTGGAGACGCTGCTGCTGAGACTGGAGCGTGTGTGTCGATGTCTGTGTGTGTGCAAGTCGATGTGTGTGTGTGTTTCTTTTTGCGCGGGCAACGCCGGGTACTTCCCGTTAGTAAACATATAAAGTTTTAGAGAATTAAATGAGGGTCACACGACATCTGGTCCACCCTGAACAATTTGACCAATATTTTGCACTCCTATCGTGTTTGTGCATTGTTTGTTGTTGTAAAGTTCTGACCGGGCCCTACCGGACATCTGTGAAAAAGAGCTTTGCAGCTCATCGGATTCCTCCACTATGAACACAGATTTTGATTCTGATTCAATTGACGCAAGCGTTGGGCATAGCACCCCTGTCACGTGACCGCGTGGCTGCCCCACAAGACACCGCCCATGGCGTGACACGTGACCTCCGCGGGGGGGAAGGGGTGGAGGGGGTGAAGGGGGGATCGTCACTTCCGGGAGGCGGCGGTGGTCACGTGGCGCTCGCGGTGAGTGGCGAGGCGGCTGTGGTGGTGGCGGCCTTGGTGGTCGTGGCGGCGCTGAGTCGTCTCACGCCCGGCTCACGCCGTGGTGACGAACTGAGACCCACACCCCTCTTACGGTGGCGGTTCCGTGCGTCCATGACTGTCCCGGCACCCCCCCCTCACCTCCGCGCTGGGCCAACTCTGCCTAACCTGAGCAGCGCGGGGGAGACAAAGGCGGTCGGGGGTAGCCCCCTCCAACACCCCCGTGGGAGCACAGGGGGTGGGGGTGCTCCAGGTTAATGGTGGGGTGGCTACAGCGGTCGTGAGCCTGCGGTGTAACATCACGTCTCTGTGACGGGCCCATTCTGAACGAGGTGTTGGGCAGTCGATTTATGGGGGTGGGGGGGCGCGGCGCCTCGGGGTCGGTCGAGCGCTGGGACGGAGTCGGTGGTTGCCTGGGGGTGCTCGGCCCAACGCGTTCCTCAGTTGAATCGCATTATTTGTAGTGGATGAATCTGATGAGCTATAAAGTTCCCGTTCACAGGTGGCCAGGAGGGGCGGTCAGAACGTAACAACAAACAATACAACAACAAATACAATAATACAACAACAATACAACAACAAACAATACAACACAATAGGACATTGTACGGGGTGGTCCAGTTGTCTTGGGACCCTCATTTAATTCTAAAAAACGAATATATATATTTTTAAAGAGTAAGGTGTATTTAAAACAAATGTATATGCAAATGAGACAAATGCTCGTGGGGTCGATTATTGTTGCCGCGATACCGTGATCACGACACCCACCAGTCACATGACCCCACGTGACCCTCTCCCTTTGTTGACCTCGCGAGCACCGCGCTGGGGGTCAACTTCGCGTGCGAGTGGAGGTCGACGCGCACCTCGAGCAGCCTCGTGCGCCCCCTATCGCAGCCTCACAACCAAAGACAAAGATCCCCCGTGTAGCTTTAACAGACTGTCGGGGCCAAGTGCTGTTAGCGAGCGCCTATGAAGGTCGGCACGGCGCACGAGGGAGGGGGGTGGCCAGCCCCTAGTGGCGATGTTTACACACCGCACCAGGGACGCATTTGAGGCGGAGTCGACCTCGAGGAGGCCCAGGACCGGTTCTAATAAAAGGCACCTTTGTTGGCCGGATGGTCGGGTTCGTATGACGGCGCGCTACCCGCTACACCACCTCACAGCAGCCACACGCCGGTCTGCAGCTGTGCTGTAGAATGTTAACGATTGTTGTCAAACCTTGAACCCCGACAGAGCCATGCAGGGGATGCTGCGCGCCCTGGAAGTTGCGTGCAGGCGAACTTCCAGTCCCCCCTCGCCGTCTCATTCATTTCCCTCGCAGCTGAAGTGACCCAAGCAGAGTTGATGCCTCGAGTGCAGCATCTAATTAGTGCAGCTGCACATCACCGACTTGTCTATTTAATGCAGCTGCCTCTAACTGACTTGTCTAATTAGTGCAGCTGCACAATACTGACTTGTCTAATTAGTGCAGCTGCACATCACTGACTTGTCTAATTAGTGCAGCTGCCTCTAACTGACTTGTCTAATTAGTGCAGCTGCCTCTAACTGACTTGTCTAATTAGTGCAGCTGCACATCACTGAATTGTCTAATTAGTGCAGCTGCACCTCACTGACTTGTCTTATTAGTGCAACTGCCACTCACTGACTTGTCTAATTAATGCAGCTGCACTCACTGACTTGTCAAATTAGTGCAGCTGCATTCACTGACTTGTCTAATTAGTGCAGCTGCCTCTAACTGACTTGTCTAATTAGTGCAGCTGCACTCACTGACTTGTCTAATTAGTGCAGCTGCACTCACTGACTTGTCTAATTAGTGCAGCTGCACTCACTGACTTGTCTAATTAGTGCAGCTGCTGCTAACTGACTTGTCTAATTAGTGCAGCTGCACTCACTGACTTGTCTAATTAGTGCAGCTGCACCTCACTGACTTGTCTAATTAGTGCAGCTGCACCTTACTCATAGGGCTGTGCCTGTGCGCGCCTTACGTGGTCAGCTGTAGGTTTTGCAGCGCCTAGAATGACTTAGTAGGCCAATCCTTGAGTGGCAATCCTTGCCACAGCAATTGCAAATGAATGCAGTGGCAGCTCCAGAGGTATTTATTGCTTTTTCTTTACGTCGCTCCCTCTTGGTCTGCCAAGCAGTGTGTATTTTCTCCTCGCCTCTCCTAAAGCCTGTTTTCACAGCCTACTGCCAGCTGAGTCGGTCACCGACAGTTTTCTCCCAGTCGTCTGGGTTGATGTCGCAGCTCTTCATGTCCCGTTTACAGACATCTTTGAAGCGCAGGACTGGGCGACCAGTGGCCCGTGTGCCTGATGTCAGCTCGCCGTACAAGACATCCTTGGGTATCCTGCCATCCTGCATGCGGCGCACGTGTCCAAGCCATCTCAGGCTGGCCCCTGTGCTGGATTTAAGGGGGGCAGTTCTCCTGATGTTTGGACCAAAGGCTGTCTTGATGCCTTCATACATGGCACGGATATTGCCAGTGGCAGAGGCGAGTTGGATCCTACTGCTGAGGTTCAGCCAGTAGTTGTTGGCGCAGCGTCTGGCGGTCGTTTGAGCTGCACTGGTGGGTAGCTTTCAGAGCCCTTAAAGATCCTGTACTTGGGACTTGCTTGTATTTCAGGAGCGCCATGCGCTTGGCTTGGAGGATGGGTTCCAATATAGCCAGATGTTCCTTAAACCAGTCTGTGTTCTGCCTTGTCTGCTTGCCGAAGTTATTGGTGGCTGCATTGAAGATGGCGTTTCGGATGTACGCCCACTTTGTCTCCACGCTTCCATCTGGTGTGTCGTGTAGGGACTGCTCAAGGCTGTGTTGGAATGATTGAGTGAGCTCTGGGAGGGAGGTCTTGGCAGAGGTGATGTGTAGGTAGCGCTTTTGTTTGAGGCGGTGTATCTTTTTAGGGCGTAGTCTGACCTTGCTGGATACCAGCGAGTGATTGGTGTCTCACAGACTGCACTGTGGTAGCTGCGTGTGATGAGTACTGAGTTGAGGGCTCGTTGGGTGATGACGAGGTCCAGTTGGTGCCAATTAAGAGACCTTGGATGTCTCCATGATACTTTATGGCATGGTTTTGTGAGAAAGAATGAGTTTGTGATACAGAGATTGTGGTATGAACAAAGCTCCAGTAGTCTTTGGCCACTGGCATTCATCTTTCTGATGCCGTGATAGCCAAGGCATGCGGGCCACACGTCGTGGTCAGCCCCCAACCCTTGCATTGAAGTCTCCCAACAGAAGAAACATGTGCTCAGAGCTGGGGATTTTGCTACTAATATTGTGACGCTCTTCATAGAACTGGTCATGAATCTCCGGAGGTGAGTAGAGTGTTAGGTGGCCGAGGAGTGTCCACTCCCCATTTTTGCACCTCTTGTTGGGGCAAAGCCCGGGAAGGTTATTCTGGAAATCCTGGGTTTGCCCATGCGTCAGGATCCCCCCCTCAGCCCTGCTGGTGAGGTCCAAACGAGTGCGTAGCACGACGTTTGGTGCCAGTTTGGCTGCAGGGGCTACCAGGAATGTGCCGCTGTGCGTCACAAAACCGCCTGAGGGGCCCCACTCTTGATTTCCTGTCGGGGTTTACTCCCTTAGCCATTGACTCTCCCGAGACGCTCACGAGGCAGTGAGAAAACCGCGTAACCCTGGGAGGGGCCCTTACCAGGTACTGACAGCCGGGCCAGCTGTGCCTGGGACTCGCGCAAGGCAGGGTCATCACGCCCTGAGGTAGTTTATCACAAACTACCCGCTACCACGCCTTACTGACTTGCCTAATTAGTGCAGGTGCTCCTCACTGACTTGCCAGTTAGTACAGGCAGCGAACAAGAGCGATATGTTGAGCACATGCCTAGTGGCCTGCTGGGTTTATGAAGCGGGTACCGTAAAAGTGTCTCACATCCTACGGAGCAAATTCTCTGACCGCTCGAGGAAAGTTGATGGCTCCTGAGTGTGCACAAGGAGAACTGAGGTGGCCAGGTTGCCCCTCGACATGGACGGAGGCGATCGCGCCCAGAACCTTTCCCAGCAACAACATTTGCCAGGGACTTATCTATCTTATCCAGACAATCTGGGTCTTCTGTCAGACTTTGCATCAGAGTAATCTTGGGTTTCTATAGAGGCTAAGAATTCATCTTGAGTTCGGTGTTAGAGCACTGTGTGACATACTGTAGACGTTCTTTGTAAGAAATCGTAGGTTAACGATGAATGATGTTTCCAATAAATGTGTCGTTGTGGTCTCTCATACAATAAATGCACAATCTCATTTTAAAGGTCTTAGTCGAGTAGACCAGGGCTTTCCCAGTCTAGCAACAGGCTTCAATGTTCACTGCAGGATAATTGGATATTGGTAAATGCACTGTCACTCAGGATTTGATCCAATCTGAGTGTTTATAAATTTTGATATCTAAGCTGCTTCAGCTGCATTATGACATACTTGCCTTACATTGGTCTTTGCATGCGGTGTCCCGGTGAACTGATGTTTCCACGCTGCAGGTCAGTGAGGTGGTCCGGCGTTGCTTGCCATGGCTATGCTTGAAGTCTCCATCAATCCCAGAGAAGACTTCTCCGGGTGGCTGTCCGCCCACGGCGGGAGCGCACGCGCCGTCGAGGCCGTGGACACGGAGCTCGGCGTCGCCGACTATGAATCCTTCCTGGCCTGCGCCGAGCAGCCGCAGATTCGTGCTGAGTTCCTCTCTGCCGCCAAGCAGAGGCTGCCTTTCGCTTTCTACGCCGCAGTGCGCAGAGCCACAGAAGCGCTGCTTACCAAGCGACAGGAGAGAAGCGGCAGGTTTTCTCTGCTGCCCGGGTCTCACTCCGGCCCCCCGCTGCAGCCTTTTCTCAGTGGCTTGTTGGAAGCCATCGTTCTGATGCTCAGCACCCTGAGCCAGGAGCTGCAGCAGTCGGCGGAGAGGTTCAGCTGCCTGGAGCCTGCGCTCTACATGGACACGCTGGAGGACCCGGATGCTGGAGTCTGCTCAAACGCAGGTGATGAGGGACTGTGGAATTTACTGTTTAGTTGAATACATCATGTTGCAGAGTTGAATGTGTACAGTATTTGTTGACGTTTGCAGATATTCACAATCGTGCCATACCATAAGTTAATGTTGTGATGTCATTGGAAGCGTTTGTTCAAAACGGGTTGATGGTCTGCAAAAAATGATTTGTTGATGATCGGTGTTTGGAATACCACCTTTATGGTGTACACAATCACACGTTTCGACTTCAATCTGATGCACTCTAATCATGCATGAAATATGCTGGGTCTCTTTCGTGGTGTCTCATTGAAACAAGCTGAGGAATATGAGACTTTGGCCGATCCGTGCATGACGGAAGATTCTCAAGATGCGCACGAGGAGAACATGGAGGTGCTGCTGGAGCCAGGTAAATATCGAAGTGACATGGGTGTGTTTCTTTGTTTTTTTGTAATCATAACATCTGTAGAATGTTTGAAGCTGTAGTTCTTGGGTGGAATTCGTGATTACTTGCACAGCCACTCTCTTCTGATACATGGCATGAGTCATGATCAGCACTCGGTAACCATGGAGAGTAAATGTCCGATTACGGTCAGTTCTGGTGCCATAACATTATTTGTTTGATTGTTAAAATTAGGTCGAACACGAATACTAAAAAATAGATTAGTATTTTGCGAAATTCAAAAGTGAAGAGAAAATATAATGGTAAGCGTTGATGCTGAATTGTGTCAAAAATATGAATTTAACGGCCTTAGGGGTGCAAGAATGCATCGATTCGTCTGCGTATTGAACGTTAAGGCCCACGATACACACCAAGTCACACGTAATCACAAACGTGTTTTTAATTTGTACAAACTACATTCGGATTATATGTGCATGTTACTTTAATGCTAATCGAGTGAAAGAACTACAAATGAGACACAAACAGATAATACAATGGATGGTAAAAGTAGCTGATCAAATGGTGACAAGATGTTAACTACCTCACCTGGCATACAAGAGTACATGGGTTCAATCCCGACCCTGACACCTACTATATGTTTGGAGTTTGCATGTTCTCCCCATGGTCGGATGGCTTTTTCTCCACATTTAGAATCAACATGCATTTAGAGTATTCGGCTGCTATAAATTTCCACATGATAAGCCATTTTGTTGAGCTATCATTTGTGGCCAGTTTGCTTCTGAAAAAATTAACCCGTAAAAACAAAGTTTTTCACTATAAATCCTTTATATGCGTGGCGGCTAGAGTCCTCTCGTCCTCTGGCTTGAGATGGCTGCCACCTATGGGTCAGATGATTGCCTGCCACCATTAAGCAATTGGTAATGAAATATAATTTCTTTTTTCCTAAAAAGTGTAAAATTTTGGAAAAAAATGTTCACGAAAATAAATTGTCACGCACAACGAGTCTGTGTGCAAAATGTCAGCTCGATTGGATCATGGGAAGTGGGTTAAAAAACGACCGAAAGATTTGCACGGTCGTAAGCGCGCAAGCAAGTGAACTTAATATAAAGGATTTAAAAAGAGAAACATAGCAGCTTAGTGGTAAATAAAAAATAATAGTTTATATAGTTTAGACTTGCTTGAGTGGAGAATCGTGACTCGTTTAACTCCGAGTTTTAATCGTGCAAAACTCTTGTGAATGATTCAAATGTTGCTGCGCATACCAATGAATAATTTCTCGTTTCAGGCCCCACGAGGATTTTTGTGAAAAGAGACGACAGCTTGCCCAGGGGAATTGCCTCGCCTCGAGAGAAGGCCCCAGGTCCCGCAAGGCTGTCGCCGGCGCTGGAGGTCACTCTTGGAGACATTAAAACACCCGAAACGTTGGTGGAGGTCAAAGTCGAAAAAGATGACATCTCAAGAGACGATTCGTTTGGAGGGTCCCCAATAGGTATGGTGTCGCATGCTTTAATTGTTTTGTGTAAATATTTATCGACGTTTCATTGCCTGCATGTCGGAGTCTACCTCACGACCGGGTGATTAACCGGTCATTTGCCTCAGCAGTAGAGCGAGCGGCTATGAGGTCAAATCCTGGTTGGGGGTTCACTCGGCTCCATTCCTTCACTGTAGCAAGATGTTAACTACCTAACCTGGTATACAGGAGGTCCTGGATTCAACCCTGACGTCGAGGGACGGAAGCTCACCTTGTATTGTCGCGTCAACCATTCGCTTGTCTTCCATTCAAGCGATAATAAGAACTTCCCGAACACCGTAACATGGGGTTGCTGAAGCGTATATGTTACTTGTGCAAAAATCTAATATATTGGACGTGGCGTGTATTAAACCACCCGAGTCATGTGCTAGCTGTTGTTTTGAGCAGCAATATATGAACACGCATTGTTAGTCTTGTGTTGAACATTTGTCGGTGACAGCCTTGTCACATCCGCCTATCTATATGCATACAAATGGACTTTGCAATGTTGCAGCATTCATGTGAATGGAGTCGTTTGCCTTATTATTTTACTTCTAAAAACTTTTCCCAAGCCTGCTTCTTCTATGCTGTTGTGCAGTGTGGGCACAAGTTTTATGATTATTCCACTTGTATACCCAAGTGGAATAATTATCAATGCTCTTTTTCAGGACAGCTTCTTAAGTTTTACAGCAGGGGGCGACAATTGCCGTGTGATTTCCTCATTCAGTAATTTGCTGGTAGTTATTAATTTGGGGACATTTTCATAATGCCACCGGTGCAACGCGCTACTCCTCTTCAATTGACATCTCGGGATCTTTAACGTCCACTACAAAGCAGATGGCGCCAAGCATTTGATGGTTTCTACACATGGCAGAATGAACAAGAGCGGCCTGCCGGGTTGGAACTGCGAACCTCTGCCGTGTCACCACCCTACTAGATCCGGCTAGGGCCGTGTTGCTGGCGTATCCACAATCCCTTACGTTTCCCACTCCTTCCTTGTTCTTGGCTGTGCCCTGCATTATCTCGCCTACAGGGAAAATGTTCGTAGTTGATGCAAACGTTTGTAGGTGACGTGGGGGTAGACGTGGCACGCCGATCGTTTTGGACAATGCGTGGGCAATGCATCCGATCCCCTGGGTTCATCTCCTGCACTTGTACTCTCTCAATGTCGTTCCCTTCTACGCTGGCCAACTCGCCCCGCGTCCCCATTGCCTTGACGCTGGCCACGGTGCTCCTCGGAGGCATGCAGCAGGTGCCTGCCTCCGTGAATGAGCCAAGTCTCTTTTTGGTTCCGCTGCGAGAAATGCACTTATGTTTGTTGAACTTCTTTTGTACCATTACATAGCCAACCGTGCTAATCGGAGGTGCGGGAAAATTGTCCCTTCCACGCTGTGAAAGTATGGACCGAAGTAAAATAACGTGCTAGTTATCGCCAAGAGGGAAGTGGAATTTGGAGCACCAGGTCTGACTCGCCGATGCCGATGAGCACCACCGTGTGCTGGGTTGAGCGGCTGATGCGATGCCCATTGCTTTACCCCTTGCTGCACGGTCGCCCGAGTGGCTATTGGGTTCGTTACCCAGAGTAGTTTGTTGTGTGGAAGTGCTGCGAGGCTTCTTCTCATCGGCCCGTGATGGCAAGGAAATGCTACCGCTATCTATCGCAGATGAAATGTTTGATGCCGTGGCCCAATGTGGAGATCTAAACGATGGCGACGAACACGACAACCCAGAGCGTTGTGCGTGGAACCTCGACGCAGAAGCAGGCGTCATCATACACGTTGGTGAGTCGGTGATTTCCTGTGTTTGTTGTAAAGATTTTGTGTGGAATTTTCACAATGAAAACTTTTTTATAAATGTGAGCAAGGTTTTAAGAGGCATAAATAAATGAATTTATAATCTTCAAAAACTAAATAACAAAAGTAATGTTCTGCTGTAGGCTTAGGTGGGATCCATGAAAGCTATATCGGAACCAGATCTTATTGGGTATACAGATCTTCTTGGTTCTTTCGGTAAAGTCACGTAGAAGGGAAGCTTAAATAGACACTCCAAGCCTAAGACGTGTCATTTAGACTCTGTCTTATCGACAGACATGTTCTTCACCTGAGGACGGCTGCTTGCGTTGTGGCCGAAACGTCGTGAGAATTATTTTATTATGTTTTATTATTTTATTACTTCCCTTCTACGTGACTTTACCGAAAGAACCAAGAAGATGAATCCCTGCAGTCACGAAAGCTTTAAATCGAAATGGGTATACAGAGTTCTAAAACTATAAACTTTTAAAACTAAACTTTTTTAATATTACCAGGTAAGGCCCACTGAGCTATATAGTTATTTTTCAGAAGCGACCAGGCCACCAATGATAGTTCAACGATGTGGTTTACAGTTCAGTCTGCCTCAGCAGCAGACCATGCTTTCCCACCTGATGATGGACACTTGTGTTGCGCCCGAAACGTCGTGATTTATTTTATTTTATACCTACGTGACTTGACCGAAAGAACCAAAGAGTATGGCTTACAATTATGTGAAAATGTATTGCAGCCAAATACTCTCAATGCATGTTTCTAAATGTGGGGGGAAAAATCCACGCGACCAAGAGGAGAGAGATATATGCAAACTTCAAATTTACAACAGGCGTCAGATTTGCGATTGAACCCACGACCTGTATACCAGGCGAGGAAGTTAACATCTCGCCACGACAACTCCAGAGCAGGAGCATTTTCACAGTATCGTGACTCAACGTGTACCGTGGTACAGGGAATATAAACGTACATACACGTAGGAATACGTAGACATTGTACACTCACGTGTGTGTTGCACACAGCCAGAATGACCGTCGTCAAGGTGTCTGTAGAGGTCGATACTGCTGTACAATAAAGTTACATTTCCGTCATTGATGCAAATCGCATATCAAGGCTGTAGTAATTGTAGCGCTGCACAGTTTTAGAGGACCAGAAAGGCAGCCGGCACCGGCCCTACCAACAATTTCCCAAGCTCTGTGGTCCTATATTGGGATGTTTATCCACTCCATTAATACGTGTTTATATGCTAATTTATAAATATATATACATTTTTTCTTCAGATTTTGATGGAGTGTTCATTATGATATTATTTAGATAGAAGTTTACTCATTTACGAAATCCTCTATCTTTATTATCACATGCTGTATTCTTCCATTCCGTGTGGTTTCTACAGTGCGTGTACACAAACTTGTCTTTTTTTTTTTACCAGATAACATCAAATCCAAGGAGGCTCGTTCGATGTCGATGAACGTGGAGTCCGCTGTGATGCGGTGCGGAGCGCCGGAGGAGCCTTGCGGCAACACGGGCTGCTCGGCGTCATCACTCGGGCATGACGACGCTACCTCGTGGAGTGTGCGGAAAGATTCACGGCAGGGTCTCCGCGGCCAGGGACAGTCTCGCTGCGTTGGCGCCTCGCTGCCCCGAGCGTGCGAGAGCAGCGGGCAGCACGCCCCTAGTGCCCACATCGCCAACGCCACTACCGCCACAGCGCAGCCTCTACAGCAGCACCATGCAGGTGTGCACAGCCCCCGCACGCTCGCGGCCTTGCACTGCAGTCGCAAGCAGCAAGCGCTGTGCAAGTGCCTCTCGCTTTGACGTGGCATTGGCAGCTCCCTGTATGTATTTATGTTGAACTTCTTTTGTACACCGCACATAGCCAACCGTGCTAATTGGAGGTGCGGGGGGAGGACAACAAACTAGATGTAAAAAGCAGTTCTATCGAAATTAGTTTTCAATCTAGATAATTTAAGTTCATGGCTCCATTGGCTTCCTAATATCGGAAGGAAGAGCGTTTGAAAGCTCGCGATGCAGTGACCATCTTTGTTCGATGGTTAGCCAAAAGCTGCTGCGATGATAGTTTATTCCTTGACGAAATCAGCTCGGTATTGTGGTTCATTTGTGGCACGCGCTTTGTGTGTAATGAGTTAGACCTTATAATGTATTCGTTCGGCAACCATGCATAAGACAGCGTGTTAGCCAGGTGCGTAAAGGAATAGGAAACGGGCGCTGTCCGTGTGGCCTCGCCCCTTGGATATTTGACCACAGGCACTGCCTCTCCGCAAGCACCAGAGGGAAGGAGTGCAGGGAGGAGGGTAAGGTCCTGTATTGTGTCAGGAGTGTAGGGTGTGTGGGTTTCTGCAGCGGCAGACAGATTACATTTCCAAGGGTGTAGAGGGGATCCTGGCGTACTGAAGCCTACGCCCCCCCTAACAGCCCGCAGTAATTACTGTGCATGCTTAACCTAATGGCTATTGGGACGTTTCTAGACATATATTCATGCTTGTGCGGTCGTTGCGTCGGTCAGTTTAGTCTCGGCAGTTTTTTCGATGATTTTAATTTGTGTTGTGGAGTTAGAGGTCTATTTTTACTGTTATCACTTTTATTATGATTTATTTTTTTCCCCCAGCCAATGTGTTATGTATGTGTAATGAGTCCACCAGCCAAAGTTGGGGGAGCCACACTGTTCTTTATTTTCCACGAGCTCACGCCACACACGTCCTCATCACTCCGATCCCCACCGAGAGGCGCCACCGATCGCCCCGCCTCTTCCGGTGACGTCACCCCTCTCTTTCTGCGACGTTCTCTTTTGTTCTCGCCCCACCTTCTCTCTCGTTTCCCTCGTGACGTCATCCTCACACGGGAACCTCGGATCACGTATTTGTACTCTGTATGTATGCTGAACTTCTTTCGCACCGTACGTAGTCAACCATGATATTCGGAGGTGGGGGGGGGAAGGCCAACAAACTAAACACATAAGATCCTTTAAATCCGTTTCACCTTTCATTTTTTGGTTAAGGGTCTTGAGATGCAGTTGCACCTCCGATTTGCATGGTTGGCTATGTACAGTGCGAAACAAGTTAAACATACATACAAACATACTTACGTACTCTACAAAAATTTTTATGTTATTGTATGAAGCACTAAGACACAGATTTTCTCTTGTGTTTTTTATAGAACCCAGAAGGGAGGATGGTAAGAGGAAAGCGTGCACCATCGCTGGAATATACCAACAGAATGTAGCACTGTTAAACTGTTTCAGAAATGGCAGGATCGCTACGAATGACAGTGCAGCGCCTCTCGCCGACATGGAAGCCAGCGTGATCAGACCGCACTTCCAAACAGATGCAGAAATCATTGACGCCAGAAGTCTAAACATGAACTCTGCAAGTGGAAGTGCCATACAAAATTGCGTTAAGCGCTTAAAAGTAACCGCCCCCCATATTCAAAACACATGCAGAGAAGCGGGGGAGAAGCCCTACCAGTGCAAGGTGTGTGGCCAGAAGTTCAGGGACCTGCAGTACTTTCGGAAGCACGAGCGGATCCACGCAGGAGAGGTTCTGTTTGCGTGCGAGCAGTGTGGGAAGGTGTTCCTACAGTCGTTCGACTTGATCCGGCACAAGCGCATTCACACCGGCGAGAAGCCCTTTGCATGTGCGGAGTGCGGCATGGCTTTCCGGCTCAAGCACCACCTTGTGGGCCATCAGCAAAGACACACACGTGACAAAGATAGAATCTTAGCCCATGCCAATTTGGAAAGCCTACCTCCAAGCAATGTCATCCACACAGCTGACATTTAAACCACCAGGTAGAGAATCGAATCTGTCTGCCATTGTACCTGTCCGCCATTCATTAAGTAAACATGTTTCTGTGGCCATCAGGGAGACGCACAGTGTTGCTTTTAATTGAAACGTAACACTTGTACGGTATACACACTGGCCTGCTAGATCAGTGGTAATAGTGAGTAGGCAGCCCTTTAAACAGCTGGGGGGGGTCAGATCCCTAACGGCTGCTGATGTCGCTGCGGCAGTTGAGGGCCTTCATAGCGGCAAAGCTGCTGGTGTGGACGAGATTTGCCCAGAGTTATTGGAAGCGCTGGGCAGTGTAGGAGTGTCGTGGTTAACACGCCTCTTCAATGTTGTATGGAAGGCAGGTACTGTACTTCTGGATTGACAAACTGGTGTCGTGGTTACCATTTTTTTTTAAAAGAGGACCAGAGGGTGTTCTCCAACTACAGAGGAATCGCACTCCTCACCGTCCCGGGTCAAGTTTATGCCAGAGTGCTAGAGAGGAGGCGCCTGGTAAGGACGCCTCCTGATAGACTGCCCCTGGAACTCTACCAGGAACGTCCCACTGGGCGAATACCCCGGGGCTACCCCAGGACACGCTGGCGGGGGACTATGTCGCTCAGCTGGCCTGGGGACGCCTGGGAATTCCCCAAGAAGAACTTGAGTCGCCAGGGAAAAGGAGGTCTAGACCGCCTTACTCAGCATGCATGCTGCTGCCGCGACCCTCACCAGGACAAAGCGGACTGAGGAACGAACGAGGTGTGCGGGCAGAAACCGTTTCACAGCAACGCGTTTCGTCCCGTGCCCAAGCGACTGCGCGTATGGTGATCAACTGTTGGGTCAGCGTGCACAGTTGATTGCGCGTCTTGTCATCCATCCATAAGCAATTTCTGACCATGGCAGTTCGAACACACAAGGCTGCTGCCACCGGAATTTTGACTGAAAAGCGTTTTGTCTATTTTGCATTTGTTTTCAATAATTTATGTTTTCTTGTCTAGTTTTTATTTATCAAGCATAAACCATTTCGGACTTTCCATAAAGTGTTTCCAGTTTCCCTAACCAGTGTTTATGTTGAAGTCTGTGTGATAACCATGTCGAATGTTGTGAAATTTACCTACGTATGTATGTATGTTGAACTTCTTTCGCATCGCACGTAGCCAACTGTGCTAATCGGAGGTGCTTATGATGGACACAAGTGCTGTATCCAGTTGTTTTTTAGAAAGTTTGGATATTGTAAAATCTCATACATAGAAAAAAACTATTCTGGGTATTGATGTGAAGCAACGTTTTAACTCTTTGGTTCTTTCGGTAAAGTCACGTAGAAAGAAAAAATCATAGATTAAATAATAGCATACGACGTTTCGATTGCAACACAAGCAATCATCAGGTGCAAATGAAAGAGAAAACAAAACCTAGTAAACTTAGAAATATAATGTAATACAACACAGATAGTCGGCTAACATAACAGTCAACACCCTATCTGGTTGATTAGGTTCTTCCAAAGATTGCTAAATTTAAGAGAGAGATTAAACACAGAACAGGAGACACAGACAGACACGTAAGCAGAGAGAGATAACACAGACAGAGAGACAAACACATAGGCACACAGTGCTGTGTGCCTGATGATGATTGCTTGTGTTGCAAACGAAACGTCGTATGCTATTATTTAATTTATTATTTTCTCTTTCTACGTGACTTTACCAAAAGAACCAAAGAGTAATTCCTGCAGTCACGAAAGCGCCAAATCAACGATTTAACTGCTAAGAAATGAAGCTGCGCTCTACTTAAACCCGCATCTTCGTGGGAGAACAGGCGAGATTGGGAGGACATCATCGTCACAGCGGTAGCTGAAGAGGATCGTAGTGCAGTACAACTCCCCAAGGCACAGGAGCCCCGAGCAGCGGCGTTGGCCTTGCCGCAAGCTGGCAGAGGAGTGGCCACTTGGCGCGGGTTCTCTGCCGGCCAGTGGCCACCACAGCATCACTCGAGTTCTAATGACATCTACCATGCCAGCTCAGACGTTACCCTCTTTAACAACAACACGACATAATGGACATCGTTGTGGAGAATGTGTAACGATATATATAAGCAGACAATGCACCTTCCCATATCTGTATCGACACACAAAAACACGTGTTATGTCTCGTCAGCACTACGACGTGGGAGTTCATCATTTTGGCAAAATTGGTTCAGTCCAAGCCAAGTCTGGACCGGTTTCAACATACTGTACAGATGTTAAATGCTACATTTCCCTTTGGCAGGGGTTTTCAAACGTTCCCAACTTGCGACCCACCTGAGTAGCCAGATAACGTTGTGGGACCCGTGCCTAGTGAGCCAGTCTGAAAAGCAGGGTGGCTGGTGACTTCTAAGTTAGAGGCACAAGTACAAACTTAGACACAAACACAGACACGGAGAGACATACGAAAACACTCATGCAGTTGGGCAAATTCTTGTCGTAGATCTTTGCTTGATGTTAAGATTAGGGCTCCTTTGTGGCGAGATGTTAACTACCTCGCCTGGTATGAAGGAGGTCGTGGGTTTGATCCCGACCCTGACGCCTGCTGTATTATTGGAGATTACATCTTCTCCACGTGGTCGCGTGGATTTTTCTCCGGATCTTTTGGTTTTACCCTCCACATTTAGAATCAACATGGGTTTAGAATATTTGGCTGCAGAGCCGGCCCAGCCACTAAGCGACCCTTGCACTTGCAAAGGGCCCCGTGGCCAGCAGAGGGCCCCCTAGAGTCACTGCTAGCTCGTGGGTGAAAAAAATCATACATCAAAGGGGCCTCCAACCAAATTTTGCTTAGGGCCCCCAAAGGTCTAGGGCCGGTTCTGTTTGGCTGCTATAAATTTCTGCACGATAAGCCACTTCATTGGGCTATAATTTGTGGCTAGGTCGCTTCTGAAAAAGAGCTACATAGCTCCGTTGACCTTGGTAAAATAAAGAAAGTTTAGTATGAGAAAGGGATTGTGAATTCTCGCTTAAGCTCCAACGCATTCCCACCCACCCAATGGGCCCACGGCGATTTGTTGCATCGGTGTGCCCCGAAGATCGAGCAAGCTGGTAAGTGTGTGCGTGTCGTAGAATGATACAGGTCAAGAGTCAATGTGGTACACGCAAACACACAGATCCCCCCGTATAGCCTGAACACTGCTGAGGAAGTGCTGTTAGCGAGCAGCACCTATGAAGGCTGACACGGCACACGAGGGGGGTGGGTGGCCAACACCACGCCTGGCTGCCTTTGTCTCCCTAGTGGCGATGTTTACACACCGTACCAGGTACTCGTGTGCTGTTCACAAGCTCCCCCCCCCCCAACTCACTTTGGAAACCCGTATAAGCAGTTGCATTTTGCTTTTATTTGTATTTTATTTTTAATTTAATTTTATCATTTTTATTTTCTATCTACGTAACTTTACCGAAAGAACTAAGAATATGAAATCGCTTGCAGTTTACTTGCAGCTAGTTAGAATACCTCATAAGATGGACAATTGGTTAATATATTGATGTTCATTATTCGTACATTTAGTTCTGAGAACCGTGTTGGGGTCGGGCAAGGGGGGGGGGGGTTACTCGGTTGCAACAAAATCCAACAAGGGGGGTATCAGCAGTAGCCAAACAAGGTTGAGAACCACCATTGCTCTATGGGACACTATTGATGTGTCCCTGATTTGAAAAAATAGCCAAATTCCCATTTGTATAGAGCGATTCCAGATGAGCATCATCGTGACTGAGTGGTTCGCCATCTAGGTAGCCAATGCATAATACAGGAATCCCATTAGAAGTTGCCACATCATTCATTGTTCAGTTTAACACGTAGGGCTTTCGCGACCGATATCATCAATATAGGTTTTTGGGTTATATCGTGTAAATATTGTGGGTTTACTCTCCAATACACCGGTGTGCTGTACTAGTGTAGGGGATGTCCCAGCCATCCTCACGCACTCAAACCACGCAGACACGCAATCTCCGCACTCAACATAGCACACACCATTCACACGCACAGAAATACACTAGACGGGGGTCGGGATTAAAGGCCACTAACGTCACATGCACACGGCGCGCGAGACGGAGATGTGTATTAGGATGGAGGGTTTAAAAGGGGCTGTGAAACGCGTGTTCGGGGTTTTTGAGGAACGAGTGTGGCTGTGGTTAGAAAATTAAAGAAGTGCTTAACCAGTCTCCGACTCTTCATCTGGTGGCAGCAGTGGGATGTCTCGCCTCAGCCGACGCAAGATCTCAAGGGGGGAGACTCAGCCAGAAGGAGCTCTTGGTGCCCGTGATGAGAATTGCTCGGCAACAGAACCGACTAGTCGGGATTTGTCCCTTGGCTCATCGTCGGGATCCGAGGCAGCTGCTCGCCCCGTGTGGGCACCTTCCTCTACCAACCCGACAGTGCAGACCCAGTGCCGCCACCACCGCAGATCATCCTCTAGGGATTGGAGGATGGATCAGCTGCTGGAGGCAGTAACCGTACTGTTTCGCCGGCTGAGTCCTGAGGTCGAACGAGCGGGGGGAACTTCAGCTGCATCGCCTCCCCAGTGAGGAGACGGGAGCCACGGTCAGCCTTCCAGACCTGGCACTCCGCAGCAGCTATCAGGGGATGGAGCAGCACCAGCGACGCCGCTGACCATGCGGCCCGCGCGGGACCCAGGAGAAAGCCCTTGCCTGTCCTCCCGATATCTGCCAACAGCAGCAGCAACCGGGGGACATGAACGACTGGAGCGCAGCGGAGAGCAGCTGACCGTGCAAGTGGTAATGGTACAGGGCGGGAGCGAAATTCAGCCCGAAACTCGGCACGAAACTCAGCCGAGTCAGCCCGCGGAGGGAGGACCAGGATGGAGCCGCCAGCTGGGCACGATAAAGTTTACACAACAAAGGCTCATTCCTAACAGCGTGCTTCAGCCGCACCGAACCTCACAAAAATAATATTTAGGGCCTACCTTGGCTCTTCCCACCCTCAACCAGTATATATACAAGGACTTTTCTTGGAATTTCTCTCACTTGATACAGCTATCGTGCTGTGACGGTTCCACCTGAAGATGGAAGCTTGTGTTGCCTCCGAAACGTCGTGATTTTTATTTTATTTTTATTTTACTTTTATAAATTGTAATTTTTTACCTACGTGACTTTACCGAAAAAACCTAAGAATATGAATCCTTACAGTCACAAAAGCTTCAAATCTAGAACACGATAAAGAGGTTCGCGTCCAGATCGAGAGAATGGCGCGCTTTCATCCACTGGTTTGAGAGGACCGCCCGGGCACTGAAGTGGACGGAGGAACAAGCCCTGACAATACTGCCCACTGCATTGGATGACCCCACACTGGCAGTGTTCAACCGGATTCCACCTACAAAAAAAGGATCCCTGCAGGGCTTCTACAAGAAGATGGCGGAGGTGTTTGATTCTTCGCCAGGGGGTGTACCATAAGTTTAAAAACCGACAGTGGGAAGTGTCCAAATCGAAGTGTGGCACACCTCGCAGGGAATCTCGGCGACATCGAGGGGCTGCCACGGCCCCCAACCAGACACGCGCCGCTGGCGGAGGACGAGGGAGAGATGGTGGCGGCCCTGCGGTGGTGTCCGAGGATCCCGCGAGAAGCGGAGCACCGACCCCAGCGCTGGGCACCTCACAAGGCAGGAAAGCATCCTCTGGTCACAGGAAAAGTCATCTGCCATCGCTGCGGTCACGAGGGACACATCGCCTACGGATGCCGCAGCAGGACGAGTGCACCTGGGACGACCAGCCGGGTTCCTCAGCCTCGGGCCACGGCCGTTCTGCCTCACGCGAGTGCTGACACCTCGAACACCTGACCAGAACCATCCACCCCATGTTCACCCCATCACGCATCTCACTCCTCGGGGGCGGTGGTTAGGATTCCAGCTGATGGTCCGGACCCGTGACCGGATACGGTTAATAAATGGCGTTGTTTGGCCTGAAGGGTGGTGGCAATTTCCGCGAGTTCAGGCGCTGGTTGGGACTATGGTCTCGATCCCGCCTGGTGCGCAGGCGTTGGTGCCGCTTCGATATTGCACCCCACTCGTCACATTCTGGTCGGACGCGCCGCTCATCGTCTCCGCGGTGACGTCGGTGGTTGGTCGCCATTGCTTAGCAGCAGCTGATACGCTTGTGCGCAGGAATCAGCCACTGTTCCTACAGTGCAGGAAAGGACCTTGTTTGCAAATGTCAGTCCAATGCATTCGGACCCTGAGGCGCAGACCGTCAACAATGTGCATTTGGAGGGTCCGTCGGTCGGCGCAAAGGATATGTCATGGATAGACGCGCTTCTGCCCCAGAACACCAATCTGTCGGCAAAGGAATCGGGGGAGCTCAGGATTTTGTTGTGTGACTTCGCAGACGTGTTCTGTAAGGGTCCCTACGATGTTGGTCGCACGACGCTGATGGAGCACTACATTGATACGGGCGATGCTCCACCCATTTGGCAGAACGCCTATAGGATGGGTCCTAGCGAGAAGGATGTGCAGCGGGCAGTGCAGGGGATGATGGAGTCTGACATCATATCGCCTTCTACAAGTCCGTGAGGGGTGCCGCATGGATCCATGCGGTTTTGCGTAGACTTCAGGCGGCTGAACAAAGTTACCTTGGCGGACGCCTACCCGCTCTCGCGCTTAGATGACTCATTGGATATGCTCACAGGAGCAAAAAATTTCTCCACAGACCTTTTGGCGGGATTCTGGCAGCTATCACTAGATGCTGAATCCAGACCGAAAACGGCTTTCAGAATGCCTCAAGGTCTCTTTCATTTCAACTCTTTGCCGATGGGTTTACAAATGGCTCCCACCACTTTCCAGTGATTGATGGAGTTGGTACTTGCGGGGTTGCAGTGGGAGTCGAGTCTCATCTATTTGGATGATGTAATCGTATTCGTTTGCAGATTCGAGGAGCACTTAACCCCATTGCGACAGGTGTTTTCTAAAATTCGTGACGCAAACCTCAAGCTAAAACCCTCCAAGTGTCATCTGGTTTGCTCCTCCGTAAAATACTTGGGTCATGTCGTTAACACATCAGGAGTCCGTGATTGGCCAACACCCACGTCCGTGCCTGAAGTCCGCAGATTCGTGGGGTTTGTATCCTATTTACCGCCGTTTTGTCAAGAACTTTTCTACCATCGCTAAGCCCTTGCATGTGTAGTAAGTATTCAGGAGGCTTTGACGACGGGGTCGGAGGCACACTTATTTATTAATACCAACTTGTGCACAGTAACGGGTACACACAGCACTTGAAAGGGTATCGTCCCCTTCACTCGCCTAACAGGGAGACACCACGTCTAACCCCGCTAACCTACGCCCGAGTCCTCCACTACGGAGCTAGGGGAGGCTACCTATTCCAGCCCTGGTCAAGCTGGGATCCCGGCACCCTGAGTCTCCAGACCGGCTCTTATAAGAACGTCAGTCTGGGCTCTCGGGGCCACGCCACCGGCTTGCCCTGGTCGGCCCTGACAAGGACAGCGAGCCAGGGGAGCTCCGGGGCCTATTCTAGCTGGTCTTCACTCTTCGCTGGTTAAAGCTAATACTCTACATCGAGCCCTCCGGCTCACCACCTTTTATAGCACTCGGCCCCCGGGAGGGGCCCGTGGGGGATGCAGGTGCTCACGTCGGTGTGAGCACCTCCTCTGTGTACGGCCCTAACCACGCCCCTTGTGTTTGTTAGCCATCCGTGCCCATACACAATTACACCTCTACACATGTGTCTGCCTTTTTGGTCCGGGCAACGCCGGGTACTCACCGCTAGTTAAGAATAAAATCCAATGACAACTGAACACGCTTACGCTGCTACTTATCCTCGCCCGGTCCGGCCACGCCCTTATTTCTGAATTCTCCTCACCGCACCTGGCCCTGCCGATCACCGCCCTTATTACACTTTCCCGCCATTTGATCCCGTGCTCCCCCTCACGTGACATCAATGCTTGTCTCGTTAATCATCATTTACTCGTCCATTAGTAACCATGGTCCCGGGGAACCATACTGTCCCGCTATCGCTCCGCACTGCCATTACAAATGCATAAACTAAACCCACCCTGGGACACCCTTGCAATCGAAATGTTCCATCTCTAACAGTGTGCCAGGTGAAATATTTGAATTGAAAAAAAAAATAGTAATAGGGAAAGGGCTGATCTGTGTCACCGGATCTTGTTAATTGTCTTCTTTTGAAACATTGTCGATTCAGAATGATTAATTTAAGTTGACCTTAGCACTGGCCAAGACATCCGAGCAAACTCAGGTGTGGCAGAACTCAGGAAATTAAAGGGAGACCTTGACGCATCTCTTCAGCCTGACCTTAGGTTGACACCCTCCTATCAACTGCTATGAGCAGGAGGACTCTTCAAGTTTATGATTGTTTGCGTAGCCCCAGCCAGTCTGAGTGTGTTTACACATATAATCGATTTTAACTGGCTGCCTTAATAAATAATAGGCAACATAAGAGTACATAAATGTTCATGATTTTACAACCTAGAGTTATATTTATTTGAAGCTTTCGTGACTGCAGGAATTCATACTCTTTGGTTCTGTCGGTAAAGTCACGTAGATAGATAAAAAAATAACTAATAAATCACGACGTTTCGATAGCAATACAAGCCATCGTCTTCAGGTGAAAAAAATATATACAGCAGGCAGACTGCTGAGGAGGAAATGTAGCGAGAGAGCGACTACAACCAAGGGTTATATACTTTTGTGGTGGGTACAACCAAGGGTAAGTGGGCGGGACTAGGAATGGAATTTGCAGTAAATGTACTCGCAGAGAGGGTAGGGGTGAGTGTCAACCAGGCTATGCGTTAACTGTGTTAACCGACCCTCTATGTTGCATTGCATTACACTTCTTAATTTGACTAAATTTGCCTTCTCAAACTTTAGATTTTCTTGCTCTAAACCATTCTCTTCTCTGGCCACTGTGGTCCGGAATTCCACGCTGCTCCCCCCTTGTCCCCTCTCGTCTGTCCGCTGGTCCCCTCGTGTGTCCGCCTCCCCAGTCCTCTCTCTGCCCCGGCCCCTCCCCCCCTTCTCTCTATTTAAGGCCTCGGCACAGATTCGTTGTCCTTCTGTTTGTCTTGGTGTGTCTCGCTCAAGTGCGTCTTTGTGTGCGTCTCTCTCTGCATGTGT